TCCCACCGGAGCTTCAAGCTTGGCTTCAAGCTTACCTCGTATTCCACTTGTCTGATCGACGTTGTTGACTCGAAACGTCGCATGTGTCTCGATTAATTATTATGCTTAATATGGCTATGGATTCAATGTCGACCTATCGAGCTCGTGTCCCTTTGACACTACACATCAACTGCAACCTCAGCTAATTCATGGTCGAAGTGATATGTCTGGCGTTGGCTACTGAGTAAGGAACTCATCTTCCGGATCGTGTCGTTGCGCAGAAATGCGTGCGTTGCGCGTCAAACGTCCAGTTTTAAAGACTCCAATAACGCCGGCGCAATGTTTGTTTGTTTTATATTTGACGCCATGGCGGCAAGGGCGCAGCCGCCCTTGCGGCAGACCTCCCGGAGGGTATGTGGCGTAGAGGGTCGTAGGCTCTAGCTATATACTATATAGTACACGCCGTATCCTGACGTCCTCTAAGTCTTGCTCGTGAGCTAGTATGTGTTCTATCCATCCTTAGTTCCTACTGGTGCCTTAGTTCCGTTATAACTATCTAGTTTTTTAATAGAGGTAGTTTGTCGTTTGGAGGATAGGTTATGACCTATTTCCTAGTACCGCGGGTAGATCTTCTGGAAGAAGTCTGTTACGTAGAGGAAGGCCTGGAAGCCTTTAGAGTCAGTGATTAGCCCCTTAAAGTAGCGATCGAAGGATTTTATAGGTCCTACGGGCTCCTGGCGGCTATAGGGGTAGAGGGTGGGCTACTATTGCCTCCTTAGTAGGGTCTTTTGGTAGTAGACTAGATAGTCTACCTCCTTAACCCCTCTATAGGAGTAGGTAAGTAGTATTTCTATATAGTTAAAGCGTTGGTGATATTATTTAAAGTCCCCGTAGCCTAACCGTACCGTAAGGAGGTAATGAAGGGTAGCCCTAGGGAGGCTAAGTTTAGGAGGGTAAGTAAGGGTGGCCTTGAGCCCTAGTTATGTTACGGCCAGCTAGTCGTAGGGGTAGTTTGCAGAAGTTGAGGCTGCGGGACTGGTAACAGTAATCGTAGTCGGGGATAGCTTCAGGGAAGCTATGTCTGTCAATCGTAAGGGTAGGTAAGGCTTCGGTGATCAATCGTAGTCTTGTCAAGGTAGTAGCTGAAAGCGGATGTTAATCCTGATACGAAGTTAATTGCTGAAGAAGCAGACTTTTTGCAAGGTGCTTTAGTCACAGACAGATGACTCTGGATGTCAAGACTGATAGATGATATCGACAAAGTTCGGAAGCGGAAGCGGACTGTTGGGTTCTATTGAGTGTTGATAAGTCGATGAACAGAAAGAGAAATGGTTCTGACCACCGACAACAGAGGCATAATTATAGCTATTGGCGAGCTCCCTGGATGACTCTGAATTTCTGAGAAAGGCTCTTGCGCTCAAGTTGAGAGAACCATTGAGACGGATTGGGATCATCCCACAGCTCAAGCAACAATAAGGTCAACGAAAGCAGGCCGTAGTACAGACCGTTGATGGTCTTGAGAGAAGTTTTGGCCTCGTCTTCATTTATCACCTCATTGTTTTAAACATTGAGCCAAGGGGTGGGTTGTCGGCTCCCTCTCGAGCGTTTCTCTTCCCTTGCCTGGCTTTATCGAGCCCCCAAAAGGAGGTCAATGACAGTGATGAAAGCCATTGAGGTTGCCAAGGGAGCCAGGTGGTTTGTCAGGCGCATCCAAAAGCTTAAGGATATCTTGAAGCTGCCAGGAAACTTGCCATCGATTCAAACGTCTTAAAATTCCTCAAGAATTGTTTGAGACATGCCCCTCCATCTTTGGTGCCTGTGTGACAGTCAAGATCTCAAGGTCCTGGGATACAGTGCACAGAATAGCTTCGTTTTGTACAAAATCAAAACACAAATGTCTCTATAAATATCTATATCTATAAATCCTCATGACCGCTTCAAGAACCCATTTTTATCCCTGCTTTACTCATTATAACATAAAAGGCTGCTTGTACCAGCCACAAGTCGACAAACGGGTTTACAATCCCAGTGTGCGTTCGCTTTAATCAACATACTTGGGAATAGTGGCCATCACACCATCCTTGGCGATGAGCTCCATGGCCTTGGTGACCTCATCAATGAAGCGCTGGTCGCCGCGCAAATCGTCACCGAACAGGATCTTGACGCTGAGAAGCTGGCGGGGGTTGTTGCCGCCGGCCTTGGCCAGGGCCTGGAGCTCCTCGCGCATCGGGTCGTCGACCGTGAAGGTCTTGCCCTCGTCGTCGACGCCGTTGATGTAGCGGAACCAGGCGCCGGCAACGAAGCATAGGCGACGGAAGGGGCCCGTGGTCCAGATCTGCTCGGCGATGGAGGGCATGATGAACTGCGGGATCTTGCCGGACGCGCCGAGGGCGACGCGGGGGATCTGGTCCATGATGGTGGGGTTGGAGAAGCGCTCCATGAGGGTGTTGCAGTACTCGTCAATGTCGACGCCGGGGATCTCGGGAAGCAGGGGCTTGACCTCCTCCTGCATCATCTGCCAGACGAACTTGCGGTAGATGGGGTGCTCCATGACCTCGTGGACGTACTTGAAGCCGGCGAGCTGGCCGGGGTACGCCATGGCGGAGTGCGAGGCGTTGAGGAGACGGAGCTTGTGCTTCTCGAACTGCTCGACCTCGTGGACGCCCTCGACGATCTGGACGCCGACCTTCTCGAACGGCGGGCGGCCGTCACAGAACTTGTCCTCGACGACCCACTGCATGAAGGGCTCGGTGACGACGGGCCAGCCGTCCTCGATGCCAAAGGTCTCTGCGAGCGACTTGATGTCGTTCTGGGAGGTGCTGGGGGTGATGCGGTCGACCATGGCGTTGGGGAAGCCGCCCTCTTTGGCGATCCACGCGGCGATCTCTGGGTTCTTGAGGCGGGCGAAGGAATCGAGCATAGAGCGGGTGATGGAGCCGTTCTTCTGCATGTTGTCACAGGAGAGGACGGTGAAGGGCTTCTGGCCATTTGCGTGGCGCCTGGCGAGCGCGGCGTAGAGGAAGCCAAAGATGCTGATGGGCTCGTTCTCGTTGGCCAGATCGTGCTGGATGTCGGGGTGCTCCGATTGCAGCTGGTGAGAGTTCTCGTTGTAGTAGTAGCCGCTCTCGGTGATGGTCAGGGACACGATGCGGGTGTCCGGGTGAGCCATCTTGGCGATGACGGCCTCGCGGTCATCGGGCGCGAAGAGGAACGAGTTGATGCTGCCAATGACGCTGGCGTTGCTGCCCTTTGCGGAGCGCTCGATGAGTGTGTAGAGGTGGTCCTGGGCGCTCAGGACGTCGCGCATGGCGGCGTCGTTTGGCCGGAGGCCGACACCGCAAATGGCCCAGTCGGTCTCATCGTGCTTCTGGAGGAGGCGGTCAATGTAGACGGCGAGATGAGCTCTGTGGAAGCCGCCGACTCCGACGTGGACGATGCCCTCCTTGACGACGCTGCGGTCATAGGTGAGGACCTTTACGGTCTGCTTGCCCTCCTGTGAGGAGATTGAGGACAGGTTGTTGCTGGTGAGCTTCAGGCTGTCCGTGCTGTGAGGCATCTTAGGATTAAAAATGAACAATTGGTACAGGCAAGTAATCCAGGAGGTAATTGATGAGATGGCGAGAGCGAATTATGAGAGAGAGGGAGGAGTGAGCTTGAGGTTGAAAGTTGAAGTGATCAAGAACACACCGCCGTCTCCTGAGTCCTGACCGCAAGTTTTTAATGAGAGAGCGACAGACAGTCTGATTTTTGATAAACTGGGCCCGGTGACGTTTTCGGACTGGTCCGGCCTGATAAACTGGGATCAGAGGTGGAGCTACCAAAGCACACCTTGCCACTATCACTGACCTCAACATTTTAGCAACCTGGAGAAACGAGACAGCTGTGGCTTGAATGCCTAGAAGTCTCTGGAAACCAATCAAACGGCACGGGGTGTGGAATTGGGTCGAAACATTCCAAGCTCAAGGCTTGGTTAAAGCTGTATTCCTAGACTGAGTAGCAACTCCAAGAGACAAACATCAACGCATAACGGAGGGAAATCCGCCATCTCTCAAAGACTCACCTACCTAAATTTAGCACACAAACTGAAAATTCCTAAAACCCCTTCTTATATCCGAGCTATTGGCAACTTGGCCCTGCATTCAGGGTCTTTCTCGTATTGTCACCAACGCAACAGAACCCGTGGCTGGAATTCCAATTTTAACTTGCCTCATGTGACCGTTAATTAAGAGACATTGGCATCGGTGCTCCAGTTCTAGAGCTTCTCCAACTCATCTTGGGGCAATTGCTTTCTCCGCCTGCACGCCAGGGTAACGATGTTGGGGAAGCTTGTGGAGAACCCCCTTATTCATCGGGCCCCGGCTGGGCACCACTGGGCCGAAAAGCTGGAGCACGCCCCTGAGAAAAAACAAAAAATCTACGAACAGAGTGGCGGTGCTTTGTGATCCCGACACCGGTGGCGCGAGTCATGGGTGTTGGCGGATGAACTGAACTTGCTACGAACACCTACTTCGTATGCGTTGCGTCCATTTGATGAGCTTCCTCTAATACTCAGTAACTCATTCAAAACATCCTTTTTCCACTCTGGGCAGCTGGAAATGGCCTATCATTAGTCGTCGTGGCCCGGATTCCTCTCACCCCTCATTTTTACCGCTGTCTCTGATGGCTGGCGCGGTCTGAAAAGGTCAAACATGAAGTGTTGCAGCAGAGGTGAGAAGTATGCTTTCTCAACATTTGAGATGGCACGTGAACTATACAGATAATTTCCTGCAAGGCCCTACGTCTCGGATTTTACGCTTTTACCGCATATAGTTGGAATGAGTGAAAGTGGTATGTGGGTGACTTCGTGTAACATTTGTTCTAAGCTACCTCTAGCACTCATGATCATGATGAGATATTCTCCATGAGAAGAATGCCTCCCAAACAGCAATAAGGCAAGAAGCCGACTGGCTTTCCAAGTCCGATCTTGCCTCCCGATAACATCTTTGTACCATCTGGGTTTCCTCTTGGGAGATCATTCAGAATTACAGGTAAAAGACCGAATAGGCCAACAAAGCCCAGGCAGGGACGCAGGGAAGAGCCTCCAAAAGGTATCCGTAGTAAACGAGGCTGGCCAACCCGACAATTGAGACCACCAACCTGGCTCTCGCCTTGATATTCTCAATCTTCTGCTTACGACCTTCCATCTTGATGCGCTGCTTGTAAGCTTCGGTCTCGATGCGAAGCTTGCGAGTCTCCGTCTCGATGTGCTGCTTGCGAGCTTCCATCTCGATGTGATGCTTGAGAGCTTTGATCCTGTTGAGGTACTTGCGAGCTGCCTCCATGGTATCGCTTCCTTCAAATCCTACAGCGATTTCGATGAAGGCCTTGATGGCTTTGAGACAGTGTGAAGGCATGCGACCAGCAATCGAGACTTCCGTTGACTGGGAGTCATTGTTGCTGGCAGATAGTCCCTGCTCTCTGGCTTTGACCTTGTTCGCCAGTTGGACCGCTTGTTCAAGACCGGTGACTGTGCGTGCAATATCGAGCACGAAGGGGTGGTCCTCTTTACCCTCTGGGGCAATGGCCTTGAGGATACGAGGGTAGGGGGAAATGTTGACAAGGCTGTCCTCAGAGACATTGGAATCGGTCTCTTTGAAGTCTGCATGATTGAAGATAGTGTTGGTGAGGCTGTCCTTAGACTCGGAACCCTCAGAATCAGACTCTGTGAACACAGAAGATCTGGAGACGGCGTTGAAGGTGTGGGTAGGAGAGGTATCGTCGACGACGTAGTTCGACTGATTGAGAGGGAGAGGAGGCAGGTGGCTCAGCTGCTCTGGGGTAGCGTAAAGGGTCATGGCCCACTGATCAGAAGACACGCTCTCGGAGCTATCGTCGGAGTCATCATCGTAATAATAAGGGATACCGTCTTCGAAGAGGCGCCCGTCTTGCATCTGTGAGAATGATGTGAGTAGGAATATATTTACATGCGAATTTCACAATCTCTTGATGAAGACTGAGCAATGCAGTGAGGAAATGAGTGGGCGGAAGGGCATACCCAACGCCATCTGCGTCTGCGTCTAGCAGAGCTGCGGTTGCTGCGGAAGGGCAGCTCAGGGCCTTCAGTGTCGGAACCAGAGTCCGAAACGGAGTCCGAAGCAGAGCTAGAAGCGGAGTCGAACATGGCTTTGTACTGGCCTGGCAGTGACCTTTGGTGATTGTTTGTGATTGCAAAGCAGAAGAGATTGAGAGACTGTCGCCCTCTGCTTTGTGATGTGAGGGTGAGAAAAGTGTATTAAGTTGCGGTTGGCAAGAAGGAGGTGAAAGGTGAAGGGCGGAAAGTGGAAGGTGGGCAAATATTAACAGTCCAGGTGCAGGTGTGGAAGGAACACGCCTGCCTCAGTATTTTCTTGTTTATTTTTTGCCACCTAGTCGTCCCAGTTGTATTCCAGATTCGTATCTAAGGAGTGACTATTCATTGACCTCACTTATTCAACCAAGGTGAGTGAAGTCAATGCAACTGCAGCCAATCCTGGCTTCCTCTTAACATCGTAAGTTATGTTGAGGGCAGCTCTGTCACTCTGATGGAACCGTTTGAAGTACCAGCCAACCACACCTACTTGGCAGAGCTCTCCTTCTGCTCTTGGCTTTGCTGCTGCTTGGCTTTGGCCCGCTGCAACTCTACCATTGCCTCCTGCATCATCTGCACCACATACCACACTTCCTGGCAATCTATGATCCCGTTTACAACGCGATAGAATGATCTCTGCATGCAACCGACTTCTAAGGCGGAGAAGAATCCTCCATCAGTTGGCTTGCTGACCGCTGCATTCCTCTTGCCCTTGTCGCATTTGTAGTGACGTTCGACCTTGTTGTTGTTCTGCATCTTTGTCGGGCTTGTAGATGTCTCGGGCTGTGTCTTCCCAGCTTGCTTGCACGTGTGATTTTCCGCAGAGCCATCGTTCTTGTTGGTCTTCTTCGCTATCTTGGTCTTGCTCTTGCTCTTGGGGATTGCCTGCTGTTCGATGGTGGCTCCTGTGTTGTTCTTGGCTGTCTCGGGATCTTTACCAGTCTTCTCCTTCGCCTTGCCCTTCTTACTCTCAGGGATCGTTGGTTGTTTGGTGTTCGTCTCAACGCTGATCTCATCAGCCTTAGAATTCTTGCCAGTCTTCTCCTTCTCCTTAGTCTTCGTGGTTGGGGGGACTGCCGACCGGTCGATGTGAACCCTTGGGTTGTTCTCCGCAGTCTCAACGGCTTTGCTAGCCTTATTCTTTCTCTTCTTTGGCCTGTTCTTCTTGCTTTTGGAGACCGCCGACTGGTTGTTGCTGGGCACGGCATTGATCTCGGCAGAATCAGAAGCTTTGTCGGTCAAGTTCTTCGTTTGGTTCTTCTCATTCTGATCTTCTTGACTCTTGACGGCCATGGATTCGCCACTCTTAGCATCCTCGTTATTCTTCTCAACGTTGGCCGTCTCTCCAGTCTTCTTCTTTGTCTTCTTGTCCTTCTGCATCTTCTGGTTGTTCTTTGTGGCCTTTGTGGCTTCAGCTGCAGCCTTCGCTCGCAGCTTTGTAAGTTCAAGTACGTTTTCGAGCAACTTCTGTTGATGAAGGAGCATTACCACCACGTGAACAATTGCCTTGGTGAGTTTAGGCGGGCATTGTATTACAATTTGGATGAGGTTGGAGGGATCCATATCGTATGTAGACATGAGTTCTCGAAGTATCTCAATACTTCCCATCAGGCCTGGCTCATCGTGCTATTGACAGCATTGAGGTTAGCTATCGGCTTCACGTTGAGACTAGACCGACCGATAGAGCATAGGCTACTTTGAATACTCACCTCCATGGCGTAATAGCTAGCATCGGGAGGCACATGAGGACCCCAAGCAGCCGCAATAATGGGATCCACCGGAGGCGCAGTCTCAGGAGTCTGAAAAGAGGCTTGCTTGTGGGATGCGCCCTTGGTGGTTGGCGGATTTTGTTGACCACTCATGACGGAGAATCTCTGGGCCTGGAAATGGTCGAGTACCGTGGTCTTCAAATCTTGCGAGATCAGAGCGTTCGCGTTTCAGTGATGGAATTGAACTTCTCAAAAGTGGTTGAGGGTGGCAAGAAAAGAAGGAATGAAGGAGTTCAGTTGATGTGCAGGAAAAGGTGAAGTTGGCTCGCAAGGCTGTGAAGATGCGAAAGGGTATGAGGTGTCCTAGGGCAGAGCAACAAACGGCTAGGCGAATGTCCAAGAAAACATGGGATCGCAATAGACAGCAAGAGCGAACGGGCTGTAGGGGACGGACTGACCCAAAAACAAAGACATGCAATCACCGAGCGGTATCTTCTATGAATTTAACGCAAAATATTTTCAATTTTGAGATGATGCAGTTTATTCGAGCTCATCTATCATAGTATGTCTCAAACCTTCAAACCTTTCCATTAACACTAGTCTCACCGTCACTCTTCATCCAGCTCAGGATAGTGGCGGTAAATCCCCTGAGAGTACTTTTGTCTACGGTCGCTAGCAAGATATTCTTTAATCTTGGGCCGTTCCTTGACAGCATCGTAGAGCGCAAAGAGGCCCTTGAAGTCGCCAGCTCCCTCGATACGCTTCAGAGCATTGGGAAACGCGAACTTAAGACCATCGAGGCACTGCCCAAGTTAGCTTCCATGAAGACTCAGGATACCGAGGAAGGGAATCTTACCTGGAAAAGGACCAAGTCAGCGTATGTCAGAGACCCGCCATAGAGCCAAGGGCCCTTGCCGCTAGCCTTGCTCTTTAGCACCCGCTCAAAGTAGCCAAAGAATTTGGGCAACCGGTTGGCGATGTAGTCCTTGGCCTTGATCTTACTCTCCTCCTTCTGGTCCTCGTAGTACAGCCCTGTCGCGATAGGGTGGTGTGTGTCGTGAGCCTCGTTGCTCAGTCCATCCAGCGCAGTCAGCGCAAGGCCGTTGACGAAGTAGATACCATCGTCATCTTCGGATATCTTGGGCGCAAGGCCGAGGCGTGGTCCCAGGTAGAGTAGGATGTTGGACGTCTGGCTAATGAGGAGTTCGCCGTGCTTCAGGATGGGGGGAGCCAAGGGAGGCGGATTGTGCTCATCGCCCAGGTTCTTGTCATCGATCTGGGCCAGGACAGTCTTGACGCCGTCTTCAATCTGCGCAGTATCGGTGTATTCAGCGCCGGCCTCCTCCAGGAGGAGACGGGCGTGCTCTCCGCGGCCGGGGAGACCTGGCCAGTAGATGAGTTCATAGGAGACGTCCTTGGAGGACTTTTGACGCTTAGCACTGGGAGTTTCGGCCATTGCTTCTGTGTATGGGTGTCTTTGAGATAAGTCAGCTGAGGGAAAGTCAATTGAGGCTTTGGAGAAACTAGAAGATAATGAGTGGAGTATGGCGGTGAGGAGGTGTGAGTGAGTTGAGGCTTACATATGAAGTCTGAACGGCTGGCGGCTCAGCATGAAGTCATAGGGCGTGGTCGAACCATTCCGCCGCCAGGGGCCGCGGCGGGGTAGTGGGGTCGTTGCAGCCGATGGCGGGGCTACACGGCGCCCTTGAGCCCCGCTCAGTATTGCCCGCGGTTTGCTGCAGCTCAGCTGTCCCTTTGTCATGCATGAAGTAAGCTGAGATTTCCCCATTGATCAGAGCAGCTAGCGCGGCCTTTGAACTCTCCCTTCGAGTCTGAGAGGATTCAGATCGTATTGTATCAGTCAACTGACTTTATTGACAGGAGGTGTATCTGGATGTATGCACTTTCATCCATCGCGGTCCGTACCCCAGATCCACATCGCGGCATGACATGGCAAAGTTTACTCCCGCGTCCGAATTCCCCGCCGGACTAAACTAAACACCTTGGCTTCCGAATAGAGTACTACGAGTGTGTCAGCTACACTTGCCTACAACTCTAGAGTCTCCATATGGTCAGTCATCGTCCCACGTAAGCGGGCTGAAATATGCAGCTTGCCGGGTCTTTTCTGCTTCCGCATGACGTCCCGAAGCCGGCTGGTTCAGCTTTAGCCCCGCTTTTACTCATTCACGGACCCGACTCGGTTCCACCCTGCTTCGCGAAAACGAGGCTCGTGGTACAGCTCGACGCGTTGAAGGGAACCATGGAACTATTCTTCTCTATGCGAATGATAAGATATGCAACTACCCGTTGAGCTTAATCAAACATCGATGACCACTGGGAACCATAAGGAAATGCAATGCTGGCTCCATATCCTTGTCGCACATCCCTTCAATATCAGACACAACCGCTTTCGGGAAAGCCTTGAAAAACCTGGCAGTAATGAGACGGAGCTCTATCCGAGCCAAATGTCTTCCTAAGCAAGCTGTTTCTATACGTCAACAAAAGCTGTTTCAACGGGGAAGATACCCGTGTTCGGATGGTGCTTACTTCGGGCACCGCCGCCAAATGGCATAGTGCAATCCTTCATTTCCTGCGTGGTATTTTCCCACCTTTCGGGATAGAATCGATACGGGTCGGGGAACGCATGTTCGTCCCGGTGAAGACTATACGCCTGCGTCGTAACGGTGAATCCTTCGGGAATAAACTGCCCTGAAAGCTCCGCACCGCCGGGCGGCACCAGTCTCGGGAGTCCGCATGGCAAAGCAGTGTAAAGCCGAAGCGTCTCGTTGACAATCCAATTCACGTACGTCAACTCCTTGAGCTGTTCGTAGGAATAGTTGTCCGTCAACGCGTCTAGCTCCTTCATGAGCTTGGCCTTGATCTCGGGGATCTTGCACACCGCCCAGACGAGATAGATCATGGAGTTGGCGGTCGTATCGCTACCGCCGACGATGAAAACCTGCGCGTTGTCGCGGATTTCAATGGGATTCCAGGTCTCTTCCTCGCCAGCATTGTAGAGCTTGGAGAAGACTGTCGGGTAGGGGTCTGAGCCGGTCTCTTCGACGCGCTTTGCGTGGCGGTCTAGAGCGCCTTGGGCGTAGTCAAAGGTGCGGTATTGGATAGCTGTAGCCTCTTTGAAGACTGGAATTGGGAGATAGAGAGAGATTTGGGCAATTGTTGGGAACATGGATCGTAATCCGCCGACGAAGCCAAGGCTGACGAAGTCGTTGACAGATCGATTTTTCTACTCAGAACCATGTATATTAGTATGTTTTCTATTAGAATCGTCGAAACCTCGTCTGTCAAGGATTAGCATACCTTGCCGCTTTCCAAGTTGCCGAAGGACTCGCCAAAGGCCAGGTCACCGATGACATCAAATGAGAGGAACATGAACCACTTGGCGATGTCTGCTGCGCCTCGGACCTTGTTCTCCTCACGAATGCGCTCAATTGCCAGGCGGACTTTGCTGTCAATACGAGGGAGAAAGGTCTTCAAGCCAGTTTCTGACATGGGGTTCGAAAGCAGGCGCTTGTACTTGCGGTGGATCTCTGGACGGATCTCGTTGAAGACGCTTGAGGAGTCGGTGATGAGAAGTGAGTAGAATGGTGACTTGAAGAATCCAGTCTTGACACTGTGAATCCGCTGGCATGTTGGTGGATCAGAGATATCGACCTCGTATGGACTGTATCGTACCACTGGCCCGTACGTGGCGTGTAGATCATGGATCCAGTCAGGGTGGTGTGCGGTGATGACCTTGAATGTTGATGGCAGTGTTGTGAACCTAGTATACCAGGGCCCAGGAATACTCGACAACGGGTTTGTGAGACCTGCATAGATGTACTAGTAGGCCATCAATCAGCGATCAATGAAAGACATCAGTCAGTAGCTGTGGAATTTGGGAACATACCGCAGCCAGTGCAACGCATACAAGCGCACCGCCGAGGTAAAAAGGATTTGTTTTCAGGATATCCATCTTGTTGACAACAACATAAGTTCTTTAATAGCACGAACTACTGGCAGAAGTGGCATGAACACGAGACCCATTGGCTATATACGCCAGCAGGACTTTGCTGACTCTGTCAACGATCGTCGGAATCCCCCAATTCGACCGGCTAGCGATATTGGTCAGCCGTAGCTGATTGTATACGGCGTATGAAACCACAATGACGCGTGATGCGTGTTCTACGGTTGCTTTGGGAAGTTATCCCAGCCAGTCAGGTTGGCGCACAAGAGGAAGCTGGGGCCACGGGGGAACAGCTGGAGTCGTCCGGTCTACAAGGTTTGGAGCTCAGACATGGAGTCCGGCACCCACGAAGGGTGTGATCGACCTGTACAACATCATCGCGATGATGGCTTAAAGGAGTATAAATCTCGTTACTTTGGACGAGCACAGCGTCCCGCTGCTTCCGCCCTATGCTAGGCAACTGGAGGAAGCAAATGTCCGTTACATCGAGTCTCGGATGAAGTTCGAGCAGCAGGATCGTGTCCGGTCCGCGTCGCGACGGTCCGGAACAGGCCGCGAAACCGCGCAAATTCATTAGCATTCAGGTACTTAGTTCCGGCCAACTCGTCTTTTCTCGGTTACTTACAACAAAAGCATGTATTGCGTCACTGCTGGGTTTGGGAGTTAGGGTAGCAGGGCATAGATCTTGGAGATACACTTGGCGCCCAGTGCTTTTAGGCTCAGAGATCTCCAAAGTATCCCACCCTATTCCGCAAGCTCAGACTTACCCTGTCAGAAACAGTGACAAGGCAGAAATTCCGGGTAAGTTTCCCGAACAGAGCCACTACCCGAAAGGGTTGTGCTACAACCAAGACCGAGCCCTTTTCCAAAAGTCAAGTCTTCTAGAAATCTTGCATGTGGTTATTTATTACACGAGCAAAAAGGAAAGTCTTGTCTCCAAGCAAATCGGATACTGTCGTCCTAAATGTGTCAAGTAGGTATGCTAAAACTTATCGGAGTGAAAATTGCGATAACGGACTGAAAGGTTACACAGGTTGTTAGCCGAGCTCTTCTCGAAGGCTTTGAAGTCAGACTATCATTCATAACCGTTAGATCGTCTTTAGGGGTTATCCCATCTTGAACTTGGTTTTGCAAGTTGAGGGCCTCGGCCCACGCTGTTGAGGTCGGTAGCTGCACAATCGCCAGGTGAAGTACGGAAGCTACCCGGCCAGACTCCCGCAGGCGTGATTGAACTGTTCTGATTCCCATAACGGTGAAGGGAGACACTTGAAAGCTCGGTGAGAAGCATAGCAACTGGCGTTAGTTGAAATGATTCCAATCCTTCATTACATTAAGTAGGTGTTGGGGAACATAGAGTTGAAGTAAAACTAGAGATTGAAGGATCAAATCGACATAAGTAAGTGTGATGATGGTAGGGCTGGGATAACCTCTTGTATTTTGCCTTCTGTTGGGCAGCGATTATCAGGTAGGGGGTCAATGGGATGTATTGATGAGTATGAAGAACGAGTGGCTATGGGAATATCCCGACTATCTATATAGTGAGTGGAAGACCCTTTATACTGGCATATCCTTGGCAAACTTAGTCATGCTTGTGTAAGACCATATTGTTTCATAGGCATGGTGTGACAATCGTTGTAACGAGTGTACTGGGATGGGCCTGACACACCCCCCTAGGTTCAAGTCTTTGCTTGAAGCTATTCACACTTCTTCCTGGCCCAGCAGGTGTGTGATGTTAACAAGACGAAGTTGACGAACGAATTCTCGGTGTTTTTGTGCGTTCAGTGGTTTGGTTAGACCATCAGCGATAGTGCTATTGGTATCCATCCACTTGAAAGTGATGTCTCCTTTCCGACAGACTTGGCGAGCCCACAAATTCTGTATATCGATATGTTTCAGCCTGGAGGTTCTGTGGGGCTTTTCATCTGTCAGAAGACGAAGAGTTTGACTGTTGTCGCAGTAAATAGTAGGGAAACCGTCTGGTTGAATCTGGAGATTCTCCATTAACCTTATGGTTGCCATATACTCTCTTGTGGCTTGAGTGAGAGCAACTAGTTCTGCTTCCGTTGATGAGGTAACTACACAGGTCTGCTTTGTGGCTCTCCATTCAATAGGACCACCAAAGAGCATGGTGATATACCCCTGACTGCTTCGTCGTGTATTGAGGTCATCAGCAAATGCTGCGTCGGAAGAACAGCACAGTCTTCCGTCTGCTGACCCATCGTATTCAATTGCTAATCCCTTGGTTCGGGCAAGGTAGGCAAGACATCTGTCTGCCGCTTCCATGTGCGATGGACCAGGATTCTGAAGATATTCAGAGAGTCTTGATGTTGTATGTGATATATCGGGTCTGGCAATAACAGCTGCATAGTTGAGAGATCCAACCTTGCTCTGATATTCGATGATTGTCTGTTTTGACGCTTGACCATCGTATTTGACAAGTTGATCAAGTGCCATTGGAGTCATTGGCCATCCTTTGTTGTTTTGGACCTTATACTTGGTCTCAAGAGAGTCAATGTAGTTATCGAGGGATAGCCATATCTTTTTGGCATTGATGTCTCTGATAATTCTGATGCCAAGAAACCATCGGAGATCGCCCATATCTCTGAGTTGGTAATGGTTGTGAAGATCATCAGTGATCTTTTTGGCCTCTTCCTGCAGGTCAGGGAGGAAAGCGATCACTATATCGTCTACAAATATAAAGACGATGATCCCATCTCTCATGAAGACACACTCGTCTTCCTCAAGTTGGCGAAAGCCTATTTGCTTCATAGTTTTGGTAATGTGACGTTGCCAGAGGAGAGGCGACCTCCTGAGGCCATATAAAGCTCTGAGAAGCAAAAGACAACTCTCATATTCCTCAAAGCCAGGTGGGTGTCTGACATACACCACCTCATCTAGCCAGGCGTTTGTGAACGCATTGACTGCATCTTTTTGCCAGAAACGAAGTCCAAACCTGGCTCCAAGGGCCATCATGGTTCTGAAGGTTCTGGCAGCAAGAGTTGATGCTGAAGTGTCGAGATCGTTCGGCGGTTGAAGATTGCCTTGGACACAAATCCTTGCTTTGAACTTGTGAAGATAGCCGTGCTTGTCGAACTTATAAGTGAACACCCATAATAAGGGGATAATAAAGTGTTTTTCCTTATCGACGTTGCAGATCTGAACTCTCTTCCATGTGGCGATATCCCAATGGTGTTTTAGCTCAGATTCACAAGCAGCTTTCCATTCCTTGAAGAAGGGGTGCTTTTGAGCCTCTCTCCAGTTTCTGGGAGTTGGAGGAAGATCTCTCTTGTGCATCTTTCTTGTCGCATCCATCGTTGCGCTATGGAGTGCGCTTGTGTTGGCGGATATGTAGGCGATATACTGCTTCTGATAGAGACCTCTCGATTCAGAGCCTGCTGCCTTTTTACTTGGTTTCCGTCGCCTCGGGGATTTCAGGATGTTGGAAGAGTCAACCCCTTCACTTTTGTCGTATTTCTGGCGTCTTTTGATAACGTTGCTGAGGGGCTGTTGACCTACACCTTCCAAAGTGTTATTGTTGGAAGTATTGCTACCATCTCCACTCGTTGGAGTTGGTGAAGTCGCTGATTGGGTTGGTGATGAATCTTCTGGTCGAGGGGAGCCTTCCACCCACCCAGGTTCGATCTGATGGTCCCTATGTAAGGGTTGATTTTCTTCTTGTTGAGACACTGTCTCTTCTGTGTTGACATAGATGGTTTCATGGATTACTTCGTCTGAAGTAATGGCTGACGATGAAGATGGAAGTGGAGGGCTACTAGACATCACCCCCCCAGCCGAAGAGATATCGAGGCTGGTTTCTGTTCCTCTTACAGAACTGCCAGGCTGGCTGGATAGGCGGTTACCTAGCGTCACTTCTTCCCTAAGACAAGGTAGAGTTGGAAGACTATTATCTGGAGCGAAAATAGAACTTTGGCGGTCTGACGGATGAGTTGCATAGGTATCTGGGGCCGCGAAATCCTCTAGAATGGATTCGATATCGTGATCAATATCGTCATGGAGTTCCAACAGGTCTAGATGCCCTGTCTGCTCTCTTATCTGTACGGCATCAAGTTGCTGGACTTCTGAAGGATTGTAGACAACTGATTCGTCAAATGACACGTCTCTGGATCTGAAAACCTGATTCAGAGTAGGGACCCATATGCGATAGATGTTCGAGCTATCATATCCACAGAGATAGCCAAAATGAGCTCTAGGTGCCATCTTGGCTGACTTTTGGCGGCCAGCCATGTAGTTTTTGGTCAGAGGATAGGCTCTGCAACCATATCTCTTGAGATGGCTAAGCGATGATAGTTCTGGGCGCTTTGTACCCTTGTTGGCATTCAGCCACGCATTCGTCTTTCCTTCTGGTGTCATCCAGTTGATCTTCCTTCTTGGAGTTCGGTTGCCAAGATAGACGGCTGCCGCTGTTGTCTCTGGCCAGAGTTGTGGGGGAAAGTTTGACTGTATACAGAGAGCTCTTGCTGCAGCAAATATAACTCCCCCAGCTCTCTCGGCTTGGCCGTTTTGTGCTGATGTGTATGGTGCTGTTCTCTCCAGAATGATCCCTTCCTCGGAGGTGTAGTCCTCTATGTTGGTCTGTAGAGACACATCCCCATCAAGCCGTAAAAATCGTACAACAATATCGTATTGCACTGAGAGAAACTTGACTAGTTGCTTGATAAATCGGAGGCCAAGAAGTCGTCGATGTGGAAGTGCTCTCTGGAGCTTCAGCTTGGTGTATGGGCATGTGGCGATAATACTGACTTTCGCCCCATTGTACGCTTCCTCCATCAGAAAGAAGTCAATGTTGATCCTCTCGAATGGGTAAGTGGTTTTGTAAATTGGTTGACGTCTTGAGATGCTCCTCATTGCTTTGGCCTGTCTACATGTCTCGCAGTCCTCTATCAGAAGACCCTCTATTCCTGCATCTGAGGATGCCTTGGATAGGTGTTGAAGAGCCGCCTTATTTGCGTGGCTAAGTCGTTCGTGCCACAGTTTGGCGTTCTCCTTGCTGGTTGCTCGAGGCTGAGAAGAGGATGAGAAATAGACTGCCCCTTGGCCGTCAGGAGGCTCGAGATGGTATTGTGATTCTAGTATCCAGATTTGAAATTGAGGACTGCCCTGATTGTCTTCAAAGCATCGATGTCTTGCCGAGAACCAAAGTCCTTGCTCTTCTAATCTGATGGTACTGATCAGGGTAGTTGGAGCGTCTGATACTAAATATGCGCTGTTGATTCGCAATTGATGAGGTTGGCCCATTGCATCTACTGCATTGACTATCATGGTCCCTTTTGGGGTTGCAATAATAGGCCCATTTGGGGTGTCAAAGGTCTTCTTGACAGGGTTTAGATCTGCAAAGCGAGATTTGTCCCATGTGAGGGTATCTGTTGCCCCGCTGTCAACAAGTACAGCGTGTTTGTTATCGCTGGCTTGAGCGATGTGCTGACAGCTGCCATTTGGTTCTTCTGGCACTGAGCTGGTATCCGACCAGTCAGTATCTGAGTCTGATGGACTGGATGCCCGTATGTAGTTGGCCTTGCTGGCCTTCTGTTCTGCCAATTGGTCTGGAGAGACGCTCTTGGTCCTGCTTTGTTCTATCTTTTCCTTTAGCCTAGGGTTGTTGGCAAGGAAATCTTGAGCCATCTGGATCTTCGCTGTGTCTCCAGTCCAGCCGGATGGACGAATGTATGGGTTTAAATAGAAGCATTCCTGATAAAAGTGCTTCTTCCCATCTGATAGACAAAAGGGTTTCGGCCTGTTGTCCTTATCCTTTGGTTTTCGGCCAAAAGAAGCGTTGTTGGTGTTGCCCTTGGCTGAAACCCGTGGAGATTGGCCTTCTTCACGCTGTTTCCAAGTGGCATATGCACCGCCTGATTTGGAGTCTTCATCTCCATGCCCAGCCTCTAGCCAGGTTCTCAAATGCTGAAGGATTTTCTTGCCTGTCAGCCGTTCTGATGGATCAACGTCGTCAATTTCTTCCCTGGTTGTATCCCTAGCCATGGGAGCGACGAAGTCTGGATATACCCCTTTCAATGCGTTGAGAAGGGTGGTTTGTTGATGAGGTACACTCATCTCTTCACAGCCCAATCTGACTGCTTTGGAGAGATTGGTCTCACAAGATTGAATCCACTCTTGGGTGCCTGATCTCTTGATCCTCATGAGATGATCTCTATAGGTCTTGTAGGTAAGTCTTTTCTCCGCTTGAGGAGATCGTTGATACCTGTCCTTCAGGCTTCGCAGGGCTTCTCTTGGAGTATCAGCATCCACTAGCCAGGAGAGCATGGTTGGCTCGATAGTGGTGGTGATGTCTCTCATGGTTTTCTGAAGCGCCTGGGTTCTTCGCTCGTACTGCCTAAGCTCCTCGATATATACTCTGCTGTTGGCGTCAAACAGAGTAACTTGGTCGCTATTTGGGTCGACTGGCAGTTGTGGTCTGATAGGCGCAGTCAAGGCCTCATCAGAGTCAGGGTTGCAGAACTGCCATATCCCGTTAGATTTGGCATTCATCCTGATGAAGGTATACCAGTCTGGCCAGTCAGATTGGCTTTTAAGGCGAATAGTAGTCTGTACGGTAGACATCTTGTCCGATAGACAAATAGGTCGGTTGTGATACCCGTGGATTGACCAGGTGCCTGCCTGGGCTGCTAATAGACAAAGAGGTAGTTGACTGTGTGATGCTTATTCAGAGTATCCAGTGGTCAGAAAGACAACTGGGCTCATAACTGTTGGGCAGCGATTATCAGGTAGGGGGTCAATGGGATGTATTGATGAGTATGAAGAACGAGTGGCTATGGGAATATCCCGACTATCTATATAGTGAGTGGAAGACCCTTTATACTGGCATATCCTTGGCAAACTTAGTCATGCTTGTGTAAGACCATATTGTTTCATAGGCATGGTGTGACAATCGTTGTAACGAGTGTACTGGGATGGGCCTGACACCTTCAAACCCTCTGATTCTTCTTCGCTGACACCGAGAACTAGCATCTGCGATGGTTTCATAATCGGCAGGACCTTTCTAGGAACATAGATACAAGCTGGATAGAATACCAGAGTGCAAAACTATGTATCAAAACTCTGCACGATATGTCGTCGAAATTTTAGCCATGTGGACTGCCACACCATTCTCTCCTTGCTTCTCGCCCTCCTTTTTCCCGTTGTCATCTCTCACCATCGGGCGCGTTGCGAGATCTTCAGCTTTTGGATATGCGACCTTGTGCACAGTGTACCAGGGTCGACTGAAAAGAGTTTCCATATACTCTAAAGACCTTCCAGAAGTTTCCGGCATCGCAAGATATACGTAGACAAGGGAAACAGAGCAGATGGCCGCAAAGAATATGAACGCACCGTAACGCTCTGTAGCGGCCAGAAGTGATGGCATAGCTCGCGAGCAGCCAAAGTAAAAGGCCCAATGAAAGGCCATGAGGACAGATACACACAGAGATCTAATTCTAATGGGGAAAACCTCTGCGCTGACGAGATAAGGGATGGAAAACCATCCTATGGACCGTGCGATTGCATGCAAGTAAATGGCCGCGATGGCAGCTTCACTTGCTCGTCTCGCTGCTGGATCTGCAGAGATGTCTTCTGGGTCACGGCCATTGGTGACTTTCAGGTAGATACCAACGAATAGAAGCGTGGTAATCTGTAGACATATACCCGTAAGAAGGGAACGCCTCCTGCCGATGAAGTCGATAACGAAAATCGAGAATAGTAAGACTGAGATAAACTTGACAATGGCATAAACCCCAGTAGCAAGGAGAAGACTCTCCTCGCCCTGTATACCAAGATATCCAAAAATGGACGGGCTGTATTGCTTGCTGTATCCAAAAAGGACCCGGGCCCCTTACCGCCCCCGAAGGGCCAGGCCGAAGCCTATTGGTACGCCCTGATCAGAGATCCGGGTGCCTTTGAGAAGTTCGAGCGCTTGACGCGGTACTTCGAAACGCACTCCATGTGAGGGGATAGCAAGCCCGAGATACCACGCCTCACACTTTATCATACACCTACCGATATCTCTTGGGCCATATCCCTACCTCCACCCTCCCTCTCCCTCTCCCTCCTTTATTTTTCCCGATCTACTCGAGATAATACTGGAAAACAGAAAAATGTACTCGTGGGTAATTACGCCCGCGAGGGCCGTCCTTTTCGTTATAGCCCGTCGTCTGTGGACGATATAGGGCTACTCAAGGCCCATTCGCTTCTGCCGAGTCAGGAAACCCCTGCTGGCGTGCTTTTTTTGGAACTGAACGGACCCTAGGGATTAGCTAATAATCTCCACTTGTTGGTATTCCTTTCACAGGGAATTTGGTTCGAACCGTAGGGTCCTGGGGGTGACGAAGTATCAACATCTCTGTATTGATTGATTCTGCGTAAGGAGTAGAAGGGAGATTCCAACCGGAGGTTGGGTGGGTAGTCGAGGTCTAAGTGTACCCCCTCGAGGTGGCCCATGCTCTGCCCCTACTCGCGGTCGAATTGGACTTCCAATCCGACAATTCCGATGGGATCCCTAAAGCCCGCATCGTTAGTGGGACACCTGGCATTAACTTGACGAACTGCTGCTTTGGTGGGCCTGAAAACAAGACCATCTTTATCACAGATAGCTTGGAAGGGAGTATGCAAAAGCTCGATTGGTATTGCCGAGGCGCACGACCGCAACCAAGCCTCAAGAGATAGCAGATCTGCCAATGATACTAGACTTTTCTACAACTGTAGTCATCCTTCTTCGTGCAGGAAAGAAAGTCGCTTGAGAAGGCGGAGTCTAGTAGGGTTCGGAGGTCCTCAAAGAAGCAACTCGCACGGAGTGATTCCGACTCACAGCAGGGAGCGGGGGCAAAGGTCCAAAGCAACAGTGAAAAGTAGCCGAACCATGCCAATTTCCCCATCTTCAAACGCGTCGCCGGAGCCACTCCGAAAGTTGTCACGAAAGAGGTATAGCAGTGGATATCTCAGGGGTAGACAGGGGTATTGCCATACAAAAGGGGCTCCCTCGAGGGCTTCCCTTTTCCCCTTTTCCATAGTTGATTAGACCACAGTTGAGATCCCGATTTCCATGAGCTACTCTATATGCTGATTTGTGACAAAAGTCGTGTCGGAAACAGCATTGAAGGTTCAACACACTCCTGTCAAATATTCCTTGACGTTTGCTCCCAAAAATGAGCGGCGCAGCGGATCGACTACCCCGACTTCCAGCTTGTCAGCTGTGCTATCAGAAGAAAATCCAAGTATGTGCCGCTATGGACCCCAATAACGTAAGCGGGGGCCTAACATTTACTTCATCAAGTGCGACAGTACCAGGCCAACATGTACTCCATGTTCAAAAACTGGCAGCGAGTGCGTTGTGCTGAATTCTGGTGGTGACAGAGCAATCTCGCGAGCGTAAAGTTTAGAAGACAGAAACATAAAAAGCTAAAGGCTATTTGCGGCAGCGCCGAAGAGCTTATGGAAATCCTCGGCATGACTCCGGGTATCCGTTCACGAACGAGAATTAAGAAGTCATATAACAATACCTTTGTCTCAAGCATCCAAAGACTTCTTTACACAGTAAATCAAACAAGCATACTCCTCAACATCCAACATTTCCCCTCCTCCCAATAAAAATATCCGTTTCTATCCCCCACTAGTTCAAAGAGAAGCTTCTGCGCGACGAGGTGGCATCGACTCTGAGCGTCAAACTAGTCAAGTCGGTAGAACTTCCCAACTTGGCTTTGGCATCCAGTACTGAACCTGGCCCTAGCATGATCAGCCTTGTTATGGACCGCCCTGTGGGCATTCAGGATGAGGACATTTCAGTACGGGTGAGTGGAGGAAACTACAAAGACAACTTCTCAGTCGGAAGAAAGTTGACAAACGTATTCCAGCCCCCAACTGAAGACGATGGCCTACCCGTGTCGACGGAAACGCCACATCACAGATCGCAAACTAGTCGCTATCTTGTACTCTATTCGCAGCTGATTTCAAGCATCCGGTCAGGAAGAAAAGTGGATGTTCTACTTACTTACAGTAACACCGTTCATTGGAGAGATCTACCTCCCAATATTGACCCTCACTCGCCCTCTACTCAGCAGCTTTCGAACCTTTACCAGCAACCATTTTGTCGAGCTTTGGTTCATCTCACCTTTGAAATGCCTCAAGCAAACATGTTGAATGATCTTTGGCTGGTTAACACCCAAGATCTTGAGACGGATACTATCAATACGTCATTCCAATTTGTCAACCGGTCTTACGATCTGTTTACAAAGGGAAGTTTTGTTTGCAGCTTCATTGATGCATACGACATCTTCCAAGCTGTGGTCGCTTTTGCATGCCTCACCTATCGTAGAAGTCAAGATGATTCTGCCCCGCGTCGACTCGCCAAAGTGACAGAAGTCATTAACAAAGCCTCGGCACTTATCGCGGCGTCACGATTTCCTGCACTTGCAGCATTTCAACAGGTCCTGCTTAGTCTTTCCACCAGGATTATGGAAAGTGACGAACCAGTCATCAATGTAAGACGGATTCGGAGTTTTTAAATTCTCTACAAGTATGACGAAGGCTAACCTTTTCAAAGATCACCTCTTCGGGTGACTTCCCAGATGTTATTCCACGTCGATCTAAGCGACTCATTCGATGTACCTTTACGTAGCCAAATTCAGCTTGCTATATCAATGATTAATTGCGGAGAGAGGAGGTAGGACACTGCTGGGATTTGTCCCTAAACTTCACATGGCGGATAACAGACTTCAATAGCAGCATCATGGCCGAGATCAACATAGATGTCGCTGAGTGAAGAACTTGCCATAAGAGTCATATTCCCGTCATTGGAGCAACGTAATTGGGTAGTCTATGTATGATCCTCACTTCAAAGAACTGAGCCGATTCTGGAATCCGTTGCTGACGCGGACTCAGTCCGAGCAGGGTCGGACGCACTCCGGTATTAGTGGCGAGACTGGACCAACCCCAGACAGCCCGCAACACATCCACAATCGTTCCGCGGGGAAACTGGGTCTCAATGCGGGGAAGTTGAAAGCTCCTTTGGGTATGAGATTATTATCGCACATTGCTGGTTCCCAGCTGAGCCTCAGGTCAAGACCAGTGACACCAGTCTGTGACAAGAGTACAAAGGGTGTCGACTCTTCCAGTCAGATGGCATTTCCAAATCCTGCTTCACATGTCCCATTCTTCTGAATCAGATAATCCTTTGTCAACATGGCTTCTCCTCGTGATTCCACACGCGGCTCAGTCGATGTCAAAGTCAGGATTGAATGGGAAGAAAACACTCAGACCCGCGACCCTCTACTGGAGCCCTACGACCTCATCAGAGACAAAACCCCCGAACAGCTCAAATCACTCAATAGAGCTGTTAAATTTCTGCCGATGGTGTGCGCCATGCTTATGATGAAGTGAGTTTTTCCTCTTCCTTCTCGTCTTTTTCCGTCAATACCGTACCCCTGCGGTAGTTGACTGTGCTCAGTTATCTAGACCGCATCAACGTTTCCAACGCACGACTTGCCGGCATGCAAGATGATCTGCACATGTCAGACATCATGTGGTCCGCCGGTATCTCGCTTTTTTACGTGGGATATATCATTTCGCAGGTTCTCGCGAATGTCATCATCGCGAAGGGAAAGCCACGAACTTTGCTTCCATGCTGTATGATCGGGTGGTCGATCACCACCATATGCATGCCCCGGTCACTGCCGGCTGGGGCTTTCTCCTGTGTCGTTTCGTTATAGGTCTAAGTGAAGGCCCCTTTGTGCCAGCGGTGTCGTTGATGACATCGTCTTGGTACACAAAGCATGAGTCTCTCCTCCGTATGGGAACTTGGCACGCTGGAAACACCATTTCGCAGGCCGTTTCGGGCCTCCTAGCTGCTAAAGTCCTCCGCAATATGAATGGTATAGCTGGGCTATCACCATGTCAATGGTTCTTGCTTCTTGAGGGTCAGTTGCTGTGGATATGCGATGACAATCTCCTTTACTAACGCAGTCACAGGTATTGTCAGCATCATTGTTGGTCTAGCCAGCTTTTGGCTTATTCCCAACTTTCCCGAGTCGACTGGCACCTATTTTTTAACCGCCGAGGAGTCGCAAATGGCCCAATACCGGCAAACTGTGTCAGCTGGCGGTCGAACTGAAGACGACGAGGGCGACTATTGGGGAGGAGTATGGATGGCACTCAAAGACCCATTCACATACCTCTTCTCTGCTATACATTTCTCCCTAATCATCGCCCAGTCTTATAAAGACTTCTTTCCATCCGTCAGTCAAATCAACGTTAGCTTCAATCACAGGTCCAACTTCTACTCACATAAAACGTCTATAGATCCTTACTACTCTTGGATTTGGGACTACCGAGACGTGCCTTATTCAAGCGCCACCTCCAATCATTGCATTTCTTGTGACTTTGGCAGTTTCTTGGTCGTCCGGCCGGATGCTTGAGCATGGCTACCACATTATCATTCCGATTCTGTTGACACTGGTTGGGTGCATTGTGATGATCACAACGCTCAATGAACCGCAGTACTTGGGATTGCAATGACGAGGAGGGCAAGATTCACCGACCAAGCTACCGTGTAACGGGGGCCGGCGCTCTTTGGGTATAGATACGGAGTCCAAACCAGTGCGAGGTTTCCGATTGAATTATTCGCAGCCAAGGCAATAGCTCGCTTCTTTTGCGGCCGAGCAGCAATATTCGCCATCCAGGCGTTGGAGATCTGGAAGCAGCCATATGTCCCAGGCAACATGAGGAACAAGGCAAAATACCGTGCCCCAGTATTTGTAGTTGCAATCGTGATGATGGTTCCACCTAGAGCGGCTGCAGCCGGATACATAATGTGTATCGACCGTTTTGACGTACGATCCGAGTACCAAGTGTTGAGGAGGCAAAACAGGGCAGTGAAGATGTACGGCGGCGAAGTCAGCAGAAGTGTCTCAATGGTGCCATATCCGAAGCTCTGGACAAGCGTGGGCAGGAAGTTGGTCAAAGAAGCAACAGCATGCAAACACATCTGGCCGATTACGCATAGCCAAATGTGGTAATCCCTAGCCGCAAGGTTGAAAGCGGCGCCAGTGCTAATAACTTCTTCCTCTTTTCCAGCGTATTCGATGATACGCAAGACGCCGATAGCTTTCTCTTCAGGCGTCAGCCATTTCGTAGTCGCGGGCCAGTCGGGTATAGTAAACGCGGTGGCCGTGGCGAATACGATTGTTGCGATGCCTTCGATGATGAAGAGCCATCTCCAAGACTCGAGGGAGTTGTTCGAGAACGCAGCCGCTATGCCTGCAGCAAAGAGTCCGCCAAAAGCACCCGAGACCATGGCAGCGCAAAAGAATATGCCAAGACGTAGACCGAGTTCCTTTCGAGTGTACCAGCCACTAAACAAGAAAGCGCAACCGACAAAGAAGGGCGCCTGTGGGCTTCTAGTCAGCATGGTATTCGGAAATTGCATCCAGTCTTACTCAAGATAGCAGTCTGGGTTACGAACCTCGGTGATGCCTAGAAAGAACCGATTGACCGCTAGCCCAGCAAAGCTGTGGACTGCGCCAGACAGACCGATGACTATGCCCCACGTAGTCATGCATCCAGAAAGATACCAGCTGGGGCGGACTTTGGTGAGAATCATGTTGCTGAGTACTGGGAATATCGGCGTTAGAATTTGTCTCAACCGATCTTCAGGGGGGTTGTCGGCAGGTATCTTGCATGGCGATATATCCAATGAATGTGACCGAAAGAACAATATTATACTCGTAACCCGATATTCCGAGATCCTTATCTAGGCCTTGAACTCGAGCATGGGCTAGTGCCAGGTTAGTAAGTCGTACTGACTTGACGTCCATCACCTGAAAACACTCACGAACAGCATTCCGGTCGACATAGTTCAAGATGTACATGACAATCTGCGCGAAGGTTAGTATCTGTGCGTTCTCCAAGCCATCCTGGCGAGAATCCGTGACATACCAGGATAGGTAAGAGCCTCCAATCGATCTTCCGTACCAACTTCCTCTCTCGTCCGGCTCTCTCTTCTGGGGACCACGCAGCGACAATGGCAGCATAGTCTACTACCATTGGTGCGTTCTCCGTCACATCCTGCTCAGTCGATATAGTCGAATGGCTGAGTTCATCAAAGGGAGTCTCTATCACCACGCAGTAGAACAATTTCCCCGGGTATGTCTTTACCTTGGTGAAGGGGCAAAAGATTGATGACGAGATCAGACGAGAATAGGGGCTAATTTCGGTGAAACTGGCCTTGCCTTTTCTTGTATGAACGAAGAAATTCAAGATTCGGGAATCAAGTGCAGCCATGAATTTATAACTATTTAACCCCAACTACCTTCGGTCGCTTACGTCTTGAACCGACCACACTTGTCACTCAACAGAGACGGCTCGGTCAAGCGCCTCTCAGACTTGATGATGTCCTTTACCCCGACCGCAAGCAACACGCTAACATCGCCAAGACTCCGGGGTAAGTTTCGTCGAATGGCATCGATTTCCGATTTCCCGGCAAACAAATTCGACTTGGTTGAACACGGCAAACCTCTTAAACCCAAAGCCACTACAATGTGAGCCGATTGCGCGACTCTTGAAGTCCGAAGATTGACCGCTGACGCTTGGGATAAACACATCCTGCTCGCGGCAATGCCAGTCACAAATGAATTTCTCTGAGGCGTACTGGAGTCATGTATAACTGTAGTCTCACAAGAACCAGGAAATCGGCGAAACGCCGATGCAGCGGCCAACTTTTGGAGATCGCGGTGGGGTAGCAGTCGGCCAGCCTAGGATCGTCTCAACCCAGGCCAGTTAGATTGGAGACGCTGGAAAACGTTTCCATTGAGAATTAGGATGACAGCTTACATAAATATCTCCAGTATCAATCTCATAGAATTCCATTTTCAGCTATCCCATTTCATTCCTACAACAGCTAAAGACCCCTCCTACACAATTCTTTCCTTGTCTCCAAGACTCTCACCAGTAGCCGTAATTCCAGTCATTATGACGAGTCTATCGACCAAACTTGCTGATCTCGAAAGAGCCGGCAAGCCAGTACAAGTCGGTATCATTGGTGCTGGCAAGTTTGGTTCCATGTACATCTCTCAATCTCATCGTACTGCAGGTATTCACCTTGCTGCAATCGCCGATCTATCACAAGAGCGTGCCCTTGCTGCTCTCAAACGCACCGGGTACCCAGAAAACAATTTTGATGCCACCGCTTCGCTCTCAATCTCTGAAGGTATCGCCAACGGCAAGACCACTATTACCACAGACTCGGCCGCCCTAATCGCAACACCCGAGATCGACGTCATTCTTGAAGTTAGCGGTAACCCGGCCGCAGGTATTCGTCATGCTCTGCTATGTTGCGAGCATAAAAAGCACATCGTCATGATCAACGTCGAGGCAGATGTTCTTGCGGGACCCCTGCTAGCCCGAAAGGCTCGAGAGGCCGGTATCATCTACTCAATGGCCTACGGTGACCAGCCTGCCCTCATCGCTGAGATGGTTGACTGGGCGAGAACGGCTGGCTTCGAGGTCGTATGCGCTGGCAAAGGCACCAAGCACCTACCAGAATACCATTACTCCACGCCAGATACGGTCTGGAATCACTATGGATTCACCAAAGAGCAACTAGCTGGTGGTGACTTCAACCCACAGATGTTCAACAGCTTTCTTGATGGCACCAAGAGCGCACTGGAGATGGCAGCTGTCGCCAACGGTTGTGATTTGAGTCCTCCAACCAACGGACTGAGTTTCCCACCCTGTGGTGTATGGGACCTACCCAATGTGTTGAAGCCCATCAGCGAAGGAGGTCAGTTGGAGAAGACTGGCACCGTCGAAATTGTGTCTTGCATGGAGGAGGACGGTCGATGGGTTTTCAACAATCTACGATGGGGCGTCTACGTGATTATAAAAGGTAAGCGTTCTTCAAGTCCAACTCGTTCAGCCACGACGGTTTCTGATATAACTATTAGCACCCGGAGAGTACCAGCGTGAGTGCTTCAAGCAATATGGTCTGAAGACCGACCCATCTGGTTGGTACGCCGCTCAATACAAGCCATATCACCTCATCGGACTCGAGCTCGGTATTTCCGTCGCCACCATCATGGTCCGCGGTGAGCCCACAGGCCAGACCAAGACTTGGGCCGGCGATGTTGTCGCGACAGCAAAGCGAGATCTCAAAGCAGGCGAGACGCTTGATGGGGAAGGAGGCTTCACGGTTTATGGAAAACTCATGACGGCTGAAGACTCAATGGCGATTGAAGGACTGCCCATCGGTCTGGCTCACGGCTTTGTTCTGAAACGCGACGTCCAGAAGGACCACGGCCTCAGCTGGCAAGATGTTGAGTATAGTGAAAAGACACAAGCGGTGGCTATCAGGAAGGAGATGGAGGCCATGTTCAAAAAGGAGTTCCAGGCGCAGAAATCAGGAGGCGTCAATGGACTGAACGGCGTGAATGGGGTGCATTGAGAGACTAAATACTGTTTTCAGACCATGTTCCGTTAGACTCTGGCGAGTACCCACAGGTTAAACAAAGACACCAGTTTGAAATACTCCCAGATCTCTCAGCATCGATAAACGGAAGCAATTGACTTGAAAAGTATGCGGAGTCGTCGATTTGGGGGAATGCATATGTCTTTGAAGTCAACGCACTACATGCCTCGATATTACTGAAACGAACCAAGGTGAGTCTGTTTGCGAAAGTTTCCTGTGCTAGCTTGGATCAGCAACATAAAGCTTCACACTTTCGCCTAGGTAAGAGCAGGAGATCACATATGAACTGCACGGAAGTGAATAGGCCTATGTTCGATACTAGGTTGAGGTGACGATAACCGCAAAAATCCGAACAACGTTTCTTGACATCACAAACGTATCAGACTAAGGATGCAAGGGAAAGGACCAACAGTTATCTATCAGAGTAAGTACAGTGTCACAAGTGTCCATCTAGCATCGCTTGGCTTGCAGACAGCTTTCATGTAGCGCCGGCTTTACTTCTGGACCTGCCCGTAGTACCAGACATTTTAGCCCATTCTCCTCGGGCTCACAACGGTGGGAGGCGGCAACTTCGTCAAGGTGCGCCCAGATCGGCAGGACTAGCACTCTAGTCTGACTCGTGAAGCCACAACGGCGACAGGTCAACAACATCATTGTCGGTAGTCGATCGGCGTGCTTAGAAATCTCGCAGTCCGGCGGGATAGAATAAGATAGCAAATCCTTATCTTGTCAAAGGAAAGTCCATACCGCCGGTAACGCATATGCAGAGATGAAGTGTAACGATTGAACGGCTGAACCGGCCTCATGGTCAAAGTTATCTTTCGGACTTACGGAACACTCCTGCAGGGATCAAAAGCCAATGAGACATGATTGGAATGATCCACAGGTTGCTGATGTGACCCAGCCATGCTTGCTCCATTCCATTTCGCGGGGGTTCGAATGGTCTGTGAGGGGAAAAGATGGGATTTTCTGTGGGTTGCATGAATGCCGGGCAAATTCGGGCAGACCTTTGAAGAACATCAGTGAACCAACTCTAAAGAGGAGGTTTACAAAGTTGAAGGCAGATAGATGAGCAGCAAGAAACCAGTGGTGATTTGAATCAACGGGATGAAGTTTGTTGGTTTGACAACTTTAATGATCCGTCAGAGAGCTTCTAGAACGTGTCATTGTCGCACAGATCAGAACCCATGTCTTGAGCAATACAATCAGGTTTTTCAGGCATTATTTCCTTGATATTTGCAATCTTGCCAATTTTTCTTTTGCCCCCCACATGAAGCCTAGGAGAGCCCTGTCGCAACGCTAAATTGGGATGAACGAATTTTCGTGACAATCTGTAACAGGACGAGTGTCGTATCGGCCTTGCTGAGCCGGTCTACGAGCTAGAAGGCCGAATGCTGGACTAGCACCAGTCGGAAGCCGTTTCTGTTCCTCTTCGCCTGCCTTAGCTTGCTGCTCGCCGACTTGGCATCGCGCGATCGGTGCGGCGGCTGCGGCCTAGCAGACTCCCCTGCCGCCTCACGGAGCGCCAAGCCGGCCAGATAATTCTTTTCATCAGCCAAGAATGCGGCTTCCCACCCGGACCGGGACCTGTAGCTGGCGGGAGCTAGGAACAAGCCACCAAGCGGTCAGGCACGACGATTGCGAGCTGCTCGTCCCGAAGGAGAAATGTTCCCAACACGTGGTGATGTGTCAGACCACGTTCTCTGTAAAGTGATAGATACAGCAAGACCAGGGGCATGCTAGATCTTGACTGTGGGTATTTGGGAAGAGACTCTTGACAGATGAAAACCGAAGGAAAAAACTTACTTCATAAACGGACGGCTTTCATCGTCGAGAACCACCCAAAACAACACGAGTTTGACTGTCCATGTGCCGCTTCTAGATTTTTCTCCCCTAGGGTTGACGTCAGCCCACATCTCCAAGGTCCCAGAAAACCTTCCCCAAACCAATCCCCAGAGTGAGAAATTTTAACATGTTGGTAACTCTGGAGTCTGCTTTCTCCACGCGGAGACTCCGTACGTTTCCGTCGTCGTCACGAGAACGAACGGTGCGGGCTTCGGACTGTCACCGAGTAGATCCAGAACGCGGTACCGGGAGAATTTTCGGCCAAACCACCCACCCTTCGGGCGGGTCTCGTACAAACGCTATCCTGCGCGGATGTGGAGTCGCGAGTCAGATGGGAAGAAGAACGGTCGTCGCGGCCTGATCCCCGGAGCCCTTTGCCTGCTTTTTGCCTGCCAGACCTGGGGGCCAGAACAGACAACTGGGACCCCGGGCTCCGCGTCGCCCCATGGTCACGCGCTCTGCAGACTGTGTGTGAGGAAAGTCTGGAGCCCCAAGGGCAATAGAGTCTCAGCGCCCGCAACATCTGCCCTCCACCCTCCCTCCGACCTCTCCCCCAGCCTGCTTAATGTTCTCCAAGTGCGTGTTCCGTGTTCCTGGGGTCTCTCCACTGGAGAAGAGGCTTGAAAATGCGGACAAGAGGTCGCTCCTACTTCGGCCGTTTCTCTCCAGGTCTCCACACTAACACCAGACAAAAATTTCGGATGACGATGTTGGTGTCGAGGTTAGACAGACAATCACGTCGAGAGTCGGGCGAGGAATCCACAATCCATCAATGCCGTCTTCGGGTTGGCTGACTTGGAATATTGGCCGCTCTTATTGTTGATCTGCTAGTGTGTCGTCGTGAGCAGTGCCGTGACTCTGAGAAACGCAGAGGGTGATTAAAAGCCCGGCTCGTCCCAGTCTCTGGTGTTAGCCGCTTTTCCTTGGCAGGTGTCTATTTTTCCTCCGGACTATCAGAGCCGCATTTCTTAGCATCAGACTTAATCAGATCTGCTATTACCCTTTTGGGCCAATCTTTGTTTAAACGAGGAGGTCTTGGCTCGCGGCCACGCGGAACTACCCAACAACATGCACGGAGTCACACTCGCCCCGAAGATTTCGGGCAAACACAACCCAGACGGCCAAAATGAGGCTCACGTCGAGAACCTCGCCAGTGCCCTCCCTGGTGTAAACGAGAAGGATGCTGCCGCCATCGCCGCGGCCGGTGGTTGGGAGGTCGATGCATTCATCGACAGCATGGAGCGGGAGCTGGAGGCCGCTGGTGGGTTGAAGAAGGGCTTTTTCCAACTTGAGTTCACCAACACCAAGTACTTCACATGGCTCATTGTGGCCTTCGCTTCCATGGGTGGTCTCCTTTCCGGTCTCGATCAGTCTCTCATTTCGGGCGCCAACCTCTTCCTCCCTGCTGATCTCGGCCTCACAACCCGCGAAAACTCCCTCGTCAACTCTGCCATGCCTCTCGGTGCCGTCGGTGGTGCCATCATCCTCAGTCCCTCGAACGAATACCTCGGCCGAAAGATGTCCATCATCATCTCTTGCATCCTTTACACTATTGGCGCTGCGCTTTGCGCCGGCGCCCAGAACTTTGGTGAGTCCATCTACACCCCATCACGTGTCTGGAGGCCGGACATGACTAACTCACTATCAAGGCATGATTGTCAGTGCTCGTATCATCCTCGGAATGGGTGTCGGTCTCGAGGGTGGTACCGTCCCCGTCTACGTCGCCGAAACCGCCGAACGCCGCATCCGTGGTAATGTCGTCTCCCTATACCAACTCAACATCGCCCTCGGCGAGGTTCTCGGCTACGCCATCGCCGCCATTTTCATCCACGTGCCCGGCAACTGGCGCTGGATTCTCGGATCCTCCCTTCTCTTCTCCACCATCATGTTCGCCGGCATGCTCTTCCTGCCCGAATCTCCCCGTTACCTGATGCACAAGGGCAAGACGCTCGAGGCCTACAAGGTGTGGAAGCGCATCCGTGGTATTTCTACCCCTGAGGCCAGGGAAGAGTTTTTCGTCATGAAGGTTTCCGTTGTCGACGAGAAGCAGCAGGTGTCCGAGGGTGCCAAGAACAAGCGCTTCCCCTGGATGGACTTCATCACCGTCCCCCGCGCCCGTCGTGCTTTGGTCTATGCCAACATCATGATTCTTCTTGGCCAGCTTACTGGTGTCAACGCCATCATGTACTACATGTCCGTTCTCATGCAGCAGATTGGTTTCAACGACGAGAAGGCCACCTACATGTCTCTCGTCGGTGGTGGATCTCTGCTCATCGGTACCATCCCTGCCTGCTTCTACATGGAGAAGTTTGGTCGTCGCTTCTGGGCCAACACTATGCTTCCCGGTTTCTTTGTTGGACTGGTTATCATTGGTGTCAGCTACCAGATCCCTACCGATACCAACACTACCGGTGCCGTGGCTTGCTACCTCATCGGTTTGGCTCTTTACATGGGCTTCTTCGGCTGCTACGCTTGTCTCACCTGGGTTGTTCCTTCTGAAGTCTACCCCACCTACCTCCGATCCTACGGCATGACCACGTCTTCTGGTCTGCTGTTCATGTTTTCTTTCATCGTCACCTACAACTTCTCTGCGATGCAGGATGCCATGACCCGTACTGGTCTTACTCTCGGCTTCTACGGAGGCATTGCCATCCTAGGATGGTTCTACCAGGTAAATACTTCCATTTCCGTACCAAGATGAACCTCGGACTAACAATTCACAGATGATCTTCATGCCTGAGACCAAGGACAAGACTCTTGAGGACATTGATCGTCTCTTCGAGAAGCCGACTAGCGAGATTGTCGCTATGAACATGAAGAACAACACCCAAGCTTTTGGCAACTTCTTCATGGGTCGCTGGGGCAGCAAGGCGCAACAGCCCACTCGCGAACTTGAGGTTGAGGAGAAGGAGAAGGACATCGCGGCCTAAAACCTCAACTGCATTTTATGTATAATGAATTGGCTGCCGCCACGATAGATACCCTGATACTTTATAATGCAAGTGTTTTGAGACCTTAAGAGTACTCCGTACGTGCCATTCTCTTGAGAATGCGGATTCGGACCGATTATGCCTCAACTGCTTTCCTTGATTGGGCTATACCTAACTCCGCCTATCCACATGTCCGGGTCCGGACCCGATCTTGCCCCGTTCCCATGCAGGTTCCCGCAACCATGGACCAGGGCGTGCCATGCAGAAGCTCGTCATCAGCAACGGAACGTCTTGAGGAAGACTTTAAGGCACAATGAGGCAAGTAAAGTGTGATAGGTCTGTTGTTCACAGGCAAGGTAGTGTTTGCATTTTTGGAGGCAGAACAGAATCTGTCACGAGTTATGGCACGCAGCAATGGGCATATGAAGTGTGGTAAAAGTGGCGCTTGTATTAACCCAAATAGAATCGAGCAAGGAAAGGTGCTATAGGAACAAATGAGAGAATCACGTGATAACGCACGTGATGGGTTGATTACAGAGTGCTGATGCTATTCCTATTTCGTGACAGAATCCATGTCAAAAGACTAGCTGTACGGATATCTCCCACATGTCTCCCATTTCATCATCGACAGTGTGAGGGGCGCTGAGATAGAGATGAACAAACAGATTATATCGATTCGAAGATCAGACAAATGGCTTCCATTGTTCCTCGCACCAGTCCCAAAACTTGGTAGCATAACCAAGGCCCCCTTCCGTCTCCGGCTTCAAGGCCTTGACAATATCCTTTCTTGGGATATCTTCGTCAACACGAATGCGTCCCCAGGGAATGACATATGCGCCATTGTTGGCAAGCGAGATATCTGAAGACAGTCCTGCATACAGCTCGGTATACGCACCGAACTTTGTCTCGTACAGGAGACGGTTGATGAAGAACATTGAAAATGCCGGGACTCCATCATAGGCACCAGCCTTCAAGTTGCCAGGGTTCTGTTCACGCTGACAATATTATCGGAACCATGTCGAGAAGCCATCTTGCGGCCGAGAAGCCAATTGCCAAATTTGGAAACGGCATAGTTCAGCTCGCGATCTGGCGTCCCCTTTTCAAGGAGGTCAAAGTCAATGCCGTTTTGGGGAGTTGTCAATTCCGCCATGAAACTCGCAGTCCACACAACACGAACTGAGCCTTTTGCAGCTTCTTGTTTTCTCGCAGCTTCCCGGAGTTGAGATAGGAGCAGTTGAGTGAATAGTTGCGCGGCGATGCAGTGCATGCCAACCATGGGTTCAAGGCCTTGCTTCGTCTTGGCGCCTTCTTCTACTCTGTATGCGCCCGAGCCAGCGTTGTTCCAGAGGATATGAAGCTGGGACTCCTTCTGTGCAAAGAGAGCGGCGGCTGCTTTGACGCTTTCGAGATCGTTTAGATCAAAGGGGAGGAAGACTATTGTGCCGGGTGTTGAGGGTGGTGGTGTGACGGTTGTGATGGTCTCTATCGCCTTTTCAGCGCGTTCCTGAAGCAGTGTTAGGTCTGGTCAGTCTTCAAAGAAAAACAAGATTCAGATTCATAGAACCACTTTTCTGGCGGAACAAAGCCAGAAACTCTTGAAGTCCAACAAGCACGCGGTGATAAAGGACGTCGGCAGTTGTCCGAAGTTCAGAAGCATCGAGCTTGCCTTGGAGACTAACCTTGGATCGCGATGCCATGTAGATCTTGGCACCAGTCGCATATAGAATCTTAACGAGCTCAAATCCAATCCCATGGTTGCCGCCTGTGATGATGAACACTTTACCTTTTTGAGATGGGACATGTTTCTCGGTGTAGGTCGGTTGTGGCGGGAACCACTGAGAGAGCAGGTTGCGCACCCCCGCGAGAGACATGCTCACTAACTTTGTTCGACCTCAATCTGAGATCCCACAAGCTCCTAAGGCTTGAGTTGTACACAGAGATGATCAAGTTCGGGGGGTCGTTTGTCGTACTGTGTTCCTTCCCGGAACCTTCGATTAAAAGAGCGCGGAACATGCAGGTATTTATGTGACAGAGTTCTAAAAGCCCGCTCTTCGACCCATGCAAATAAGCTGACCAGCTTTGTGAAGGCCACGTTGAAACCCAGAAGCTGAATGTTCGCCTTCTCTTTCTGCGCAAGCGACACGGCTCTGAGAGGCACAGCACGTGCAGGATACCCACATCACAGTCTGTCAGACGGAGTCTCGCAAAATAAGGTGCTGACCACTGCACCTCCCGGCCACTTACGTGGTCATGCTTACCCGCCAACAAGTCTTTCCTTCTTACCATTGGGCTGCTGTACGAATTACTAATATCGAAAGGGACTTTCACGATTAACCCTGCAACTCTGCCAGGGTTTCGGCGGACTTTTGTCCAAATACTGGACGTTTCCCATTCCGTTATTTGTTTTCTCGCTTCCCTCAGCGCTGTGGTCTTACTTTAGCCTAGCAAGAGACATCAACTTGGAAAGGAGCCTTGCTTCCTCCCTCTCCATCTCTGTTAAGTTCTATCCAGGACTGCCATGCCAAGCAAGTGGTTAGTTCCCACATATCTACATATACTAACGAGCACTCAAGTAATTCACCCCTGTGGGCGATAAATGCCACTCTCAACTTGGCCAATACCCCGTTATCAATCAATCGTGATGGCAAAAACAGTCAGCCCTACACATGGGTAAGGTGAGTTCTTACTTATGCTACGCCCCAGTCCTGCAGAACATACGGAGGCAGCGACCGAGCCGCAAGCTAGCTGATAAGTACCTGGGACCCTTCATGATCAAAGCGATCATTGGGATCTCGGGAGTCGCGTACGAATTAGATATACCACGATGGTACCGGATCCATAACGTGTTCCACGTATCACTTCTGGAGCCTTACCGACATCGCGAAGGAGCACCTCGAAAGCCATTACCCATTGGCGATATCGACGGCGAGCCCCTTTACGAGGTAGACGAGATCATTCAACATAGGGGGCCAAAACAGAAGAGACAATACTTGATCAGGTGGAAGGGTTACAGCAGCGAGGAGGACACGTGGGAGCCGGCATCACACATCGAGGACGCAGCTCTAATCAGCATATACGAGAATCGGGTATCGATTGGGCGACGAGCCCTAGCTACTGATGAACCCAAAGACGCAGCTAAGGCAGCGGCGGCTCAGAGGTCGCCGATGTGGGGCCGGGCGGCAACTATTGTTCCGTGTACGGAACCCACACCTGGACAAACGGTCGGCATCTCCGCGAACGCATCGACGCCGCCGCGACAAAGGGCAACGCTATCGCAGGGAGATAACGCAGCGCGTTCATCGCTACTGAGCTTCGAGGACGAAGCCTAGTTGGAAGGGGCGCCCTGTCAGAGCCCTCCCGGATAGGGGCTAGTAAGAGGTAGTAAGGAGTCCAAGCAACAAAGGAGCAGCTCAGATATATATACAGCGCAGGGAGTACACGTCGAGGGAGGAGCAGATTTTACTAAGTCATCATTCTACCCCTAACTGCAGTTGGCCTCTGAGAGCTTCCACCCTGCGTCAACACCCCAACTTGACAATATAGCCCTATAGAAGAAGATTAAGAAGAACGACTCCGATATCGCTATGATATAATAGATGTTTAATGACGCTATGGAGCGACTTAAGAACAAGATTAAGGAAGCGGACTATTTTACGGAGAAGGTTAATACTCTCTACGGTGCCGCTAATATTATTGCTACGCTGTATGACGGACGAGAGAAGCTCAGGCTTAACTTACCTTAAGCCTTTGACGGAACCCTAGGATAACTGAAGGGATTCCTTACGTAAGTTAGAGCCTACTAACGCTTCCACGGAATGAACTCTAAGGACGAAGCCGAGAAGGTCATCTATGCCGCCTCCTTTTTAAAGGGAAAAGCCCTCGCATAGTTCGAACCATATCTTACCGACTTTATAATAACTAACGATTAGGATACTCTCAAGCAAGAGACCCAAGGTATCTCCGAAGGACTATACGGATTCGAAAGTACACTTCTATCTCTATTTTAAGAACTAGATAAAGAACGATAATACGAACGAGAGCTCTCAAACCTTCGATAGAAAGGATTAGCTTCGCATTATGCTGTAAACTTTAGATAAATCTGCGCCCGACTTAACTACTCCGATAATGCTAAGATCTTCATGTTCTATAAAGGGCTTAAGGAGGAAGTTAAAAACGAACTGTCTCGATAAGATAGACCTAACGACTTCTTGAAATATATCAAACTGGCTATTAAGCTTGATAATCGACTTTACGAATGACGAAGGGAAAGGAAATAAGTCCCGTAAGCAAACACTGGGAAACGTTATTAACCGCGCTTCTAAGGATAGAACCACCCTAGAAATAACTATTGGTAGAACCGATAAACTATGGCCTATGGATACTATAGTGGACCGATGGACCTTAGTATGGCCAAATGAGAATAACCGTACTAGAAGGAAGTCTTTAGGTGCTATAAATGCGATAAGCTAGGATATATGTCCCGTAACTGTTAACAACCTAGAAGGATCCAGCAGCGACCTGTGCCCGAGAAACAGATTAGGATCGCTACCAAGGAAATTCCTTATAAGCAACTCTCTTAGACAGTATGCTACGACGATAACTGCCTTACTTATCAAGATAGTAAGGAAAACACGGGATGGTACCCTAAGGAGCCCGCTAGCATCAAGACCCTCGCTATGACAAGCAGGCAAGAGGTCACGTAACGACCAAAGACCCTCGAGGATTATAACAAGGAATGTATTTAGACATTATCCACGGCCTACGAAGCCGTCAGGATACAACCTAGTAGCCATCCGAGACGAGCTCAAACACTCGTAGTAGTCGGAGGAAGACTCCAGAAAAGAATGACTGCGAAGGATAAGAAATCCCTACTTCAACTGGAAGAAGAGATCCTAGCTAGGGAAGTACGAATTCCTATTAAGTCTATCTGTATGATGCGATAAACCCCGAATAATAAGTTCTAACGTAAGGTCCTCGAGTAGCTCGAAGACCTTGACCGCGAACATAGAATCGAAATTATTAAGGGAAAGGACCTTGATTTTGGAATGAACGAGAACGGAAGAATCGACTTCCGAATAAATAGCTAAGAACCGGCTTTTGGTTCTAGCTCATATATATTCGACGAAGGTGAAAATTCACCCTACGATTCGGACGAATCTCGTGACGTCGCTCGATGACGTGCTTAGACGGAGATCGATTATAAGGTACCGCCTAGCGTTGACGATACTAGTTCTGAAGAGGACCTTGACGAATCTCGGTGTAACCATATTCACCTATACGACGACGATTAGACGGTCGAACTTTATAGGACTTCTGACCGTAAGAAGAACCCGGTAACGCTTTATACGCCTAAGGATCACCCCCTACTCGACCCTAAGGACCCCTTTCATAAAGAACCTTTCTAGGCAGAATGCCTGGACGACAGGTGCCTTTGGCACCTCTCACCCAAAAGAGATTCTCGATTCTACCAACGAAGAATCAACAACAAGCCAATCAAGGATGTCTACGTAGATGACTAACTCACGAGCTGGATACTATTATCCTTTGAAAATAATAATTAGGTAACCTTTAGACCTGATCTAAACTTTCCTATATAATGCTTAAATAGCGAGTACGTAGAATGGGACGACTGCAGACACGACCAGTGCCAGATCTACTACTTACCCAAGGCAAAGGCTTGGAGAGAATATTAAGAACGAATCGAATAAGACGTCAGACTGAAGAATGACAAAAAACTAGGAACGCCAATCGACGAGAGACACCGAAAGGCGGAGAGCAAGGACAAGCGCCTATGCTTAATAACATGTCTTAATGACGAATATCTGAGAGTGAGACTCTAGATAAACGGACACGATATGCGCGCGATTATTGATAGCGGCGCTTAACGAACCTTTATATTACTAAAGATAGTAAATAGGTTAGACCTTCTATGGGTATAGAAGGAAGAACCTTATACCCTATAGAATGTAGAAGGAGAAAGAGTTGGGTATAACGAAGGACTTGTTATTTGCGAGACCGTATACCTTACGATATACGTTAATAATTATCTAGAATAATTCTAGTACGATATTACGGAGATCGGAGATATCGATGTTATCTTAGGAATCTCGTGGTTACGAAAGTATAATCTATAGATAGATTGGGTGAATGGCCACATCTAATGGACAGATTCAGTCACTGAACGACCTAAGAAATAGGGTTCAAACGAGTCTTATGTAATACCTAATGAATAGACGAAATATATTGCCTACGTTAGATATGTAGAGCCTACCAGGTCGTTAATACCCGGCACGGACGATCAGGGATCGAACCTACTCTAGATTATACCCGAGGAGTAGTTAATAAAAATTAGTTATTTATTAAGAATAAAAATAATTATAAAGTTTATTTTCAAATAGATAACATAAGCGAGTATAGGTCTTAGTAATTATATAATCGAGGTTACGTAACGGGCGGTAAGGCCTTAGTGTCACGGGCTGGAGCCCTGTGTGGGCTTAGGCTACGCCGTAAGCCTTACGAGCCGTGCACACGTACTTAAGTGCAGCAGAATGAACAGAGAGGGATCTGTTCATTACGTACCTTTTGGCTGAATAAGCCCGGGTGCGCATTTAGCGCAATGGTTTGTTGTGTCTGCTGCCACATTTGCCCTCGTGGGGCCTACACCGTTACACTTAGATGGTTAAAGCTATTATGATATACTAGGAATTATCGCAGTCGGAATCGAGTGGGTCCTGGCGTGCTCGCATCGCAGTTGCAACTCCACAGTCCTTTTCCACCTTATCGTAGCGCAGATTTAGGGGTCTCCGGCCCCGGAGCCGGTGGTCCGCATAACCATCGACCCGCGTGATTACCGGTTGTTCCTTCCTGGCGGGATTTCAACTTTGCCGAAGCTGCTCCTACTCGGCGCCGCTCTTAGCTTAGCTAAACAAGTATCTACATGTACCTTACCTGTCGTCGAATTTTCTCTCCTCGCCATGGGTGCGCTTGGGTCATCTACAGGTACCTAGCTTGCTCCTTACCCGGACAGTGAACATCAAAGGTGACTTTATCGTTATCGCTAACCATCACCCGGCGGTCAACTAGGTACACGATAGTCACCATATCTAACGGACCCGACTTCGATGCTTGTTTTTCGGGACCTTGTCACCCTCATCGTGACAGAAACTCAACCTCCACATCGATGTTGATTCCCAGAGGCAACCGACGAGAAACTGCCACGACTTGTTTAGCTGAACAGCACTAGCCGAGCTAATGAATAGTGTATCGATCTCATTGCGCGTAAATGTTTGTCTTCGGCTCAAGGGTGCCGCCTGCGCCTCTGTGGTTATCCTCCTTGCTCGTGTCTCCGAGGCATCTTTGTCGCGATCGCTTGGCATCATCCCAACCGCGCGATACCGCTAATGTGAACCAGAGATCAGGTGGTAACAAAGTCTATGATCCTCCTTGCTCGCGTCTGATTGAACGAACGTGGCGCCAAAAAAAAAACCCCCCCAGGGTGAAGTGCGAACAACCTGTAAGGGTCTGTGCCGCCACCTTGATACCGTACACCTGGAAACAAACAAATGCCAAGGGTTTAATCCAGATTGTTCTCGCTCTATGTCAGTGATCTTTCATCTTTGGATATCAATGTTCAAGATCAATGTCTCAAGAGACGGATTCCGTGTTGTCTTGCAAACACATATGGTGCCTCACCTTGTTCCTGCTCCTCATCACATGGGGGGGGGGGCATCTGCCCGGGCCTCGACGCTGTTCGCAGACAACCGGGCCTTGCCTGAAACTTCTCCTCGTATTACTCATTAACGTTTATCATTTATATGCAGTCCCATGATATTTCTCATGTTTCAAACCCTTTCTCTCCGCGCTCATCGATTTATCAATCCACAGAGGAATCGTTCGAATCACGCTTAGAAGTCAATTCCTTATTCTTGATTGACTTTACCATCTAAAACCTACCTGATTCCAGTTGTCGATAAGTTATTGACTCTGACAGATCAAAGATATCACTAAGCTTTCAAGCCATTCCCAGCTAGATTGTGTGGGCTCTGTTTTCGCGCGTCCACATGCATTGACTCGTTATTGTCATCTAGACACGATATCTTAGACAACTAGCATCACTTCCAAGTTATCATCATGTCGACTGATCACACAGTGGGCGTAAGTACTTTTTTGCAATTTCCAAATTACCACGAAAGATATTGGCTCAACTTTTCAAGATGGTGGATTTCCCCGTCCTGGGTTTTACAGACAAGATCATGCAATCGTGGGACAACACGACAGTTGATAGAGAAGGGAGCGTGCCCGGAAGTTACGAGGAATGCAAAAGGGCAATCGAAAACAATTGGAAATATGAGAATCAGCAGTGTTTGGAGGTACTCAACAGTATCTACCGCTGCAACATAATTGGAAAGGCACATGTTTCCTTTCCTATCCTGCTTCTCTATATACTTTTCCGAACTACGGAACAAGAGCGGGATCAGAAATTCTCGCTCATGAAGGGAAAGATTGATGGATTGGTCAATGATGTGGCTGAATTGAAGAAGCAACTGGATATGGTGTATTACCGGGAGTAGGAGAGAAAAAGGCGTGGTATCGCCTGCCTCCTACGTTGATGTGGACTTGTCAGCCTGTTTCTAACTTCTCCTGCCGCGGCATCAAGAAAGAAATTGAATGAGATTGAAGCACTTGCAATACGGCAATTAGGCGTTGCGAAATGATGTCCGCCGCTATTAAGTACATGACATCGTTCGAATTAATGGACAATCCAATAGCATTATCACAGCCTCACGTGTCCGATGCACTAGCTTTTGTTCCCGTTCGAAGCAATCAAGAACGGCTATCATTGGTATTGCAAACGGAAGCCACTGACAACAGCGTGACATTGTCTAGGGGCTGGCTGTCGGAAACACTATTGAATTCAACTATCCAATAAAGCAGTGTCTCTCATGCAGAAACCTCTCGCTGACCTTTCTCTAGTAAGGGGGTAAACCTGAGTGTGAACCGCAGCCCGGTTGGGGGAGCTCCACCACACCGCCGCCCCATGCGGGCTCCGATCGTCCCTTCCCGGCCAAATTTCAACTTCACCTGCTCCTGCCCACCGCCCATACCCATCTCTCCAGCTTGGGACTTGCCTGATTTCTCTTATTTTCCATTCCAGTCACCTGATCCGATACGTACTTTCTACAGAATTTAAAAGAAAAGTCGCAGAGTCCAGAAATTGTATTTTTTTTCCCCCCAGCCCAGAGCCAATGATGTTCTCTTTTCGCCCCACCCACCGCGATCACTCTCTCATCTGAAGTCATGATGAATATACAAACTCAGGCATCATGCCCTTCAGCTTCACCTTCTGCCTCATTTTGATTATTTGTTTTCTCAATCGGCAAGCAGATTTAAATGATCCGTTCGGTACGTACCCTACCGCCCTTCTGGCCGCAATCACCAGCCCTCTGCTCCGAAAAGTATTTAATCCCCCTTCTCACCCGCGACTTTTCCTCTCCTCTTCAACCATCTTACATTCTACACACCAAACGATCTCAACTTCTTTCTCTCTCATCCACAGGATCGCCCCTTTCCCCTCCCGCCACTCTACCTTCAACCCCATCATGGATCACAACAACAATCTCACTATCCGCGCCAAGGAGTCCGAGGACTCTGGCACCACCCACTCCGTAAGTCCATTTTTCATTCACACTCGACTGCCTTTTTGCTTTGAGTCTGCCTCGGTCTTTCCCAAAGCGTGGAAAGATTTACAGGCCTGTGCTACACCAACACGGGAAGGGTTGTCTGGGAGCAGATCTCTTCGCTGCTTCCAGACAATGCAGTATTGTCATACTGCCCCCGTCGCGTGGAGGTGGGGTTTCTGTTCAGTCCATCTCATACTCGCTCCCCTGCCTAGGGAGTGAGGAACGGATGGTCGCGCTTTGTGATGACCCCATTGTCACCCCAGAGCTACCTCTCAGCGCAACATCTTCTCATGGTGTTGACTGCTCGATGTGGGCTCATGGTTTGGATTGGCCGGCAACCGGTCCAGAGGGTGCAAGCGGTCATTATCGTCCCCTGCACAGACGGACTTCTGTCCCGAGTAAGTCAGAAGTGCAGGACTCTCCGAAAGGGAACCACACCGCTCTGGGGGCGCGGTCAAGCGGCATACATTGAGGCATATCGGGTGCGGACTTACTCAGCAAAGGTTTCCCTCGCTGACTTGAATGTAGACACAGAACAATCCCAAGTCTTACTTCGCCAAGATTTCTGCTATGGAGAAGGCTTCTCAGAGCATCATTCAATCTTTCCAGAGCGTCGGCCTCGATCCGAAGTTCATCGAGTCCTTCGCCCTGCAGCAGAAGTGCGTCATTGCCATCGCTCTGGAGGCTGACAACGCGATTCAGAAAGCGACCAGTGTGACCCAGGAGGAGGGAAAGGTGATTCAGGACCTGCAAGAGGCGTCGCAGAACGCGGAGAAGGCGGCTGCGGAGGCTCAGGTCGTGGCGTCGGAGACTCGAGTTGCAGTTCTGGAGTTCAAGCTCGCGAACCTTCTCATCAAGGTCACTAAGATGGAGGGTGCCCTTGCCAAGGTCTGCCAGGCTATGGACAACCAGAAGAAGGATTCGGAGGAGGTAAAGGGTGTCTAAGGAGCCTTGAGGAATTGGTTCGGGATTTGCGTACGCCCTTTTAACTGAACGGCCATTATTGCAAGAACCAGAAACAGCACAGCATAGCCTAGCATTTATCTATAGACCTAAGGGGTCTTAATAGGGAATACAATTGGCTCCGCGATTGCTCTGTGAGCATGTCTCCTACGCTTGTGATTTTGTAATACATATCAAATGATGCTTAGACGACGTGGCCTTGGGATGAAGCTGGTCGTGTGCAACACTGCCCCCTGAATCAATTGAAAGCTAGATGATATTTACCTTAGTTAGAGCACGAAGACGGACAAGCCGTCGATGGTGAGGGTCAAGCCGAAAGAGGAAAGAAGAAGGAGCATCTTGGACTAGTCGAAGTCCTCTCCCCCGAGGTCCTGCTCGCTCTCCCTTTCAGCCACGCCGCCCATGACAGGCCACAACACAGACACACAAAACACTCTTTTGCCATCTCATTTTCATCGCAAACATGATCGGCGGAATACCTTCGCCACCGACGCCTCACCCTACCTCGGGCATTTCTTCCTCCCATCCCCGTTTTCTTACCTCACGCGCGTCTTTTCGCAATTTTTCAATACTGCCTTTCACCGCCAAGCAATTCCATTATGGCCGCGAAGAAAACCCGCCCCGGCAAGCACCAACGCCATTATTACAAGAAGAAGAAAGCTCGCGAAGCCCGCGCGCAATGGCATGAGGCTGAGAACAACGCCTTTCCAGACACGGGAACCGATCCCAACGGAAAACCGATGGAGGCGACGGAGGGACACGGGTCTCCTCAGAGTGACAAGGTCATCGCGCCTGAACACAGAATCGAAGAGGCAGCGTCACACAAGCACGAGTATCGTCCTGAGCTAGAGCCCCAGAAGAAGACGGGCAAGAACAAGAAGGTGAGTCCTGCCAGTTACCAGGCACGCGAGGCCTCTATCCGTTTCCTTGTCGTCTTCGTCGCGATTCATCGAATATCCACTGACCGACACCACTGCCAGAGCGAGAAGAAGAGACTTCATCACTTCACTGTTCATCACGGAGAACAGATGATGAGACGCCAGCTGATTAACGAGAGATCGATTCGTCTCATCTGGAAGAGAATCGACGAGATACATTCGATATTGGAGGAGAAGCACAAGGGGATCAATGCCAGAGCCGCAGTCATCGAGAAGCACTTCAACTTCACGGTTCAGCGGGGTGGAGAGATTAAAAAGCTTCAGGAGACTATGAAGACTATGCAGCAGGGTATTGAAACAATGAGAGAGGTGGCTGAGAGTCACAGTGCTGAAATTGCCGAGCTCAAGAGCAAGCCCGCTGCTGCTCTTGCCCGCGGAATAGGAGGACCGGATGAGCGTACCGGAGACATTCAGCCAGGTGGGATGGAGGGTCATGAAAAGATCGGCCGTGACGAAATCCGTGCTTTGCAGCGTAGCAACGACGAGATTAAAGCTGAGATGGCTGCCATGAAGGAGCAGATGAATGCCCAGATCGAGGATACCGGACGAAGGCGAAGCCACAGCAACGATGACGACGAGGCTGGAGGAGGCCCTCAGAAGAGGGCCAAGGAATTGGAAAGGGAGAGGCTGGAGAGGGAGGCCGCGAGCAAGGCCCAAAGACCGAGGAGAAGACTTGGTTGCCATCCCGACTGCGGGAGGGCAGAAAAACCACTACCTACTATTGATTGGTATGTTTCGATTGTGTTGATAGGTAGAGGACTCAGGAAAGCATGAGGTTGTTGATTATCGAATCTGTTATGCTTGCCCTTTCCTACTTGTAAAACCAATGCTTCGGGACGAATTCTTACTGCATCCAGTGGTAGACAGTCTCTGGCGCCCAAGGTAGGCGCCGTTGATCAATAGGGGTTGATTCCGTCGCCTCATCCTTGGGATTAGCCCCATGAGTACTCGAGTGTCACTCAGCGTTCATAACCAACTTACCAGTGTACAACAATCCATGAACAGACATGAAGTGGGGTTCCTTGCAAGTTGCAACGAGGCTTTCGACGGTAATTTAGTGATGAACCGGACGCAAGATAGAGAGAGAGGCTCCAATGGTAGAGGAGCTAGACAGATCCCTGGTGTAGTGTCAATTGGGATGAGAAAGTAGCCAGCAACATTGGGACGGAGCCTAGTTTAATTCCATCATGGAAGGAATAATTGATCGCCAGGCGCCTGTAATGAAAGCATAACATCTCATAGAGAGGGAGGGGGAAGGGGCGTTGTTGATGCCCTGACGTCCATTGAACTCTTTTATTGAGTTGCCATCCAGCAACAACAAGACTATGTTAAAGAGCGGGAGCTTGGGCACATAGACTTTGGTACGCCGTGTCACAAAGCATCCTTTGTGCCTGTTCCTTCATATCCCCTTGAAGACCTCCTCACCAAAGACAGAACAGACAAGCCTAAGCGCAAGATCCCACCTCACCAGCTTTGGGGCACTCAGCCACCTCTAAGGCGCATTCTATCATTGTCCAATGGAACAAAGTCAAGACTTCCAGGATCCTCCAGGCCAGAGGCTTGAGTTAGACTGCTGACGCACTCGTTCAAGCTCATTGTCATCTTGGCCAGGTCCGCCTCGAATCCCGTCACAACATCTTCAATACGCACACCTTCCACCAGCGGCAAGTCGGCAGGGACCTAGCTTTGGTCAATGTCATTCTCATAGGGGCCTTAGGGGGGTGCTCGAACCAGGTCCAAAGTCTGAAGTCCTTGCTGAGCAGCTTGCCTATTGTTGGCGCTGATCGTATCTCTCATGCGACTAACAAGTCTTTCAACGTCCAATTCCAACTCCTTGAAGTTCTTCTGGCCACTATCTTCCTTGTTCGGCTGGGCGTTAAGGGCTGCCCGGGCACCCTCGAGCCACTCGGAGATCGTCTTCGACTGGAACTGCAGAGCAAAGATCATCTGCATGCGCTCCCAGAGCTTGTCCATCTCCTATAATAGCACAAGTCAGTTCCCAAAGCTTGAAACCGTGATGTTTCGATTATGTGGGCCAACTATACCGCTTCTCCTCCCATGATGACTGTCATCTTCCTGCCCTTCTCGTCGATGGCAACCTGCTTCGAGGGCTCGTCCTGGTCACCCAGATGCTGAGCAGCCTCTTTGCGGGCCTCTTTGCGAACCTGTTTGGCTCCCTTGCCCCTATTCTGCTTCTTGTTGGACAGGTGCTTCTTTTTCGCCATCGTGAGTGGTGGTCGCTCGGTCAATGTGGAGGGGAGAGTCGGGTTCGTTGGTTCAGAGTCGACCAATGCTATCTGTACGGAGGGTAGTAAGGGGAAATGCTTATTCTTGCTGGGAATGTAAGCATTGTTTGCTGGTGATGTCCCTGGTTGACGGTGTGAAGGGCAGAGCAGAGGTAAAACGGGTGGGAAAAGTTGCGGGTGGAGGCAGATTCTGTGCAAACGGCCACGCGCCCACGCAGCGCGACGTGTTGTGCCTGTTAGGCATCAACAACAACATTGGCTTCTAATCACAATGGAAAGCGACATACAAGAACCATCCACTTTCAAGATTTGAACGGGGCTCAAGAAGCTTTTTTGTTGCATGTCTTGATCAGTTGAATTATTCGCATGGGCCATAGGAAGCTAATATGTCTCGCATCAACCAGGACAAGCGTACCATGCCAGAGTCCAACCACACATGAATGTTCCCATCTGCATGAGTTATTTTGACTGTCTAATTGATTCATGATCGAAGAGAGGCGCCTCCTTCTCCGAGCTGAAGGAACGAACAGATGAGGCGGGGTTACTCTGGGCAGAGGAGTCAGACGGGGTCAAACACTCGATAGAATCAGATGACTTGACGCTCTTCAGGTCACCAAGGGCATCCTTAGACTCTCTAGAGATATGTCCCCAGCAGCAATCCTCGATAGTGTCCTCATCTGAACTGGTGTTCTTGGCGTCCTCGATGTTGGCATTGGCGGTGTATTCGGCCCAGGTAGAGCTGTCAGTCCGGCCAGAGGAAGAAGGGCGGTGAACGTGATGCTCGGTTGCCATAAGCTCAATCGGCTCGAGATTCATGGACTGAATCTTGCGGTTGTTGGCATCGACATCAGCCTTGGTGCGCTCCTGCTTGTCACTCTCGAAAGCTTCCATGGCAGCAGCGAGCTTCTTGGTGGCCTCCTCGAGACGGGCGTTCAAGGCAGCTTTCTCCTTCTTGAGCACCTGCAAGTTCAAGGTCAGAATTTACATATGTGGAGGTCATGAATCTCATTACAGATTCATCTCTGATGATTGAAGTAAATTGGGCACTCACCTCGACGATGTCGACAGTCTGGGAGTCAAGATGCATCTTGGACTAGGTAGCCGGTACACCTGCAATGATTAGCAAAATGAGTCAGGATTGAAATGCAAAAAACCTCTTACAGTTGTTCGGCGCTAGCTTGTGAATTTGGCCGAGATTGATGTTGTGAGGGATACTTGAATGTGAAGATCGCAAAGGAATTTGGGCTCTTTTGCGATGTATGCGCGGATGAGTGTGTATGACAGGGGAAGACTGAGGCAATGTGTGGGCGAGGAAAAATAGAGGATGCAGCCGCGAGTGTGCGACTTTGTTTGGACGACGCGTTGGGAAGGCGTTTCCAAGGTGCTTGAGGTGGAGAGTGCGACTGTGTGAGGAGGCAGGAGCCGGATCAGCAAGTTGAGGCAGGTGGCTGCCGCTGGACACTGATTCACCATCACCTTCACCTTTACTTTGGCCCAAGAAGAACAACAGAGTAGGGTAGAATATTTACCTTCCCTTATGTAAGACAATCAAGATATTTGTCTCTGCCTAAGGTAGGTAGCTATTAGGACAGAAAAGCAACCCATCGACTGCCATACATGTCTTAAGGCAAGAGACGGCTTTTTCTCGAGTCCTCAACAGCACTCATCGCGCGCTTAGCAAAGCCTCTGTACAACGACATGAACCATTCTACCGATATCCTCGATTCCTCAGGTCGAAAATTGGCCAGATGTGAATACGAAGGGCGAATTGCGAGTCATCTGAATATCCTCACAACCCCCTTCGCCGTCCCGTTAGTCGCGAAGCTTTTCGCATTCTCTCGTTGTCTTGAACGCTGAGCTGACATCTTAGGCCCCCAGCATGTTGTTGACTGTCATTAGTCTCATCCAGCTCCGAGTTGGAGCACCCATCATCGTATTTTTGAGACGTTAGCCATTTCGCTCCTAATTGGTATTATCGCAGTTCGTTTCGTTCCGGGTCGTCGAGATTACTTTTGATCGCGTCCTACATCCCGTCTCTCGGCTCATACCCCAGCCGACATCGGAGGACTTCCTGTTTGTTTACAGAAGAATTCTTCGGCTCCTTTGTGAGCTTTGGCAGTCTGCGGTTGTCGAAGCGGTTCCCAGTGCCTACACCAAGGCTGTTCGTGAGACTGATCACTTCTAATATTGCCACTGAAGCTGAGCTCATCCATGACCTCACCTGCAGAGTCTGCCTTGGGCCCGCGACGCTGTCCTCAAAATGTCCGTCTCTACTTGGCTGGATCTTGCTTCCCTTTTCGGAATACAATTTCCGCGGTCGTCCTCTTTTCTGACATATCCTCGGGGCCTTCTTAGTTGCGAAGTTGTGCTGCGGACCTTCGGAATTCCGTTGCGACATATGCTCACTGCTGGAAATAGACACGCTCCTGTGTTGAAGGTTTTGTCCCTTGCACCAGCCTCATGCGCTGTCACTCTTTCGAGCTTTACGTGTCATTCGGCACTCATCGCAACCGTAAGAAGCCTTAGCTTATGGTAGGCGATGGCCACCATTCAGAGCAGAATTCCTGTCAATGTCCTTCCCAAAGTCTGGATCGTTTCCCTCCGGGATTCAAGCGGACTTTAGTCGACTCAAGCAAAGTCTTTCTTGTCGACGTGAGAACCTATAAGACAAAGCAGAACCATTGTTATGCGAAGGAAATTCTGGAAAGGTCCTCTTCATAACAGCGAGAAATTTGACGGACAGGGGTGTTGGTAGGGGGCCACCTGCACGTTGAGCGTCACATCGACAGTGATTAAAGCCCTTAGCCTCCCATTCTTGCTTCATGATTATTAATTCCGAAGATCGGGAGTCTGGACTCCTGCAGGCCCCGAGAAATACTCCAGCGCTCTATCTCAATGATTATGGAGGTCCCGCGCGCGCAGTTTTGCTGACGTGAACTTTATTCATGCTCGGAGTGAAAGCGCTCTTTTGACGTCTCATAATTAGCGAGAAAGAGAACGCAACCAAGGAGCGACTTGGCGTAGAAGTTATCCTGGAAGGTGTCTCTCTATAGAAGACAGAGTGCCCTGGTAGGGCCCACTTGTGAACATTGCTTGCTCGCCCGGGTACTTGAACCATTCGAACTGAGTCAGCGGGAAGGAGAAGCTTAAGACTGCAGTCGGGGCGTTTCCGACTTAGGTTGTTGTCGCAGCGCCACACGTGGCGCTGCCGGTTACTGCCGTACGATACCGCTTTCCACAAGCCCATTACCCGTCTTGTACGGTATATAGATAGGACCCTCATACGGGTCTTCCACTTAGAGGAATCAAGCCACTTTCTACCATACAAGTCTTCCACTTGCTACCTCGCTTTGTGATAGTTATGAGCCCAGCTCTGACTTGACCACAAGCAACAGAAACCCCTACTATTGTGAAGCAGGCTGCAAGTGCCTACTCTCTCTCTCACATACCCCTTCTCGTACAAAACGAAACCATCGTACACGCAACAATGACTACAGTCTCGCTCCCTACCACCAGGAAGCTCAACAGTCCTATGACTATCAATGAGGACTGGCTTCCGTGGTGGAATTCCCTTCGCATTTCGGCTCGCGAACGAGCCGTCTGGAAATATATCGACCCCGACGGCACCGACAGCATCAATTTAGTACGATTACTTCCGTCAATCGACCGCTATGTCCAGGAACGCAACGTACTAGCCGAAGCCGAATTCCTTAAGGCGAAAGCAGACTACGATCAACTCGCAGACAAGACAGGCCATACAGAACCTGCTAGATCACCTCCACACCAGACGAGTCATATCAACATCGTGAACGAATACGTCCTCCTCATTCAGAGCCAAGCGATCGAAAACGGAGATCTCAAGCAGCAAAAGAACGATCTGAACCTACTGTCAGCATGGGTTGAGGCTACCGTCGCGTCGGATATCCTCCAGCCCATCCGAGCTGAGCTCGCCGACAGGAATGGAGACAAGAAACTTGAGCTACGCCAGACGATACAGGCCCTCAAGGACAGGTTCGCTCCGTCGAAAGACGTATCCATGGATCTCGCTCGCGAACGATACCTCAAGGCGATGGATCTCGCAGCGTCGACCGTGGACCCAATGACCTGGCTAAACGAGTGGTACGGCGCCTTCCTGAACGGACAGGCCCATTCCATACCAGAGGTTGAGGGATCTCTCGCGGTCAAGACGTTCTTGCGAGCCGTCCAGCAGCGAATCGCCACATCCTGGGCAACCAGCGAGCTCAACGACATCCACAAACAGGAGCGCCTTCAGACGGGAGTCCGTTTGACCTTGAAGCAGTACGCGGACCTTCTCGGAGACCTCCTACGGACAGACCCGCCGAAGCTCCGTAAAGCGACAGGGGCATACGCAACGCTTGGCAATCAGACAGAGCGATCAAACAAGAGACCCAACCAGAAGTGCCCCTGCGAGCGTAATGTACACCCATGGACCCCGGCCGAGTGCGGATTCGTCGAGTACGCCTACCGCGGCAAGTCAGCGGCATTCCGAGGAACTCTGAGCGACGAAACTCGAGCGGCTATCAGAAAGCGGGTCGAAAAGGGGCATTGGGCCGATCTTCGCAAGACAATCAAAGCAAAGGGGTGGACCAAGGGACAGGGGAGCGAGTCATCTACCACCGAAAGCATGCCAACAAAGTTTGTTGCAGTTACGATCTTACGGAACGACTTTTCCTCATCCCTAGTAGCCTCAACCCCATTCGTGCGAGGTTCGTCTCTTGGCGTATTCTCGACTCCGATTCAACCCGCTCACCCACTGCGCGAATCTACTGTACTGGATAATTGCGGAGGAACCCATCTTGTGAACGACAAATCCCTGCTCGAACCAGGCTCTCTCAAGCCTCCAGGAGACACGCACTTTGTTGAGTCCGGAACGACGGCGTACCCCATCGAGGGATACGGCACGCGCGTGATGAAAGGCGTACTGAACGGCATCGACCTCGTGCTTGAGGACGTCGCGTATGTGCCTGGATTCCACGTCAACATCGCGTCGGAAGGGCTGATTAGACAAAAGAGCGGTCTCTGGTATACGGGATTCGACTGCTCGCTGCGCTGGGGACCGATGGAGAAGCAGAACAACACGATTCTCAAACTCCAGCGTGAAGGAAACCTAGTCTTCTTGCAATACAAGCCGATCTCCCCCTGTCCACAGTCCCCTACGATACGTGACAGACCACCAGTCAGCCTCGCGGGAATAACGCGAATCGACGTGTTCTCAACCTCGTTCCGTACCTCCCGTCAGCCTCCACCGGACCGCGTAGATGACGGTTGGCTTTGGCACCTTCGTACCGGACATTTAGGCCCTGAAGCGCTCTCTCACCTCGCCACCAACACTCGGGGGGTGAGAATCCGTGGTCCTACTCGTATTGAATGCGAGCACTGCGCGAGAGCACACGCCAGCCAGGTTATATCGCGTCGTACGTCAGAACGACGCTCAGTGAGACCGTACTACCGCATCTCATGGGACCTATTTGACTTCACCAGAGGCTTTGACGGCTCTGAATGGCTCCTCCTCATCCGAGACGAGTACTCCGGACGTATCTTCGGCAGCCCACTCGCGAAGAAGACCCACGACGAGGTGTTTACCATCCTAAGACGCTTTGAGGCATGGGTCAGCACACAGCGAGGCCTCCAGATCTGTAAGATTCGGTCAGACAACGAAACTGCGGTTATTGGGATCAAGGGAAGTACAGAGTACGAACGTTGGGCAGCAGACCAAGGGATTGAGCTCGAGCTACCTCCACCCAACACGAAGGAACCTGTCGGCAGTGGCGAACGAACCGGCCTTGAGATCATCACAAAGATCGTCAAGATGCTAGACTCGTCTGGTCTACCATACGAGCTGTGGCCAGAAGTCGGATTCGCAGCTATATACACATACAATGCGAGTCCAATCCAACGTAACGATTGGATATCTCCAATTCAGACAGAGGAACTCTGGTTCCGACAGTACTTCCGGTGGTGGGCGCCAGCGTACGCAGCGGCGCTCACAAGAGATCTGCGACCACACTGGGGCTGGACCTACGCGTACGGCTGTAGAGCGTACCCGCTCATGAGCGAACGAGAGAGAGGGATTAACAGAAGAAGATTCAAAGTAGAACCACGCGCCCATATCGGATACCTCGTAGGGTATGTGCAGAACGCGCACAACCTCTACAGGATCTGGGTGCCCGCGCTACGAAGGGTTGTCATCACACGGAACGTCAGATTCGACGAGACGAAGTTCTATACGAAGAGCGACGCCAGCGAAGCGATCCAACAAACCGAGGCACAAAACGTGGTCTCCGTCATACAAGAAGAGGACCATGTAGCCGACGCCTTCGCCGACATGCTCGGAGTAATCAGAACGATCCAACTGACCTCCAACACGACACCCTCACAGCCGCAAGCTGAAGCCCCTCATCCCCTGCCAATAGAGAAAGCGGTACAGGACGCTGTCCGCTCGAACGATGGTCAGGCGGAACGAGGGCAAACAGGGTTCCTAACTCCCGAGTCAACACCGGCCCCTGAGGACGTACAACCTCTCGCCGAGTTGACCGAAAATCTCTCACTGAACGAGGTACCCGAACACGAAAGTGAACGGGCAGTGGGACCTCGCGATGGAGAAGACGTCGAAGGCCAGTTCGACGTGTCGGAGCCAGGGCACGTAGAAGAACTGGTTGAAGATGTAATTTACGTCCGCGGAAGCTCTCCTTCCGACGACGAGACGGGTCACTCCCGACAGAACGAGCTGGAAGAGTCAGCCTCTCAAGACCTCGCGCGGCCACGCGACGGAACCGAGATCCCACCTCCAGACTCGACGTCTGACGTGCAGCGCGCGCACTCAGACGGCGGCCCAACAAGAAGAAGCGAAAGAGTCAAACGACCTCCCCAACGATTCCACGGAATAGTCGACCAACCCAAACGGAAATCTCGCACCGTAGACTCAGGGGGTGAATCGTCAACTCAAGCCTTCTTCACGCTCCTTCGTGGCGAGCGATACGAGGACTCAATTCTCTCGATGTTCCTGCCTGATCAGCAGCAAGCACGAGACGAAGCCTCATACGGGCACTTCACCCTTCACTCCATGGTGATTGCTGCCATAAGACGGATCGAATGCCGACTACCTCTGCCTCCACTAGGCGTTCGACTCCATAGAGACCACGCCGTACGACCTCCCAACTCTTGGAGAGAGCTTCATAAGCTCCCAGAAGACATCAAACAGTTGTTCCTCGCAGCAGCACGGGAAGAAATTGCCGAGCTGAAGCGAAAGGGCACCTGGAAGGTCGTACGAAGAGAGGACGCGGGCGACTCTAAACCGCTCCCTCTCAAGTGGGTGTTCTCATACAAGTGGGATACAGACAACTACCTCTCACGCTGCAAAGCGAGAATTTGCGTGAGAGGCGATCTCCAACCAAAGGATCCCCTTGAAGACACATACGCCGCAACTCTTGCGGCGCGTACGTTTCGTGTTACCATCGCTCTCGCAGCGAAGTTTGACCTCGAGCTTAGGCTGCTCGACGTGATCAACGCTTTCCTTAACGCGAAACGAGACCCATCAGGCAAACCAGTCGTTTGCGAATTGCCTGATGGGCACAAACTCCATGGCATGGTGGCCACCCTCACACGCGCTCTGTACGGACTGAGGGATGCCCCCCAACTATGGTACACAGAGTTCTCATCAACCCTCCGCAGCCTAGGCCTCGTCCAGTGCAAGGAGGACCCGTGCATCTTCAGGACGACGGACTCGAAGGTATTCGTCGTCTTCTATGTGGATGACATCCTCGTGATGTACCATAAGAAAGACGAACACCTCGGGAATGCAATAATAGACGGCCTGAAGAATACCTACGAGATGAAGGACATGGGCGAAGCCAACTCGTATCTCGGCATTCGTATCACAAGAGATCGTGCTGCCGGGCACATCTACCTCTGCCACGACCAGTATATCAAAGCAATGGCAGCAAGGTTCGGTCTCGACGACGCTTTCGCACCGGCCACCCCTCTTCCGATGGTCGACTTCGTACCGAACGAGGGAACGGCGACCAAGGCTGAAGTGAAGCTCTACCAAGAGATTGTTGGATCAATCCTGTATACGTCAATAATGATCCGACCCGACGTCGCCTTCGCGGCATCTCTGCTGTCAAGATTTCTTACCAATCCAAGCGAAACTCACATCCGCGCTGCCAAACGAGTGGTCAGATATCTCTACCACACCGCGTACTTGTCGATTCGCTACGGAATGGAAGACGGCGCTCATGTCCTCCTCGCAGCAAGTGACGCTTCGTTCGCTGACGACTCAACTCGTCGATCTTCACAGGGATACATCTTCCTCCTCTTCGGCGGAGTCGTCCAGTGGAAGGCGACGCGCCAAAGTACTGTTACTACGTCTACGACAGAAGCAGAGCTTCTGGCCCTCGAACATACTGCGAAAGAGACGATGGCACTCAAGAGGCTCTTCAGGGATATCACCCTCGATCTCGGCGACGTCTGGAACGTGTACTGTGATAATCAGCAAACGATTCGTCTCGTAGTAGGGGAAGGGGAACGTATCTCAACCCGACTCCGCCACGTCGATATCCAGAATATGTGGTTACGACAAGAGCACGCAGCGGGCAGCTTCAAAGTCGTCTACATGCCAACGAATGATATGCCAGCAGACGGACTTACGAAAAACCTACCACGAGCGAAGTTTGAACACTTCCGAGCACTTCTCAACCTACAGGATGTACGGAACGCATCGCCATGCACACCCAGGGGCCAATTATAACGGAACACAACAACCACGACTATTTACTTTTTCATTTGTACTTACCGCATTCACTACAGATCGTTTTGGAATCTGACGATATCGTATTGCAGCCGCGCCCTCGTTCCACACGGGCGCGACTGAGGGGGTGTGTCGCAGCGCCACACGTGGCGCTGCCGGTTACTGCCGTACGATACCGCTTTCCACAAGCCCATTACCCGTCTTGTACGGTATATAGATAGGACCCTCATACGGGTCTTCCACTTAGAGGAATCAAGCCACTTTCTACCATACAAGTCTTCCACTTGCTACCTCGCTTTGTGATATGTCGTAGGGTATATATGGCGTTAATTGCTGCCCGCAATTAACGGCGTCGTTTTTGCGACAGTTATGAGCCCAGTGTTCTACCGGTAGCACAACCGTCTAAAGTGTAGCTTTGACGCGTACCCACATCTAAAGCCTCAGGTTCAATTCCCGCTCGGGTAGGCAGTTTTGCCGCCTAATCAGGTCTAAAAGAGCCCAAGTGCCACCCAACAAGCCCAGAGCGGCCACGGGTAAAAGCGTACAGACCCCTACCCTTCCACAGGGCTAGGATCTGAGGGGGTGTGTCGTAGGGTATATATGGCGTTAATTGCTGCCCGCAATTAACGGCGTCGTTTTTGCGACAGTTGTTGCCAAGAACATGGGGGCTGAACATATGAAGGGGGGAGAGAGGCCCAAAGAGCCTGGCCTTGGTTAGAACCTGGGAGATACGTGACACTTAATCGAAAACCAACAGTGAGAACCAACTTTTACTCCTGAATTAGACTCCTTTCGACGGGAACCATGTGCTCACCGTGCCGCCATAGTTTCCAAAATCGATCCTTCCATGAATCAAAACGCCGCGCTTTGCGATGCGAATCCCACGTTGTAGGTGTCGGGGTGTCCTCGAGCGCCTCAAAGGATTTCAATCAGGCCTTACGCGCAGATTGGTTTTCCGAAACGCCAGTGTTGATCCCGTTGTCGTGTTCATACTCCTCAATCCACACAATGACTCGTGCCAGAACAGACTCAACGCCCCTGAGCAACTTTGTGAATCCCGTTCCAAGTACATCGACTGTTTCGAGCGTTCGAGCTTGCGATTCCCCCTCGCGCCTTTGTTGGGTAAATCTAAGCTTCTGCGAGACTCCATTATACAAGTCCATGAGCTCTTCTTTCTTCCTCAGGAGTGCCTGGTACTCCTCCGCAGTTTTGGTGTGTTTGGGGACGTCGCGCATCTCCAGGCTCTCGAGGGCGTGTGACATGAGTTCCGTCATGATCGCTATGTCTTGTGCGCTCATGTTGCTAGATGCGCTGGCGTTCGATTGCAGATTGACATTTCTCTGATGATGCGTCAGTGTTCCTTGCTCGACGTTCTTGCAATGAGCCTGCCCTGGGTCCACTGGAAGGAAACGTACATTCTTTGAGTTGACCATCTTCAAACACCTAGTGGTACTCGATTAAACGTACGACATGGGCGCATAAACCTCTTTGGGTCGCGAAAGGCGAAGCGGGAGATGGAGAATTGTGTGTCTAATCGATTGCCGTTGGCTTTCTAGAAGATAAACACAGCTTTCGAGTATGTTGGAGGTGAGAAGATGAGAACCTGAAGAGAGATAAGGTAAGCGACTTTTCCAAAGACCAGGAGAGTAAGATCAACGACCAGGTACCAAACGTGGAAGCGCTTAGCAAGGAAAGTGCTCTTTGATGCTACACTCACCCTCTTAGGCTCTTGGAGCCGTATTAAACAGCCATGTCTTTTTCTCTTGTCAAATCTTTTCGGCTTCAAGGCTTGTCAAAAATGAGAATAGAATGAGTAACCATTCAAGATTCCAGCCGCGGTAAGGCTGAAGGCTTGCTCAAGTCTGCCCGGGCTTGAATTTTGGATACAGGAAGGGTATTTCTGTCAGGGATATGACTCAGCTGTCGCCGGGTTGAACTAGGATGCATCCCGCCAGACCAACTGCTTAATTACAAGCCTTGTCCCATACTATTGTCACATATAGCATCGTTCCGTGGTCCTGTTGGTATTTCATCGCATTTATCCTCGCGGGTTCCTTTCGGGCCACGGTTGCTAGTCATTACTCAATGTCGAATCCTCCCATTGTGAATTCGTTGCTGGGCTCTTCCGGCCGAGCGTCCCATTCAAAGTTCTCATCCACCAAAAGCCAGAGCCCGAGGCCAAAGAGGCTCACTCAGAGCATGCTCAACAGCAAATTGACGCGCACCATGTTCTCGATGAGAGCAGTTTGAACACGATCGAAAGCTGCCTGGAGGGCCTCTCCCATGTTACCGCCCCGGATGACTCTCATTTCGATCTCGAGTACCGCCTTGCTTTGGTTCTTGTAGACCGCAAGTCCCTTCGTGTACTTGACGCGCTTGCGGCGGCGCCGCCTCTTGGCGAGGTAGGAATCACCTCCGATATCGAGGTCGGTAATACAGTCTTCGGCCTCGTCATGAGCTGCGACGAGAGCCTGATGACAATAAAACTAGCATGATGACCAAGGTCAATTGGGGGCCCTTGATTGCGGAAGTCGCTTACCTCAAGAAAGAGCTGCAGCTGCGCGAGGAAAATGGGGCTCTGGTTCTTCCACGAGCGCATGTCCTCCTCCGGCTTGTAGTTGAGGAGAGGTTTCTCGGGCTCCTCAACGGTGACGGTGCCGACTCTCTCGAATCCCTTCAAGACTTCGTCTTCGGCGATGACCTAGCGAGTAAACGAATGATTAGTGGAATGCCAAGGCATCTGATGGGATCGGGCTTACGCTGCGGAATGACCCCATGATTGTGGTTTGGTATGTTGCTGTCGATGTTTTTATTGAAATTCGGTGGAGGTGAAGGCAGGCTTCTCAACCGAAGAATAACTAGGCAGAGAAATCTCTGCCTAGTAAATTGAACCAAATATCCCACCCATCCGGTGGGCTCTCAATGGCACCTCCACTCCCATTTGGTCGATGGGAGGCATACCCTCCAGGCGGCTCTGGTGGCGAGCGCACCCGGAGCTTCTATTCGTCCAATGAGGCAATTCGTTGAGAGTTTGTACGACTGACACGTCGTAATAAGCCGTGAGACCGCGGCCATCATAGAAGTACACTTTCGGTGTGCTTAGTCGTGCAACGAGAAGTGACAAGTAGGTCTGAGGATGTGAAGGGTGTGAAAGAGGTGAAGCTGGGAAAGACACTGATTCCAACCATAAGACGACGCGGTCTCCCTTCAGTCCTTTCCTTCAGATTGGAACAGGACCAAATAACTCTGTGTAGAGTGAAATATCCTGTGAGCCTTCAAGTTAGGTGAGATGCTCGCTAATTTTGGTAAAAGGTAAAAAAGAACTGACAATTGTTTCGAGCAAGCCTCCCATTGTGGACACTTTTCTTTGTGCTTCAATAGCTTTGTTGGGATTGTTCGTCCTAGATTGACCATCTGGTGAATGAGGTGACAAAATGAAAATTGTGGCGATGGTTCACTAGGTTGGGACGGTAATTGTCGGATTGGAAGCCCAATTCGACCGTGAGTAAGGGTAGAGCAGGGCCCACCTTGAGAGGGTACAATTACTCCTCGACGGTCCACCCAACCTCCGATTGGAATCTCCCTTCTACTCCTTACGCAGAATCAATCAATACAGAGATATTGATACTTCGTCACCCCCAAGACCCTACGGTTCGAACCAAATTCCCTGTGATAGGGATACCAACAGTAATGAAAGAGGAAGGTACATCGGAGCTGCGGGACGGATCAACTTCTGGTCCTATTTGAGCTGCAGCCCGGAACCAGGCTTGTTGACTGCCTGAGGCGGCAGGTCATTGGGTATTCATCTCAAGACCGGTCTTTCACAACAAAAAACAGCAAGCGGTCAAATCATAAAAGAGTGTGAGTACTATTGTTCAAGGTGTCTCTTTGACTAAGGTACAACCACGCACCAGCTGGGAAGATTCGTCTTAGCTTATAGCACACACTTCCAAGTGTCAGGATCTTTGTAATCACCAGAGCCTTGATACACATTGTGGTAAGGCCACCTGCAATGCCTCCTTCTGAAATCAACACCACTATCACTGGTGCCGTTGATATACCTGGTACCCATGATGGTATTAGGGGCCACTTCATATTCAACCCATCGCACCATCGCCATCAGCACGTTTTCCTCCGGTACCAGACTGGCAGTGCTTGCAGGCTGGTGGCCAATAAACGTTGCCCCATTGCCGCTACCGCAATGAGACATGCCAGAGATACGGAAGAAGCGGTAAAACTCGTCAAGGGCCTCTGAGTTCATGCCCATGGTTTGCGAGACGTGTTCGTAGTATCGGGGGGAATTCTCGCTCGATAGAACACCATCGGCAAAACCATGCCAATGGAGAAGCTTGCCGCCGCGGTTCTGGAAAGCCGATAGATCACCTTCCCAAGTGTCGACATTGAAATGGTTGAGGCCGGAAGCGACAGTGTAGTTTTCGGGTCGTAGAGTCATGGCATCCCAGTTGGAGTCGTTGAAAATGGCATAACGCCACCAGTCTGACACAGGTGAGACTGCTCCGGAAAAGTAACTATCCACCGCTCCGGTAAACTCGGATCCGAGCTGCATCTTAGGGTAAACCAGGCTTCCAACCGCGTCCAGGACGGGTGAGTAAATACTCTTCAGCGTCTGAAGTTGTGTACTTGTAAGGCAGCTGGTGCTTTGAGCCTCAGTGCATAGAAGGCCGTCGGCGTTGTAATTGCAAAGATCAGGCGACTCGAAAATACCGTCAGCAACGCCATCGAGCTGATCACACTGGTTCAGAATATCCTGATGAACAGTAGGCCACATGTCTAGAGGAATAAAAGTCGCAGACTCAGGCGTTCCGAGCAGAGGATAAAACTGAGTAGCCCATGACGTGAGGTTGTTCCACGCAATAGCAAGAGCTCCGACTACGACACCATCAAACAGGTCAGGAAAAGACTGGACTGCCTTTAACCCTTGGCGTCCACCAGTAGAGCATCCGAGGTAGCAGCTCTTGTCGTGGGACTCTCCGTAAAATTCTTAAATGATTTCTTTGCCGACGGTAGCCCCATTCTGGATGGAGCGGTAGGCAAAGTCCTGAATGACGTCGAGATTGTGGAGAAAGGGGGCTCCGGTGTACCCCTGGTGACCATTGTTTGTCGCGATGGTTGCAAATCCGAGCGACGCACTATATTCGACATCGTAGTACTGGATACACCCGCCTAATCCGCCGTTACCCGTTGCAAGGAACCTCCCGGACCAGTCTTCGGGCAGCCACGCCTCAAACCAGAATCCGGAACGGTTCGAAGTAGGAACTTGAGCCGTGATGCGGCAGAGATTGACCGACACGGACTGGGTGAAGATGCCGCACGTGGCATCGGCTTCCGTGATATCGAGCTCCGTTCCGGATGTGAGGTACTCCGGCGTAAAAGAGATACCGCCAGCTGAAGACGTGAAGGATTCGCAGTGCTGCTGAAAGTCTGCCATGCCATCAACGAGTTGAGCCAAGGCAATAGTGTGAGCTAACAAGCCCACAACGCTTGGTTTGACCATCGCGAAGCCTTTGCTCGTCTGATAAGCGAATTTGAGAAAGTATGCCTTCAGCTGTAGTCGCGGCTGGTCAGGCAAAAATGTTGGAGAAGTAAGGAGCCGGAGATGAGAGGTGAAGCTATTCCATGGGAACTGAACACCTGTAGCTACATAAAACAGAGAAGCTTATGTAGAAGATATTAGACCCCTGACTACACCAGAGATACATGCCAAGTCTTTACATGCCACGCCGTTACCTATCTCCCTGGTGGGTAGACGCAACCAAGTCAAGTCAGGAACCACAACGACGACATGCGCGAATTTCTGTCGGTGTATCCGCCGAGACTTGTATTGGCTACTGCCGAAGTTACCGGACCCGCCTATTGCAGCTGTTCGGAATCTTGAACAGCTTCGAGGCCTTGTTGTCGGCAATGATGGCGGCTGCTTTCGGCCGAGGATGATAGTGGCCTTAGCCTCGCCGGAGCATCAAACCTGTAGCAAGAATGCAGGAAACTCACGACGGCGCTGCTATGTTTCATCTTCCTTTCAGCACAAGTGTAAGGCAAGAGGTAAACACGGTATGTATTCTTGTAGTCCAGGGCCACAGCATGAAAATCGTCAAGACATATGAATCCCTCAGTGAGGCGTTGGTACCGTAGACATCACACTTCTCCTCGCTTTCAAAAACTCCCTCGAAAATAGCGCCCATCTTGCCGTAAACTCTCCACTATTAGCATACGTCAGATCAAAAGGCCACTTGTTAGTTCGTGCAAATTGTAGGCGGGGATGAGAGAAGCTACTCTCTCTCGAATGTTGTGTCCAGAGTCAAATTCAGACTCCCTGCATGGAGTGCTGGAGGATGGCTATGCTCTTACCAAGAAGTCGGAGTGCTGTTCCATGCTTGTAACTAAGTAGCGCCGAGGAGGTAATTGCCTATTTGGGTAGTAGTCAATGGTTACCGTTGCGGGATACTCTACTCACAGAGGAACTCCAAGCGTAAGGACTTTTCCCTGCCCCATTCCTGGGCTGCGGCTGGTGGGTCGTTTGGCAAGTAAGGTTAATTTGCCTCTACGTCGTCAAGTCCGGTCTTATGTCCGTTGCGGAACCATCAAGTGTGCTGACATTTGATACTACTAGTATCCAGCAGGACTATCTGGCGAGGAAACCTGCTCTTTAGATAAGTAGGATAGTACCCAACCTCAATCACATATCCCCTCACTTGAGTACTTGCGATGATGCTTTGCACTTTATGATCGTGTTGGCTACTCGCGATATCCAGGCCAAGCTTTGTTTCCCAGCTTGAGTACACCCAAGCCCACATGGCTAATGTATCAGAAGTCACAACCTACCTACCTACTCATGGAGTCCCATTCAGAAAGACACTCGAATGAAGATAATATTTAATGCTATTTGGTCACAAAAGATTTATGTTTCCAACTTCTCTGAGTCCTCTTTCTCTTTATGTTATGACTAAGATTTTAGTACATTTTATGGAAGACTAGCTAAGCATGGCTGTTTTGCTGAGAGGATGTGGCTATGCGGTCAAATGGGTGGGGCTGTGCTGTGATGTTTGCAGCCTGCGTACGGGGGCTGAAATGCCAAACCTGTTCTGTTTGTCAAGGAATTTGCCTTTCGTGGTTGTCTTGATAGCACTGCGTCTCCGAATGAAAGTCAACACTATTAGTACTGTCGGTTAGCCTACTACTCATGCATGGGGAGACTGGTTGTCTAGAACGCATCAAGATACAAAGACGCGCTTTCACGAATCGCGAATGCCGATAGCATAAAGGGGGTACTGGGATTCAGACCCGCGCGTTCCACGGGGGAAGAGTGATTGACTTGAATGCCACCCCGCGCGACAACGGTCACGCCCGACCACCCTTGATGGTTCGACAAACTCGCGCCTCGACGCGTCACAACGATTCGAGCGACGCTGGAAATGCGAGCCCTAGGACTCAAGAAACTCGTCGTTCGCACAAGAAATCTCGGAATGGTTGCGCGGAATGCAAACGCCGTCACATCCGCTGCGACGAGCGCCAGCCCTCGTGTGCGAACTGCGAAGTCGCAGAGCGCGCGTGCTTCTTCCCACCGCCAAAGGTGAGCAAGCAGAAGCGCAGACAAGAGCAACTTCAACTGCAAAGCGAGAAGCCACAGGGTTCACTGGTACGGAACGTCCGATCGCTGTCACATGGCTCTAGAGCAAGCAGTCACAGCAATGCAAATAACGACGCGAATGTGATGATTGAGTGCGCACAGCTACCCTCACAGCCTCTTCATCAACAAGACAATTACTCCGAAGTCACACATGCACCAGACCAACCGTCTTATTGTTTGCCATCGAGGCAAGTAGACGTGCCGGCCGTGGTCGGCCTCGACATCAATTCTCACCAGACTCTATCTGGGGCTTCACCCATGCTGCTGAGCGGCATTCACGCTCCTCCATCTCTGGACTGTCATGCCGCCTTAGCAATACTAGGTACGCCAAACGTCCCCTCGGAAGCGATCTACACACCACAGCACATGATTCCGCTCCACCATGCAAGCTCAGTCCCAAACTTCACTGGCCCAGCCCGGAGCGCCGTCGACATTGCCGTCCGCCGCGCCGTCGACTCGCCCTACCTTCTCGACGAGGTCCTCGCCTTCACAGCTTTTCACATGATCCATCTCTATCCTGGCTCAGCCGCCCATCTCCGACATCTTGCCACAGAGCTCCAAAACCGAGCTCTCTCTTCCTTTACGCGTCTCACAGAGACTGTGCCCAAGGACGACAAAGCTACCGCCGTCCCTCGGTTCCTCTTCTCCGCCATTCTAGGGAGACATGTTCTCGCCGATACCCTCGCTCACTATCGATCCGACTTCAAGTCCTTTATCGACCGCCTGGTCGAATGCTTCAATCTCAACCGCGGCGTCACCTCCGTCACCCCGCCTGCCCGGAACTATCTACAAAACACCGAGATCTCGCCCTTCCTCAATATCATCCTCGAGGCTGCAAAGAAAATGGGTCCTACGGGTGACGAGTGTGGGCCCCTGAGACGCCTCCTGGATGACTCTGACTTCAGTGAAGCGAGCATAGGAGCGTGTCGCGAAGTCATTGAGCTTTTGCAGTGGTGCTTTGACATTTGCCGCGTCCTCGACGAAGAGGACTTCTCCCAAGCCGCCTCGACGTTCTCGGTCAAGGTTCCAGTTGGCTTTGTTGACATGCTGCGGAAGCATCGTCCCGAGGCCCTCATCATTCTCGCTCACTACGGCGTTTTACTGCACCACTGTCGCGGCTTTTGGCCATTTGCCGACGCTGGCGCCTTCATCATCCGCGCTATTGCCAGGCATTTGGGTAGTTACTGGCAAGATGCACTCGCATGGCCGCTTGATGTGCTTGAAACGGAGGTCAGTTGTGTGCCCTAGGGCCAGGAAGCATGTCAAGGTTCTACCTAAGACATCACCTCAGGCTTGAAACTTGTCTGTTACGGATAAGGAAAGATGTTTGACCGAAGCTTCAAATCAAGCATTGAGATTAGTCTATACGTTACGAAGAACAAATTGTTTCCTTTGACTCACTAATCCTGGATTGACAGTTGCTGGCCCTGTTTACAAGTTTCCCCGACTATTTACCCAGGTTATTTCTATACTGAAGCTAGAACTTCCAAATTCCTAGCCAGCCCCAAACCTTACTCAAGCGTTGGGTTTCGGGCAGATGCGGGCAGCGGGCCAGTCGTTGTAGTTCTCATCTGGAGTCTGATAAGGACCATAGAAGACTGTGTTGCCCCGATCATTTTCTGCAAACGCAATGCCATGCCTGATTCTGTTGACGATATCCTGGCCAGGGATCAGAAAGCGTGATCGAAAGACTGCAGATATTCTTACCGGGTTGTAGATGAACGGTCTACCAAAAGTGAGCAAGTCCAACTTCTCTTCCTTGATTAGATGATCGGCCTCCTCCGGTGTAATCATGATTCGCCATTAGCAGCGAAGCACTAACAGGAAACTTGACGAGGCTCCCAAAGTCGAGAACGGGATCGTACCCCTCGGGTAGACCATAGCCTTCAGGCCGACCGTCGTGTCCAAAGAAGTCGCCGATGCCGGCGGTGGCATCAGCCCCTCTGCGAGAAAGGTTGATGATTCCAACCTTGCGGCGGACGAGTTCCTTGATCAGGTAGGTGTAAGTTTGCTTCATCTCTTCAAAAGTGACAACTGAGTCATTATAGAAGTCAGTGGGGTTCAACTTGACGCAAACGAATTCGGGGCCGTCAAAGATCGTAGCCAAGGCTTCGGTGAGCTCGATTACGAAGCGGCATCTGTTTTCGACGGAGCCGCCATAGGCATCGGTTCTCCTGTTGACGCGACTGGTGTCTGCGAGTTAGCTAATGCTGTGAATGAGGGTTATACAAGCCTGTTACCTGTTAAGGAATTAATGAGGCAGGTATCCGCTGTCATTGTTCAGCTTGAAGCAAATTTCGTGGCCTTATGATCATGTTTGTGAGTACATACCCCTGAGCAAGCAACTCGACGCCGTCGAACCCAGCCTGTTTGGCCAAACGACACGAGTTTCGATATGTCTCAATCACATCTTTCGGGTCTTCGATTGCAACGACGTTGTGGGTGTGTCCCTGCAGTGTAACCTCGTCAGCACCAGGTCAGAACGCGTTCAGTCGCCACCTGTTCTACTTACAGGCTTTCCTGGCAAGTCTCGATACTTCCCGGCATTGGCTTTGACGGCAGAAGGAGCCAGAACAACACCACCATGCTTCTTCATGATTGGCATCTCGTCATGCTGGCACAGGCCTGCATGCCATGCTTGAAAGAAGATCTTGCCCCCAACCTCATGAACGGCATCAGTGACCACTCGCCATGCCTGGGCGTGTTCGGATGTGATCATGAAAGGGGCGAAACTCCAGTCGCACCCGGTCCAATCGACAAATATGCCTTCGACTACGATGAGACCGGCGCCATCTCGAGCCCTATCTACATAGTGCTTGACCTGCGCCGGACCCGGTTTACCATCGTTGATGCATCGGTTTCGAGTCATTGAGCCCATCACCACACGGTTCCGGAGGGACAGCTTTCCGCCAACAGTAATCGGGTCTAAGAGAGTTGACATGATGGCGGGTGTATAAGATACCTGACACTTGAGTTGACAAGTAGAATGGACATGAACTTCGAAGTAAAATGAGACGAACCGAAATGGGTTTGCCGGACACTTATTATGCTCGAGGAATCCGGTAGTATGTCAACCCAACTCCAGTCCCAATAACATTGGAGCGCGATGAGCATCGCACTCTCGGAATAAAACGTCAGAAACAGGCCATGGTAAGCATGATCTCGACTTCTCAGGCGCAGCTATCCATCGCGACTACACCAGCTATGCCGGAGAGTGGACTGGCATCCGCTTTGTCAGATGAGTTGACCTATCAGATAACTAGGACTCCGATCCCTGCACCTACTTACACCGGAGCGGGGCCGGGAGGGTTCAGCAATCAGCCAATGAGCCCCGCCAATGTCCGTGGTCCGGTTTGCTTATAAACCCGGCTATGTCCTCTTCAACGTTAGTATGTGAGTTGTTCGAGTCGTTTGCTGTGAGACTCGATCCTCTCTCAGTCAAACACAACGCCATTGATTGGAAATGAAAGCCCTGAGGGCATGTCGTCAATCTCGCCAGTCCAAGCGCAAATGCGCTCGGAAAGATCCCGGTGAAGGGTGTGAGCCATGCCGCAAGCGACGTCTACGATGTAGCGCTGCCACCTCAACCCCAGCGCCGATCTTCGAGCCTCAACCCGAGACTCCCAAATTGCAAAGCACTGAAGGCCCGCCTTGTGCGATCCTATCAGAAGATGCAGTCAGGGAACTCGTTGAACACTATCTCACCAGAATCCACGGCGGATGCCACAGCATCTTCCACCCAGCGACCCTTCGAGCCCAAGTCTCCAACAAGACATTGAAGCCATTGTTGCTACATGCAATATGCGCAATAGGCTCCAAGTTCTCCAGTCAAGCGGAGCTTCGAGATAAAGAGGGGCAGCTGGCGGCAGAGGCGAAGCGTTTGCTACATGCGGACCTGGAGAATATTTGCATCGAGAACGTTCAGACTTGTATCCTTCTGGCGATGCTGAGCTCTGGTAACTGCCAGCCATCCTCTGAGGCGCTGTATGTGGGTGAGTTTCTGCTTATCTGTGATTCCCTTTCAGGCATTCGTGATGGTGAACCAGTCTGACGAGCGAGTCTGAGGCCACAAGGCATCGCAATCAGCATGATCGGAATCCTAAAGATTGAACCGAGATGTACCTCCAGCACCTCTCATACTATCGACGAAACCTCAAGAAGGGTATGGTGGTCACTGTACATCGCAGAACGGTGGTGTTCTTCCGGCCTGGGCATCCGCTGCAGGTTGGACGACGCCGAGGATCCATGCGAGAGTATCCCGCCCATGGACGAGCATGCGTACCACGCCCTTTTACCAGAGGACCAGGATACCATCTCTACTTTCAGTCGGAAATCTGGTATTTGGGCTTACATGCTTCGCCTCGTGAGTTGTTTTGCTCCGATCCAGGATCTCAACCGTCGCATCGCCAAAGGGCAACTATCGGTGTCTGAAATCGAACTACGTGTGGTTGGTCTCGAAGATCAGTTAGACTCCTGGCAAATTGGTCTCCCTTCCGAATTGAAGATGAATGTGGAGAATCTTGGTGCCCATCTACAAAAGAATGTGGCCAGGCAGTTTCTTGCTTTGCATTTGACATACCATCATTTCACAACCTTGCTTTACTTTCACTTCCTCGAAGGCTATCATGAGCGCACCGTTCTTGCCCCACACAACAACTACACCAAACAGTGCAAGTACCACGCATCGTCATTCAGCAACCTGCTCCGCCTCTCTCGCCAGATGAGCGGCTCCGCAGTCGAGTATCCAACTATCGGGCATATGGCTGCCGTATCGTCGTCCGTGTTGGTCCACGTTCTCCTCTTTGGTGACCTCCAAGAGCTTCCAGATGCTCGCGAGAAGCTGGACTCGAATTTCGACGCTTTGATGGAACTTCGGCGGTATTGGCCAGCAACGGAAGCAATGGTACGGCTCTTCTTAGTTCTCGTGCGACCCATGCCGAGGTTCTCTGACCGTGGACTAACCTTTATAATACAGATACATAGACTGAAGTTCTTTCAAAGCATCTGTCTGTTTACTCTAGAGTCTTACAAGCTCGATGTTTGGATGGTGAGGTTTCTACTGGAACATTCTCGCGCGCTCGAGCGGAGGGAGTTGAAGGTTGTGCCCCCCGATCTACGTCTAGATGGTTCGAACATGTCGCCGCGGACCGAGCAGCTATCGAAAGCGGGGAGGTATACCGACTTTTCGTCACTGCATAAGACCTGAGATTAGGACAAGGAGTCGGCGGGCAAATAATTCATTAGTGTTGGAATAGGCCTACATTAGGCAGCAGGAGGTTGCTGCCGCGGTCCGTTCCAGCCACGGTGGTCCGTGTGGCTCAGCCACACGAGGGTGGTATACCCCAGACTTCCTGCCGCCGCTGGCACCTGGTTAGACTTCCACTCAAGAACAACAAGAACAAGCAATATCACCACTACAGTCGGTGATCGTTGCTACCCACGATACTCGAGTATTTCCTTTTCCACCTGTGAATCCAACAATTAGAAGAATCTGACATGGTCGGTATTTAGGTAGTAAAGTCGACGAATAGCAATTGGAATCCAAATCAAGGTTGTTGCCACACCTCTTTGACAAATGTATCATCCAAAATCGAGGTTTCCGGTATCAAACTACTGGAAAGCAGCCTTGTTCGCCTCCAAGAACTCCTTCCAAGTAACCGCCTTCAATCCCACGCCAGCCAGAAGCTCCTGGCTCTCCTTCAAGTCCTTGCCAGCATAGTAACCGGGTTCGTCGATGAAGAGGTGGTTCTCGAGCATCTCGTCGGCCATGGCGGCCATCGGGCCAGCAAAGAAAGTCTTGTACGTCGCAGCGTCGATGGGCACGAAACGGGCCGTCTTGCCAGTGACTTGCTCAAACTCGGCAATGATTCGCGTAGGCGTGTAGTAGTCCTCGGCTGCCAGGATCTGCTTGCCAAGGACGCTGCTCTCGTTGCGGATGGCTGCGACGACGTACTTGCCTGTGAGAAGGGTTCGTCGGCATCCAATCAGGCAAGTCGATTTATGTGCTTAGGCAAGGGCAAACCATCTTAGGAGTTACTTACCAATATCGGACTCGGTATCAATGAGAGGGAACTTGGCCTTGTCGCTAACCGGGTAAGCCAGGTTATAGATGCCGTCCTCACCCTTACGAATCATCTTTAGAGCGGTGAAGTTGTTCATGAAGTAACCCGGGAGGACAAAGGAGCTGGGGATACCCTTGACGCGGATGTAGCGCTCAACCACGGCCTTGTCATCAAAGTGGACGACGTGCTTGAGGCGACCATTGGTGGTCTCCGTAACATGCAGCAGAGACGAGTAGATGAGATGCTTGACGCCAGCCTCGGCCGCAACGTCTGCTACGTTCTTGCCGTGAAGCTGCTCTTCGCTGGCCCCGCCCATGAAGTTGGGCGTGGTGACGAAGAAGACGGTGTGGGAGCCCTTGATCGCCTCGGAAAGAGAGGCCTTTGAACTCATGACGGCCTTTTTAATGTTAGCTGTTGGTATATCGCAAAGGCATGTCAAGAGAAACGGGGGATGGTCATACAGAAACAACTTCGACGCCCTTGCTGGCTAAAGCTTGAGCTGCGGGCTTGGAGACGTCCCGAGTGATGCCTCGAATCTTGAACTCCTTCGATAGAACGGCGTCGGCGAGGGCTGCTCTCACGACGGAGCCGCCCTGGTAGCCTGTGGCCCCGAAGATGGTGAAAATTTTGGACATTTTGAGATGGTCGTTGGGTTCGGCGGTGATGCGTCTTTGGGATGATGAGATCAGTCTGTGGAATGTGAGTAGGAAGCTAAGAATGCACAACGAATGTAGCTCGACTTTATAAGTCAGATATTCGGTGACATTAGGTACGTATCTTAAGTTTTCCGCACGGTTTTCATGACTTTGAAAGGTCTACGCAAGCGTTGCATGAATCAAGCAGTTGTATGCTGGACTGCCCATGATGTGGGCCTTTGAAGGCGGGACTCCCGACTGTCAGTGTCTGCCTTACAAATGTGTTCCTTAGAAACCGGACATTACCTTCTCGGCCAGACCCTCGCCAAACCGCCTGATGTGGTAAGCAAGTATAAGTGTTGCGGAGCTCAGAGACGCGTTCGGGGCGATGATTAGAGTTGCTCTAGCTTAGACAACATTCAATGAGAGTCGCTCTTCATCGGAGACCGGTGTCACGTGTGGAAGCATGCCCTGTCTCTAATCCTTCACAAAAGGCGCCCTAACGCTGATCGACGTCGTTTCTCAAGTTGCTTTCTATCCAAGAAAAAACGTCGGATACATTTGGGGGGATGGACTGTGACCAAGACCGTTAACTTGCCCTCTGGTAAGTCTAACAGATCTTGTGTATTACACAAATTTGGCGGCCACGACGCTCTCAGTAAACCTGACACCCACTCAAAAAAGTGTTGACCAGTCTGAAGCACCCGGAAAACCAGAAAAAAAAAAGAAAAAAAGGAAAAAAAAGATGAACCGACCGAGATTTGAAGGCCGGAATCCTGGAAGGAACAGGAGCATCACTGTCCCAGCCAGCACTTCACGACCCCTCGGCCACATGGCCCAATACTTATTGTTGAGGATTAAGCATGATTCACTCCTCATAAGGGTCGGGGGCGGTGACCAGAGAGGCTCTACCTCAGGCATCCCCAGTGGGACTGCGCCATGAGGCATCGTAGGAACCTGGGTGAGTGAATCACCAGCTCACCAGTCTGTACCTACCGCCTCAGCAACCCACTTTCTTTGGGTCTGTGAAGATTTCCCATTGTCAACGGTAGAATCTCAATCTTCTTGCAAGGTTGAGAAGCAATTTCTATAAGCTGTCTTCTTGGGTAGATTAGTCCGTGCCATTGAGAGTTCTAGTTGATGTAGTAGACATGCACGCTTGATACATACTGTAGGGGCTTGGCTATCATCACCAAGATCTGGACGGGGGTCACACGGATTCACCAACGGGCCGCCTGCTTGAAAATCATGTGCCTATTCTCCATTATACCCTAGATATCTCCCCGATTATTACTACACAAGCCCTACCACCTCAGTCACTCATGACTTCGATTTCCACCCAAAATACACCCAGCTCTGAGCGACCTCCCCAACCTGTACCCTCACGACCGAATGCTACTCGCATACTCGCTCTCCGTCTTCAACCAAGTCTCAAAGTCCTTCAGCCCGGGGTGCTCCTTCCTCAGCGCCGCAATATCGACGTCGTACCCAACATCATAAAACCACTTGAACATGTACCCAAAGTCCTTGACCATGGCCATGAAAAGCCAGCACAAGATCCTATACGTCCCAGGCAGCTCCTTCCCCGTGCTCTTCTTGAACACCGCAGCAAACTGCTCGATCGTCAAGTCGTCGCCTGCGAGCGAGATCCCACGGCCCTTGTAGCTCTCGGGATGGAGGAACGCCTCTGCGCCAAAATATCCGATATCGCTAACGGCAATGAGCTGCAGCGGCTTCTCCTTGACCGCCATCCGCCACGACGTGACAAACACTTTGCCAAAGAAGTTGTCCATGAGGTTCTCCATGAAAGCCACGGGCCGGAGGACGACCCACTCCATGTCGGTGCCCTTGGATTTGTTGAAGAGTTGCTGCTCGATCTCGTGCTTGTGGGCAAAATGAGGCACGTTGGTCGCGTTATCCGCGCCATGCCGCTCGACAGAGGTGTAGACGAAGAACTTGACGCCGGCTTTGAGGGATGCGTCGACGAGTGCTTTGCCTTGGCCTAGTTCGCCGCCTCCGCCTTGGCCGAAGCCCATGGGCACCTACAAGACACATCATCAGCCATTTTTTGTCACTGAAAATTGGTAAGCCAATGAGAGTGTGACGGCATACCTGAACGCTGAAGACTCCCCAGATCGGAGACGCGGCAGCACCTTGCGCAGTCTTGAACAGCGCTGCCGGGTCCGCCAAGTTACCCTGCACAAGGCGAATCTTGGATGATTTCTTCAGAAGACGCTGGGCGGACCCGGAGGTCGCGTCGCGGGTGACGGCAAGAATCTCAAAGTCGGCATTCTGTTCGACGAGGCAGTTGATGACTGCGCCACCCTGCTTTCCAGTCGCGCCGCAAACCAGAATTGATCGTGCCATTGTCGATGTTGTGTCTGATCAAGGTAGTGTGAATGATGAAGTGTTGATACGGGTGTAGTTGATACACACGAAAACCACTCTCGGAAGTTCGAGATATCAGCTCACGTCAAATACATCCAATCTCCACGATGCAGCGGAGTTTCACCATCACAGTGACGCGCGCGACAGGAAAGTCCGCGACTAAGATAGCTGTCTAGCTAGGGGGTTCAGAGTGGTGACGCTTGCGGGCATGCAGCATTGGAAAGCCACCGTAGAAAGATGACCAATCCTGCGGCGCATGTTGCGCCGGTAAGGCCAGAACCGGTGCCGAGACCCCCAACACCCTCCCCCCCTTGGCTGGCGTGGTGTACTGTGGGCCTCGCCCTCCGACGAAGGCCGAGTCGGAGCGCGAAAGTGGGTCCCTGAAACGGCCCGAAGCGGGGAGAAGGGTGTCCGGCTTACGAGAACCATGATGTCTAAGCATTTGTCTCCTCTCGGGTCACCTCGTTCCTACAGCAGCAACTCGATTTCCATTATTGATGTCGACGGTGATCATGAATGGGACCTGAAAAGCAACAGCATTGAAAGGCGGGCACCAATAAAGGATTCAGGTGTGGGCATTGTGTTCTGCGACGAGATCGTTCATCTTCTACTTCTCTTTCAACCAAAATCTTCACACTTTTAAGACATTCAGAACTTCGAAATCTACCTAAATTATTCAAGATTCAGACGTTCGTCATGCAATCAAGTGGTCGATTGCCCGTGGTCCAGGACTCAACAGTCGGTGTCCAACTTCCACAACCACCAGAGGTCAAGTTCCGCCCGCGCCGGCTCCCGAACGGGCAGAATAAGATCCCCATTTCGGTGCGCCACCAGCATCCTTCAAACCACAGACTAACATCACCAATTATGAGTTACCCGGATCCGAGGGGTCCCTCCCATTTCAAAAACGAGAAACAACAACAAGGACCAGCACGCATGAACAACTAGGTACAGCTTCATCGGGCTGATTTCTCATTCGCCCCTCGAGCCAAACTCAGGCCGTATTTGAGTTTTTCTTGCAAGGTTGGAGTTGCCATTAACCTTTGCCATCCCTCTCGGCAAACATCAGCCCAAAAGGAAAAACAAAACAAACCCGCGACTATGAACAGAATTTCATTTGATGTCTCAGCAAGCAAAACTCTGCAAGCTATGCGCAGAAGTGAGGTTTCCTGCATGGGCCGGCTAGAACAGGAATTCACTCCTGCTTGCTCTCATCTCCTGAAGTTGTCCGCAATGGCACATCACATGCTCACCTCCCAACCTCGCACCCGGAGCGCGATGTAACCCAACGAAAGAAGGGCAAAGAGAGAAATGACAAGCAACAAGCTACAGGTGGTAGTAATAGGCGGCGGCATAGCAGGCCTCGCCGCCGCTGCCGTCCTCCGCCAAAAGCACGACGTCACAGTCTACGACCGCGACGATCCCGCCTCCGCACCGGAGCGCGGCGCCGGCATCGGCCTGGGTCCCAACGGTACAAAGATGCTGAAAAAGGCCTTTCAGTTCAGCCCTGAAAACGTCAAGGCCACCGTGTGCGCCGGCTCGAGGACGTACGATAAACAGGGGAACCTGTTAAGGGAGATGACGGGCGTGTCGGAGCCGTTTGGGAGCGAGTGGCTGCTGATGCACCGTGGTGATCTGCGGGACGAGCTATTAAGGCTCGCTACAGGGGACGCGGCCAAGTTGGGGATTTCGGGCCCGCCGGCTAGGGTTGTGGACAGGGTCCTGATTGTTGGTGTTGATGTTGAGGCGGGGAAGGTGAAGTTGAAGGATGGGGAGGAGATTATTGCTGATGTGATTGTTGGTAAGACTATACATGCATGCGGTGTTGTATTAAACCTCCCGAGATTGACGAACATCTCAGGTGCAGACGGCATCCATTCCCTCGTCCGACAGGCCGTTGTCGGCGGGCCATCACACATGGTATCACCAGGGGCCTCACTCTACCGCTTCACATTCCCTCTCGACAAGGCGAGGGATATCTTAGGAGGGTATCCGGCCGCGATAGACCCTTCTGACAGCGGATTCCTCAACATGATGACGGCCGACGACGAGACGCACCGCAACATCATCTTTTACCCCTGCCGGGACATGACGCTGCTCAACGTCGTAGCCAGGATCCCCGACGCCATGCTCTCGGTGGAGAGCATCACGTCCTGGAACGCCGAGGGGAGCGCGGAGGAGATGCTGGTTCACTTTTTCGACTTTGCGCCGTGGATGCTGGAGATTATGAAGTGAGTCTCACCCCCTTCACCTGCTCACAACCATCACATACACGAGTAAGCAGAGAGACTCGCTCACACACGAAAAAACACAATCAAGAAACGCCCAACACATCCACCTCTACAAAGTCAAAGACACAGACCCGCTACCGACGTACACCCGCGGCCGCGCCGTCCTCGTCGGCGACGCGGCGCACCTGATGACGCCGTTCCAAGGCCAGGGCGCGACACAGGCCATCGAGGACGCCGAGGATCTGCGGCTTCTTCTCCATGATGGCGTCAACGCCGATAACCCCGAGAGCATCGTGTTGGCGCTGCGGACGTGGGACTCGGTGCGCAGGCCGCGCGCGTCGCAGGTGCAGCAGAGCTCGAGGCACGTGACGGATATGTCGGCCCAGGCGCAGCTGGATCGGACGAGGTTGAACTGGACGTATAACGGGATCCACGCGGCGTTGAGGAATCGGTAGGACGTATGCGTGTTGGTGAGCCGTGGACAGGAGGCCACCATGATAGGAGGAAAGGGACCAGGTACACCCTCGATATGGGTTGGGTGAGTTTAGCTGTGGACTATCTACCTACCTTACATAATGGACTGTTTGGTGAATGGTTTGAAGGGAGCAGACGAAGTTGAGAGCAAACGGCTGGTTCCGCGATAGCTCAGGGTCTTACGCGACTGCAGATCTTGTCAGGGGCTAATCTGTCTGATATCCCCACCCGCAAGGTACATCATCAATATTGATGAATCATCGACCTAGCCTAATGCATCATTGGGGTGTTCCTGCATTGGAATGCAAAGGCCAATTGTGCCTGGTGCCACAGAACGAGCTTTGAGACCGTCTGATGCTAGCAGTGAGATGAACGCACCTACCTCTACCGTACCTCAGAAAGGGGCCCCGGAAAGGTGCATCGTCTACATCATCGCTCGTCATAATCGAGCACTTCAAAAACGCCATGTCGCGCCATGGTCATATAATATCGTACATCCACATTGCCATCCAAGGGAAGCAAGACCAAGCATCTGACACAATACTTGAACAACTCTCGTGAATACAAACACTTGCAAGTTTTTACGTCTCGCCAACATTATCGGTTCCACCCGTCGACAAACATCCTCTGCAGACACAACCCAGCATATCAGTACACAATCAATCATGTCGTCATCAAGGGCCCTCCGCCTTCAATCGGCCCTCCGAAACCCCGCACTCCGCTCTTCCACACAATTCGCACCCCGCCGGGGCTACGCCGTGAAGGAGCCTCCAGCACCAAACCCCATCAACCCCTCCGGTTCAGCACCGTCCCGTCCCGCACCATCTCCATCAAACCCCAAAGTCGGAACTAAGCCAGACGAAATCACTAACAGGTAAGCCTTTTACCGCTTCAAATATATTTGTTTCCACCTGCTTCAAGCATCCCTTCCTTCTCTCCAGATCACTGACGCGGTTGCTTTCGCAGGAGCGCCCTCTACATTATTCTCGGCGTCGCTGCAACCCTAGGCGGCACCTTCGCCTTCCTCACCGGCGCCCCAGACCGCGCAGCAGGCGTTGCCGACGCCGTCACCCGCGGCGGTGGACCTTCCATCACACCCGGCCTCGGCCCCAAACCCTCGAGCGAGCGTAACTTAGAGAAGACGACGGGGCGGGATGCGAATCGGCAGACGGGGTTGGCGGGGTTGAAGAGCAAGCAGACGGATCCGAACCAGCTGCAGGCGAGTAACTGAAGTTACATATCGCCAGCTGTGTTGGTGGCTTTTAAGTGTGAAAAAAAAAAAAAAAAACCTGTAGTTGTACACTCGGAATATCAGCAAAGGAAGTCACTTTTAAGTTGTAGTCTTGACACACTCTGCGACATGGTGCACCGAGGTTACAACGAATACGTGAATACGCATCCAATCAACCCTCCTCCCTCCCGCGTGCAACTCTCCCGTGCTCCCCGGGATCCATCTATGCAGTTGCAAGGGGGGCTTCGCAAGCATTTTGCGGGGTTGAGTTAGAGCGAAGTAATTGCGATACCCGTGCCCTGCGTCTCCCCAATAAAGGTCTCTTCAATACGTCTGATAATTTACATAGCTCCAGTTCCGCCTGCCAACCACCAAACCCTGTCTAAGAACTCCAATCTCCCACCGGAGATATATAGCCCGCCTGTCAGCAACCCAGAACCCGGCGTAGCGCGATGCGCGGGATGCGGCAATGCGGGAGCGTTGGATTCGGGGAGTATCAACATCCCGCCTTACAGCACTGCGTCCACAGAGGATTGGTTCGGATTTGCATTTGCTGCATGCTGCGAGTGTACACACACACACACACACATACATGTTTCCTGTTGATAGCATTGCATATAATGTGTACAACCTAGCCGTTCCTTCCTGCGTCGTCGTCGTAGGCTCCGTCGTTCTCGGTATCGGATTCTCTTTGCGATGCTGCCGGAGGTTAATGCTTCATGCTTAGAGGCATTCTCTCTCCCATCTTTTTATGTCACTTGTCAAAAGTCCGCCAGACCATGAGATGGACTATGTATATATAACCTCAATCAAATGTGTTCATGAATATCCTGATCTACCTAGTTCTCATTCCCGTGAAGATCTCATTGACATCAATATACCAACCCTCCTCACTAAAAAAAGCAGAAATCTCACCAACCGGAAATCTCACCACCACATCCACCACATCCACCACATCACCAACAATGTCCACAGACTACACCTCAAAAACAGTCCTCATCACAGGCGCAGCCTCAGGCCTAGACCTCCCCCTAACCCGACATTTCCTCGCCGCCAACGCAAACGTCCTAGCCCTCGACATCTCCGACGCCGCCCTCACCTCACTCCCCTCCAAATTCGACGACGACAGTCCGGACCTCCGCGCCCGTCTGCACCCCGTAAAAGCAGACATCACCGACCCAGCCTCCGTGTCCGTCGCAATCGCCTCCTGGGTCGACGGCGGCGATGGCGGCCGTAGACTCGACGTCCTCGTCAACAACGCCGGCATCTCGGGCCTCATGCAACCCACGGGCGAGTGTCCGATGGCCATGTGGGACCGCCAGCCTTGTCAACATGACGGGCAGCTTCGTTACCTCGCAGCACGCTATTCAGCAGTTTCTGAAGCAGGAGCTTGTTGATGGGCAGAGGGGGGTGATTTTGAATGTTATCAGTGCTGCGGGAGTTCACGGCGCGAGAGCAGGTAGGCGGGCGACCCCCCTCTCATCTCATTTCATGTCAATGTTACTACCTTGATCACAAGAGGACGAGGGGAAGGATATGAAACGAACCATGAGAGAGAAGAAACATCCTTTTCAATTGAACGCTCAGCTAACCACCAAAAACATAGGCGTCGCCTACACAGCCTCCAAACACGGCACAGTCGGCCTGACACGAAGCACAGCAGCCTTTTACGGCCCAAAAGGCATCCGGTGCCTAGCCATCATGCCCGGCCCAATGATGATGACAAACATGACCAGGGACGAGGAACACATAAAAGAGTTCCATCCCGAGGGCCTCGCTATGGGTAAGACACCATCTCCTTGCAAGTTCCCCTCCTCCGTGTAGACTTATGGCTGACAATCCCTATTAGTGGTGTCGACATTCAACACCTGCCAAGGTGACCCCGCAAAGGGTGGCTGGGATTTGGGATGGTCGCCGCTGGAGCAGGTGTCCAAGACGGTGGTGAGCTTGTGTTCTGGCGGGATGAACACCATCAACGGCGCGCTTGTGCCGACCGATATGGGCTGGACATGGCTCTGAGCATGTAGGTGTAGGACAACACCAGATTCGTTAACTTTAACACGGCTTGGCAAGCTTGCCCAAGTTTCACAAATTGCGGAGAAGAGAGCATTCGCATGTACGAGCGCTGAGATTCACGGGTAGGATAGTGGTTGAAACCAGTTGAATTGTGCTAAAGAAGAATTATTACTAAGGGAACGCATCATTAACCTTAACCGTCTGTTGACCCAAACTGAATTCTCCATCCGGGTATAAGCCTTTTCGTTTGCCGTCAACTCATCATTTGATCCACGTCTGTGACAAAGGAAAAGAATTAAATTCTACACTCTAGTATCCGCTGACGTGAGCAGGGGTAGAGAGAGTGTTGACGGTGCCGTTAAGACCGCCGTTTGGGTGAGCATCGTAACCGGAGGTAGGGTAGCCAGAGGTGGGGTTGGTGTTCAAGTCACCGCCGTTGACCTGGCCAGAGGCGTGAGGGGCATACACGCCCTGCTGGTTGGGAAGGCCGTGCTTCTTGCGCTCAATGCGAGGCGCATCGGGGATGTCGGTAGACTTGCTGGCCTTGCCAATGGCAAAGACCGGGCTCTCCCAACGCTCACCCTTGCGAGCCAATTCCTTGTACTCGGTCGCCTTGGAGCTGATACCTCCAGGGAGATGAATGTCGGGGAAGATGGAGTCCTCCTTGGTGATGGCGTAGTTGACCTTCTTGTCGGCGGTGACTTCGTCTGCCTTCTGCTTCGCCTGGAGAGCACGCTTCTGCAGGGCGGTGGCATAACGGTTGTAGATGTTGGGAGTGTTCTCGGGGTTGGAGCGAGCCTCGTCGAGAGCACGGTCGGCCTCCTGCTTGACCTGGTAGAGGACGCTGTCCAGTTGAGTGGCCTGATCCTTGATAGCCTTCTCGACAGCCTTCTGGAGAGCAGGGCGGAGGACCTTCAGCATGATTGGCTTGAAGAGACCAAACAAAAGCTTGTGCTTAGATTGCTTGAGCTTGATGCTCATGTGCTTGATGTCGACATCGACCTTGTCAACCTTGAAGAAGTTCTGTCTGTCGGACTTATCGGCGGAAGAGAGCTTCATCTTGAAGGAGAAGCCATCGCCGGCGAGAAGGATGTCGGCAACACCGGTATCGGTGATGGAGGGGAAGCCCTGCTTGCGCTTGACGTGGTAGCTGACGTCGCGAAGATCAAGCTGGACACCAGCAACCTTCACCTCAAAGGATTGCTTGTGCTTGTTGGCGATCTTCTTGCGTCCCCAGAGGAAATAGTTCTCGCTGTTAATCTCGAGAACGTTGGGCATGAAGTTGTCGGACTCCAGGACGAGGTTCTCAATGACAGCATCAAACTGAGGATCACTGTACTCAATACGGGGGACCGGGAGGTAAGCGACGTTCTCGAAGATGCCGGGAATGATGACCTCCGAGAGATCCTTGAGCAAGTGAGGCTTGAAGGTGGGCTTGCCATTCTCATCATTGCCGAGATCGGTGAAGAGCTTCTGCACGGCCAAGCCGAAGCGCTTGTTCTGAGGATCCTGGTCAAACTGGTCGATCAAGAACTTGACCTCGTCAAAGACACGGTCGGTATGAGCGCGGTATTTCTCGCGAAGCAAATAGCGACCGTGGTCATACAGGTGGTTCCACTCCTGGTTCGAGTCCTCGTCCAGGATGTATCCCTGCTCAAGAAGGCAGCGGCGGACGTAGCGGTCCATAGCCTTGAACCAATCCTTCAGCTCGCGATCATTGTCAGCATCGCGGTAGATCTGGTTGATCGACTCGAAGAGATCCTCGGTGGAGGTGCCGTTGGCAAAGCGCTCGATAAGCGTCTTGAGATCAGACTCGGCCTGGGCAAGACCAGCACGAGTGTCCTTGACGGTACCGGATCCGCCCTGGGCAACAGTGCGGGAGTGTCCAGCGTACTCCTCAGCAAGATTGAGAAGAGTCTCAATGGCCTGGGAGTAATCGGGGTGCTGCTGGCATTCAAGTACCATCTTCTTCAGGCGCCAGATAGTCTGGTCCTTGCGCTCTTGAGGCATCTTCTTGTTGAAGTATTCCTTGGAACGACGGAGGTACTCCTCCTTGCGCTGGCGTGCCTGCTCCTTGGTCTCGCCATCAACATTCTCGTTGTACTTCTTCTGAATGACATCGCGAGCAGCATTGATACCACCCTGAGCGTTGACACCTGAGTTGGTACCCTGCTGCTGATCACGAGCGGCAGTCGCAGCCAAATCCTGAGGGTTCTGCGATCCGTTAGGGTGGGCGGCCTGAGTACCGGCAGCGAAGACCTCCCGAGCACCATCGGCGGGAGAGCCCTTGTAGACACCCTGAGCCTGCTTCTTGAAGTTCTCCTTGGAGAAGTCGGGGGCGTCGTGCCAAGTGTTATCTTCGGCGGGGCGGTCAATGTCCTGGAGGGCATCGCCTGAGGGGCGAACACGCTGGGCAGCGTTGGTAGCAGCATCACCAGCCATATCGCGGAGAAGGACGGTAGCATCCTTGACTAACATGGTGTTAACTTGTAAGCCACTGGGAAGACATGAAAGTTCGACTTACGAAGTTTGCGGAACTGTCCGTTGGTGATGAGCAGAGTTCCCAGGGTTCGTAGACCCTCTAGCGCCTTGTCGCCATGCTGCTGAGCAGCCTCCTTGTTGATAGGAGCGCCAGGAACATCGACGGCCTTGGGGTCGAATTGCTCAGTCTGCCAGATGAAATCTTGGAGCAAGTTGCCCTGGTTCTTGGACAACAAAAGGTTCTTGGCTTGGATGACAACTTCGCGCGCGTCGGCGATCAGTGCGCGGCCTTCGGGAGAGAGCTTCTCGGGAGGGTTTGACAGAGCCTTGGAGGCGAGGAAGCTGTTCAGGGCAACATCGATTTGGTCATTCTATTGCGAGGACCACGTCAGTATCATGCAATGATGTAGGGTTGCGGGTCAGGGATCAGGCCAGCGGGGGCCGCGTGGGCCCTTGCCGCCATGCCGGCATCGACGTACCGAAGGAACCTTGCCAGCCTGGAAAGCGGAGAGGATGCCATAGAGCTGGAGCTTGCGGTTGACGTCGGCCTCCTTCTGCTTGAGGTCCGTCGGTTTGTTGACGTTTGCTGACATGATGGGGTATCGTAACGATCGCGCAATGAAACTGCTTGTTGATTTCTGTTTTTTTGAGTGCGATGTTGAAAGGAGGTATGGTGATTATCGGTAGTGGCGCACAGGAACAAAAAGGAACTTCGAGGTATTGGGTATTTCGGGGGGGTATCACAGGGAAATTGGGTATAATGAGAATCGCCAAGATGGTGTTCCTGTTCAAAAAGGGTGAAACAGGAAAAGGTATCGTATCGATGAGGAAGAAGAGGAAGAGGTCTGCAAGAATGGGGCACTGTAGGCGAGGAGGTGTTTATACCTCCGTTCTGGCGTCGTGTCCAGGGAACAGAACCTGGAAAGGAAAGAAAAAAAAAGCCTGCGTCAGAATGAAACTGGGCCAACGATTATTTGGAAGGGAGGCGGCAAAGCAACACGCGTGGCAGGCGTTCGTCCACCTCACTATGGTGATTTAGCCAGCAGGAGGCGGGCCCGGTACTTTCCAATTAGGAGAAGGCAGGTGCAGCAGGAGCTTGGTCCTTCCAGCCCAGTTCACAATGGTTGCTTCCTCCCCTTGGATTAGCTGTATGTCTAGGTACGGATACCACTACCTGGTAAGGTACCTACCTACCCTGCGTGCCTTCCGTGGCCCTGCTAGCAAAAATTGGCAGTTGTGGGTGAGGTGGTCCTGCCTGGTCTGGTCGTGGAACTCGGCGATGGTGACGGTGACGTGAAGGAAGGGGGCAGAAATTTGATGCACTACGTCATCGGCTACTTTGGCAGGCAGGTGCGTGCTGCGATGCTGGGTAGAGGGAGGCAGGTACCTTCCCGCACCCGTCAGAACTTCAGACCACAAGAGTAGGTACCTCGCACCTTCCTTGCTTAAAGACGATGTATCTTTTCTGCGCCTGCACCACCTACGAATACAACAGACCTTGCGGAAAGAGCGAGGACAACCACAGCTGAACCTGCCTGCCCCTGCCTTGCTTGCTGCTTGCTCCAGAGATCCAGCCCCTGTGCCCCTGCTTCGCCTCGGCTGGGCCAAGCATCAGAGCGCAAAGACTGAGGTGACTGAGTTCCAGCTGGCGAAGCACTGGAATTTTTAGTACGTCTCCTATTCGCATTAGTGGCCTGGGGAGATTCGCACCCACTTCCTTAGCGGTCCCACCTCGTGCGGTTTGCGCAGTCTGGGTGGCCACTGGGAGACAGCATCTCGACATCTTTTCATCGTCCATCGCAGAGCACAGCGAACATCGTCGATATTTTCACCCTGTTCGATTTTCTGGGAAAGCAACACACCACAAGCATCGACGCATTGGGTTTGGAGTGACTGGACATCTCCGGCAAGACGTCTCCGGGCCCTCCTGTGGGTGATGCAGACTTTGGAAAACACGTCTAGACTCCTGCCAACTTCCGCACCACAGTCGCCGCTGTTCGCGACCGTCGGTTCCTTGATTGTTGCAAAATGGTCCGATGTAGGTAGGTTGGGCGGTAGGGAGCACGGGAAGTATCTGTACTCTGGAATCGTACATGTACAGTACAAGCGTCCGGGCGGCTGCTTCTTAGACAACCGTTTCCCAGCCTCCCCTCGTGATGGGATCTCTGTCGCACTACGGATATCAGATCACCTAGGAGAGTTTCGTGCTAGGCGCTGTCTGAAATTGTCAACGGTGGATAGCTCGACTATTCGGACGCTATCCAAGTTAATGCCTCGTATCACCACACAGTCTCCCTGTTGTGCTTGGAGGTGGTTGCTGTCTTCCTCATCACTAGGTGCCCAATTCTCAGGCTGCTAGTCCACGAGTTGTCCACCTCACATCATTCCCTACTGGTATTCCCCATCAAGTGTCATTCAGGCCAGACAGCTGTGGAACAAAGCGTCCGTCGTCCTCGTGAATCGCCCATTGGGTTGTGGCATCTTCGGACGACTCAATGATGTGCGCCAGGATATGACGGGACGCAGAAGGGATGTGCTGCGTGCTGCGTGCTGCGTGCACCGGTGTGGATGGCCCGTGGCCCTGTCCAATATCCCGTTGATTTGTTGTGTCTCAAACACTCTGCCCACTTTGGGACTGGATCGAGATGACACGCTGCCATGGGGAGGCCATGGGGAGACTGCAGCGGTACAAAGGCACATGGGATTTCCGCTGTTTCAGCAACCCATCGCGACTTCCAGCAAGTTTGCAACCTCGATGTGAATGGCGTGGTGTTGACCATGTCGTCATGTCAACGAAAGCGCGGGTCTGGACGCGACAGGCATCTTCGCGCTAAACGTCTCTCTTTCCACGAGTGCCGGTATTCGTCACCTACCTCCACCCGTATTCACGAGGCCTCATTAGTAGAAGGAGCACCTATTACCCACCTCTACGCTCTTACCTCAGCTATCAGCACGTACCACCTTACTTTTATCAAAATAGATGAAAAAACAACACTTTTACATTATAATTTATCGTCGGGAAGTATGCCTTTTTAAAGCTTAAAAAGGGAGGGATTAAGATATTCCTTTTCTGATTTTAGATCTGCCCAAAAAATAACGTGTTTTTGGTTCAAATTAGTGGCTATATTAATAGTAGAAAACCACCTACGAGGTAGGTGACGGACACCGATGAGGTAGGTGACGAATACCGGTACTCCTTTCCACGCTTGGTTTTTTGAACGTGCAGCGGAAGGTACAAAGTGACATGGGATACCCAATGGGACTTGATTGGCCCCACTTCAGCTCGGTTCTAGCCTCTCCCGTCGTCCTCCTCCTTCCTTCCTCCCTCCTCGTCCTTGCTCGTTCCCTGCCATTATCCATTGACCAACCAACAGAAGCGACGACGGGAGGCAGGAGCATGAGCCGGGGAGAAACATGTCTCTGCCTCCCGCTGGCCGCTGGTCAAAATTTCACGGATGATTTCTCAACGCCTCACCAGTTCTGGAGATTATTCCCTATGCTTCTCATCCTTCCCGTGAAATGTAACCGTCCACCCAACCAGATGCATCCAAGCACCCCAAGAGATGCGCAAGAGCTGCAGCATCGGCATTTCAGCCTGCTCTCTGCGTTTCAATCATACTTCAACCCCGGCCACACTCGATGATTTCTCCTTCACAGCCACAGAACGTCTAGGCCTCTTCAATCTGGTATCCCTCAATACTTGCTCAATTCGCCAAATACGCCACACTTCCCGTTCATCAAACAATACGCGCCAAGGCAGGGATCATCACGGCATTCAGAATAAACTGATGCAAGGATCTGGCAAGCGCCGCGTCCAGGTCTCCAGGTCTCCATCAAACCTAACCTTGAACCCATGGCATTCTGCATTCTGCATTGCCAATCATTGGCGCATTGGCAGCGGCATCGCAACCCGTTCGAGCCTTGCTCAGACGACGTCGCCCAACGATCACCTCCCCTTCTGTCACTTTATTGCTGTCAACTGCTCCCAATTCGTCATGCGGTGGATGCCGCTACGGGCCACTGACACGTAATCGCCTAGTCTAGGCGTGTTCAAGCCCTGTCGACTCGTCGAGTCTGTCAAGTCTGTGAGCTCTCAGGTGCTTGTCCAGCTGTTCCCATCTCATTTCTATCAAGATCTGGTTTTTTGTGCATCCCGTTGATGCGGCCCTCCTTGGGCTCTTGTGGTCTAGGACGCTACACATGGCATGGCGTCTTCCTCTATCTTTTCCACACATCTCTTTCTCTGGAATCGCGATCGACCAGCAAACACTCAAACACACACCACCAGCCCCGAAAAAGCACCAGCGTGCAATCCATGACGTCAAGGTCCGGTCATTAGTGCGATGCACCTCACGGATATCTAAGCTCCCTGTGACGCCATTCTTGTGTGTTTCGGCACGCCACTGCATCACCAAACCATGAATTCATTTCCTTCGACCTGCAATCTCCCTTCTAACTTCTGACGGCCGCTTTGCTTTTCCAAGCGCTCTTCCAAGGGCCATGAGCTGTCACAAGACTCAGGACTCAAGTAATCTTTTGCAGTCCACCACGTCTCGGCTGCCATCTCTATCCATATTCTCTAGCTGCTAGTAACCCATAATCCCTATCCCCCGTCCAGCTCACCCCTGTCAGTGCCCCCATTTCGATTCACGCGGCTGATTGCCCCACGAACTCACAATGATACTTTGCGAAGCCTAATTGATATTCAACGTGATGGGTGCATAGTCCCCGGAGCACCTCCTCCTGACAGCCGTCACCCGAGATCTGCTTCGACCTTGTCTATTTGCTTGCACTGATGTGGCGCAGTACTGCTCACATAATGTGAGGCCATCGACACCCTTCCTTTGCATCACTCAGTCTGGTAGAAACTTTTCATGCATGGTTGTGAAATTGTTAGGTTGTCTGAATTTCTATCCTCCCGTCCAAGCCTTCTGGGCTCACAAGACTTGACCTACCTTTCTCTGCCCGTGGGACCATGGCGCCGGCGATATTCAACTCCTCACGAGCGGGCAACAAGCTGGGAATGGACACGCTCAATCCAGTCTATACTTCGCTGCCGCATCATATCTTCGCAGGCTATCTTCAATGCTTGAAAAGAGGCATCGACTCCTCCTTGGAAATTCATCACAGGTTCCAATGATTCAGAGACGTTTCTCTTCGCCCATTCCTGCATCGTCAGTAGTACTCGCTCTTTGCGAATAGGCAACGCCTCAAGCACGTTCACTTGCATAGGGTCAATGGCATCTGTCACTCCGTACAGTTGCATCGCCTAGTCCAGCGCCACTGGAAGATTTCGCAGCGGCGCTGGTATCAGCACTGCATTCTCCCATCCCATGACGGCTGCCAATTTCCGTTTGCCGTCAAAGAGGATTGTGCCTGGGTGAGGATCAGGATGGACCAACGTCACAGGCCACCCATCCACGCTGCCATGAGTAGATTCTAAAATATACGGGTTCGGGACCATGAAGCCCATACGGCTTGTCATTTTCTGGGCAACCTCTCGTAATTTTCGTATGCGCTCCTTGATCTCGGGATATTTTTTGAATTCGGGCTCCCAGATCGCGGTGTAAGCGTCGACGTAATCCTCGATCCGTCTGAACGGCCCGTTGTTCTGAACTGACCAGTACCTTTCAGCGCTGTAGAAGTGAGGGTGGACAATGGGGCCAGTGAAGAACTCCTTCTTTGACCAGTCGATACGAAGACTGCCAATGTTTACCTGGTTTTTGGGGACAGTCGGCAGAGCGTTTTGCAGCTCAGAGAGGAATAGTTGTACTTCCCTCGCAATGGCTTTCATGTCCTCTTCGTTGAGGTTCGGCATGGTCCCGGGAGATATATCCATGAACCCTTCCAAGCCGGTATCCTGCTTAGCTGCATGTAAGTCGTGCGCCGCGAGGGCATAGTTCTCCTCGATCGCGCTGAGTAGAGGGAACCCGGTGCGTACCTCCATTATCATCCACTCTAGCCCGAGTGGGTTCCTACCGATGGAGTCAAAGACGAGGACCTGGGGAACGACGGCCGGGGATCCTTGCCTAGCGAACACCATTGCCGCGACCTCTGCCTCGAGCTTGTCGTGGGGGCAAACGGGCAGGCTGAGCTTGAGAATGACCTGCCGCGGCAGCGGCGAAGACTTACGTTGGCCGACAGGTCTGGAAAGGGGCTCGAATTCAACAAAGTAGAATGCATTCGTCGCACCGCAGCTCATCCGCGTGACGGTACCGATAAAGGGAAACTTGTAGACATCACAACGGCTATACAAATCCAACATTTTCAACACATGATCGCCCGTCAGGATACAAGCGCCCTTCCAGCAGGCATCATACTCCCCATCCGGACGCGCCATCCACCGCACAAACTTATCGCGGACGTGTTTCACGGTGCCGGGGTTAGTGCTCCGTCCGCCGCGCAGGGGGGCCATGGGATCCGGGTCCGGGATGCGGTAGGGGAGGTGGGGGATCGGGTTGTTTCTGCCGCCGCCGCGCACGCTGCGGACGCTGCGGAGGGAGAGACTTCTGATGACGGGGACTAGGCTTGAGGAGGATTCGTTTTGGGGAGGGCGGAAGGAAGGGGAGGAGGGGGGTTTGTCTGTGAGGTCTTTGAGGCCTGAGGCGATGCGGTTGGAGACGCGGCGGAGGATGGGGGGTGGGGTTGTGTTGAAGAAGGAGCGCGGAGGTTCTTCTGGGGAGGAGGGGGGCCTGTCGGTCATGGTTGCTTTTACGCGGCGGGTGAACTTTTTGAGTTGGTCCATTGTTAAGTGAGGGCTTGATGAGCTGGGTGTTGGATTTGAAGAGTGAGTTACGAGTTGTGTATATGGTATAGCTGAATCCGGCAGTGGTGTGCGGTTTGAAAGTAGACGTCGTTGGATCGAGATGACGGGGCTAGGTTCGTATTTGCTCACTTGTCAAGCTATCTTCTTGGACTCGGTTGTTGTATGATGGGGAGAAGTAGGGACACTGGTAATGTATGAATTCGCTTCATTGGGAATTATCAGCTCCATTATTCAACGGTTCTTACAAAGTCAATGCCTGAGATATTGTGTTGAAAGAAATCTGGCAGAACAATACCCGGAGTCTCAAAGCAAATAAACCAATAACAACGGCATTGTGTCCCGCCAGACTTGGGACAAAGCTTAGTAGCATTTCTTAGTCATTGCTAAATCGGGGTTCTTTCAATCTTGAGATAGATCTCGTCGATTATCCGCCGGATCCATGAATCCAACAAGATTAGATTGGGAGTTGGGTGAAGCGCGCCGGTTGACAATCGACAAACTTTACGTACCTGTGTTTTCCAGTCGCTTAATAGTAAATACCCAGAGTACCTTGGCTCTGTAAAGTCATCGATTCCGTGAAGTTGTTGTCTTGAGTCGTATTACCGTAGGTCACCGATGATTGACCAACTTACAGAGTTATGCACGGAATCTCTCCCAGCGGGCAGCCCGCAGCGAGCCCATTACAGGAGAAGGGGAGATGCAATGAATGTTTGGCTCTTCTCTCGGTACATTCATAGACGATCCCTACAAGCAGCAATCCAAGAACCGGCACGGGTTCCCGAGGCCTCGGAATGATCCATAAAAGCCGAGGTCACCTCGGAGCACCGGAATCCAGGCGACTCTGCGACTGCACGGCCCTCGGGCTGACTAACCCCACTTCCCCGGATTTCCCGCCCGCTCTTCCCCAAAGTCCCCGAACGTCTCTCATCTCAGCCTCATTGTCACTCATCCATCTCCCTCCATACTCATCTTATCCCTTACCCATTCTGTATTTCAACTACTTACCACTTTTTCCACAAGCACCCTTTACCCAAATACCAAAACAGCCAAATGTCATCACCCATACAACCCCTCCTCGACCGCCTCACCCCCCTCCTCCACTCCCTCCGCCACCGCCCAGCAACTCTCCTCACCACCCTCGCAACACCACTCCTCCTCTGGGCCGCCTACCGCGACTACAGAGCCTACATCGCCCTCGGCCCAGGCGGCGTCCCGCACAACGCCCTAGGCTGGCTCATTGTCGCACTCGGCCTCCGCCCCTTCGCCCTCTCCAAAAGCTCAGCGACTTGGACAGGCGATTACCCAGACCAAGGATCCCACGCCGAAATCCGGGATTTGCCTGAGAGGAAGGGTGAGAGGGCCGAGTTGGGCGGGATCGTGCCGCATCGGCAACTGAGTCAGCATGCGCCGGAGAAGATGAGAGAGGTAACACATCGATAAACTCTTCGTATGAGAATGAATTTGTGTGAGTAGTTGACTGACCATGAACCAGTTCATCGAAAACCTCTTCGCCAACGCAGTAACACAGAACCCGTCCCTCCTAACCACAAAACTCTCCCTCTACGAACGCAACAACCCAGCCCTCTTCCTCCATCCCCAAATCCTGTCCTCCCTCATCTCCTCTTCCTCTTCTTCTCCCACAACCACATCCTCATCCCAATCAACACCCGTCATCGCCCGCGGCGAAATAGCCCACCACCACACAGACCTCTCCATCCACCTCTACCTCTCCCCCGCCGACGCCAAACTCGCCATCCAAAAACGCTGGGCCGAGCGTCACCGCCTCTCCCTCCCCAAGGGCTCCTTCTTAGCCAACAGGTTACATCTCGCGGATTCGTATCTCATGGTCTACGGGCCGCGGGACGTGGAGGAGATAGAGGTGCTGGCTGAGCTGTTGAGGTGTGGGGTGCGGTTCATGACGGGGAGGGAGGATGTTGGTGTGATTGAGTGGCGAAGGAAGATTCAAGCATGATGGATCGTGTTTTCAACAAAGGGCCCTTTTCGGAATTATTTGCAACGAAGTTTTGTCATTAAATGGTTGTACTAATATGTCCATCTCAGTTGGCGGGACTACGCCAACACCCTGTAAACGGGATACTCATCCCCAGCCTCAACAGGCACAATATTAAAACTAGCATACGAATCAATATTCTCCGGCTCAAGCGCCACAAACGCAAGCGCAGCATTCTTCTGCCTCGTGCTGACAAGGAAGCTGCCAGCAGGCAAATTCACCTCCTTGGTAAGCGCCTCCGTCGTCACGGCAGCGCGCACGACGCCCTCGTAGTACTCCGTCTCAAACACGGCCGACGTAATATCGTACGCCTCGACGGTGCCGACGTACGGCTCGCTCAAAGTCTCGACCTCGAGACCAGACACGCGCAGGCGCTCGGCGAGATCGGCCCAGGCGACGGGCATGAGGTAGGCTTCGGGGCGGGCGCGGGTGATGTTGGCCGTCACGGGCGTGGTGGAGCGGAAGTTGATGGGCACGTCGGTGACGGAGCCGTTGTTGATGTTGACCATTTTGAAGGTGCGCTGGACGAGCTGCGAGGAGTCTGTGACGATGATCTCTGAGCTGGCGGACGCAAAGTCGGCGATGGAGGATTCGATTGTCGTGTAGACCTTTTCGGCGTTGTCGGCGGCGGTTTGGAGGATGCTCGAGGCCATGGTCAGGCCGGCGACGGTGCGGCGCTGGAATTCCTGGTCCGCGAGGAAGATGCCGCGCATCTCGATGAGGAAGGTGACGCACTGCGTGAGGCCCATGGCGTTGCGACCAATCTTTGCGTCCGAGCCGGCCTCGGCGAAGGTGGGCTTGAACGTCGGGTTGGTGCTAGTGGATCCCGTCACGTACGGCTCCCAGCGCAGGCCCCGGGCCTCCATGTCCGAGCCGATGTTCTTGGCAAAGACCTCCTCGGATAGCGTGCGGATGTCTTGGTGGATGTTGAGGTTCTTGGCGGCGGAGAAGAGGCCGTCGGCGGCGTGGTAGTAGCTTCCGTAGCGGGCGGTGGCGCTGTACTCGTGCATGTCGATGGCGACGTGAGGAGCGAACTCGCCAAAGAGGGTTTTGATATCGCGGGTCTGCTTGCGGGCGAGCTTGACGTGGTCGCGGTTGGGGTCATAGTTGGTGGCCAGGGTGCGCTGGAAGTAGCCAACGCCGTCAGGGTTGTACCGAGGCAGGATGACGATGTCGAGCTTCTCAAGGAGCGACGCGGCCCATGTCTGGTTCGCGTCCAGAGCTCCGAGGAGGGCCAGAAGTGATTGATCGCCGGCTGGCTCGTTGCCGTGTACGGCGCCCTGAACCCAAACCCTGACCTTGCCAGTTGAGTTTGAAACCCTACGGGAGAGCTTTGTCGAAGACAGGTGGAGGTAGGGAAACGGGCGGCCTTCCTCCGAGGTGAAGTTGGCTTTGTTGTAGGTCAACCAGTCGTTCTTATCGGCCAAGTTTTGAACAAAAGAGTCTTTGAACTGGTTAGTCATTGTTCAGACAAGGGGCTCGTTAAAAGCTCACCGAGAAGATCATCATCTGTCGGGCCCTGTGTGCCCTCAGAGAAGCCTGCAGGAATCGTGTCCGGGGTCAGAAATGCAGGCGAAAGCAAGTCGACGCCCTTGATATCCTTGAAGTTGGCGGCGACAATGTCCGTATCCTTGCGCACAGTTACGTGGTTGTACCCATACTGAACCGCCTGGACAGACGAGAGTAGAGACAAGCCAAGCAGGCTCAGGCGAGATGTAGCGACCATCGTGTTGGGCAACGTGAGGTTGTGAGAGTTCGTTGAGTATCAGAACGAAGCAGCGCCGGGACCTAACAGAGTGATTTCAGAGAAGAGCAGCTTCGGCCCTTTTTACATCCCTCTTAGTCTCCAAGGCATCAATGTCGCGATGGGGTAGCGTAGCACCATGCGGAGGAAAATGGCTCGTCAACGCGTGGCGGGAGACCGTTCCTGACATGACCGTTGGCTTGGCTGATCTCATTCCGGAGTTGACGGTTGGTAATTCACCCAATGTCGGAGAAATTGCCGATATCGACCGGCACTGGAATACTGGAATCCATCAAGGCTCTCATCGTAGGTCCGATTTGAATTAGTGTTAACATTGGCAACGAAACTGGATGAGGCAGCTCAGTAGAGAAGATGAGGGGAAAGCGGGGGAATCCCCGTGGGTGCAGATAACGGTGACCATGTCGCCAAGACTTCGGGCCCCCGTAGCGAGATATGCCATCTGCCATTGACGTATAGAATCTCTCCGAAAGACTGCAATGGGCCCACGGGTTCATATTGAGTTGCCGATGTTCGGGTTGGAGGCTCCCTAAACCACGCTTGCCAAGAACATGGCTGTGCAAACTGGTGATCAACAGATACGCAGTTGCCCGACTCCGCAGGCAATGGCCGAGTTGCGGAGCGGCCTCGTGCCGACATCGACCATCAGATACATCACCAAGGTGACTCGCGACGACGATGATCATTACAATCACGGGATGCCAAGAAGTCGAGGGATGCTATTAACCTTCCCCAACAGCGAGAGGGAAGGCCTGCATCATTTCTGAAGTATCTTCGGACACACGACACTAACGGAGTATCTAAATGTTCATCATGGATTATAACGCGGCCTTTCCTCGTGACTCAAACGGCAATATCAGTACCAAAAGTCCGGCTGCAATGAAGAGCGCACCACTGGTGTAAACGGGAGCCGACGTCTTTAGGTTGGCGAACATGGCGACAATAGGCTACGGGCACTGTGTCAGTATTGATCTCCCGGTCTTCGCATATTGCACTTACAGCCATGATCCCGAAGATGCGGTTGCAGGTCGCCGTGAGTGCGTTACCGGTGCCGCGCTGCGGAGTGGGGAAGAGCTCCGGGGTGAAGCCGTAGAGCACCGCGTACATGACGTTGCTGCAAAAGTTGAAGGCGCAATTCCAACCCAGCAGCGCATTGCTAGTCATAGCCGTAGTCGAACAGTAGAGGAAGACGCCGGTGGCAACGGTGCTGATGGCAAGTGTACCTTTGCGCCCCAATGCCGGCAGCTCTACTAGCCAGCCACCAAGCAGCGCTCCGGGCACGCCCAGCACCGCGATGATCAGGCTGTTGCGGTATGTCAAATACGTGCTGCCATCGCCCAGTTCCGCTCCACGGGTAGCCTGGATGTAAGGTATGAAGGCGTTGTAGAGAGGATACCCTAGGCCGATCAGCGCCCAGATGGCCATGATTGTGCCGGTACTCAAAGCCAGGCGGCGAGTAGAGAAAAGCACGCGTATTCGGCTGAGATCAAGCTTCTCCAGATTCCGTTTGACCGCTGTAGCAGCGTCCGTACGCGCGACGTATCCTTCCGGCTCGCATGCCTTCAGGTCCTCAATCGACAGCGTCGTGAGTTTCCCGTTTCGCCTCGCAACTTCGTGAACGACTCGGACGGCATCTTCGTCGCGGCCTTTGCCCATGAGATACTTGGGCGACTCGTAGATGGTAAAGAGAACAAATCGAATCAAGAACATGAGTAGAGTCAGGCCACCGATGGTGATCAGGAAGTATCGCCAACCCATATTGTTGGCTTTCGTGCAAGTCGCACCTTCTTGGCATGTGAGGTTGCCGAGGAGGGGCCAAGCAATGAGAGTGGCAATGACTTGGGCGATGGCCCAGTCAATAGAAAGGACTGTCAACAGGTATTGGTGGGTTCCCGGGAGGAACTCGAGGAAGATGGCCGAATCGACAGGAAGGTTGCCCCCCACACCAAAGGACCAGAAGGCCGCAAAGATGCCGATGCCCGCGAAGCTGGGCGCGCCGGCAGCAGCCATACCCCAAAGAGCAGTCAGACCGAGGGTCATATTGAAAGCCACTTTCCTACCAAACAGGTCACAACCAAAGCCCCAGAACATGGCACCTGCCAGGAGGCCAATATTTTGTGATAGTGTAAGTAGGGGCGGGCGTGAAGGGCCAAATTCGTTGGTGATCGGGGTGAAGATGAGCGACGTTACAATCGGCCAAAGGTTGTCGCTTGCCCACCCGAATCCGACGACGATAAAAAGCTGCCACTGGTACCAGCCCATACCAATATCTTGGATCTGGAGACGGAAGTCAGCGATGATGTGCTCCGGTGTTCAACTCGTTCGCAGACAGCAACGTACAGCGCGATTCAGTACCCGAGCTTTGGCCTCGTAGACGGGATCTAGAGCACCCTTGGGAATGATGGCAGCATCGTCGATACCATGGATGTCAATGCTCCCATCGTGAGCCGCAGCAGCATGCGAGTCGACCTTTTGCGCTGTGTCGAGCTTTCGCGCGGGATCTGTGTCGGTGCCCATCTCGACGCGAATCTATGTGCCTAAGAAATGGAGGAAATGCAACACGACGCGAAATCGAAACTACAGGTAGAGCAACCTTGACGTCTCCCCAAAGAGCAAATAGTCATGAAAGTTTCGGGGTCAAGGCGTGGAGAGCCTCGCGGGAGATCAGCGCCATATGTACGGCGCGCGGTCGCCACACTTTGTAGGTTTGGGTGTAACCGCTCGAGGTATTCAGACGGTGCCAGCTCGTACTCCGAATGGCGCAATCCGTCCGGTGGAGGGTTCCTGCGGTCTTGATTGGCTTCGCTGACCATATGAAGGTTGGAATACATGCCGATCTGCACTTTGTTCCAATGTCTGACTACAGCTTGATTGCAGTGGAGGGGAACCGAACGATCCTGGCGGGCTTAACGTGTGGGGGATCTGCTCGTAACCTGGGAAGCTGCGCACTGTCTCATCCGATTCGAGGTATCCGCAGATGTTGGTTGCATCCCTAAGCCGAGCTTTGAGGAGAGACATGCCTCATGCGTCATTGGCATTGCTTGATGGGGGAGAGCTGTTTCTCGTGCTTGTCGGGGAGTCGGCGTCAAGTTTTTAGGATTGCAGTGAAGGTGAACATGTTGTATTTCCGAGGCGCCGAGTAAGGAGCTCCGCAAGGCCGACGAATGGGTTGAATCTTGCTCGAATGCCATGTGTAGATCTGATGCCGCCTAAGTAGATGGGAAGCCCAAAGTTTGGCTTTGAAGATGGGAAGGGATGAGATGTTTCAACTTCTGGAGAGAACTTGGTGGGTGCCCGAAACACGCCCGTCCAGTCTCCCCCCCACAGCGGACGTTAGTGGGCTGGCGGCAGTGACAGCTGGCCACCATCCCATCCAGTCGGCACCAGCTGTTCAGCCATATCTATGTACCTCACTCTCTTCCCTGCACTCTCCCGTCCTCTCCCGTAAGAAGGCCCCAAAAATGGGATGATCGTGAAAAGAACTTCTCTTTTGTGCCAAGACACTGGCCAGTGCACCATCAGACATCTTATTCGACATCTTATTCGACATCCAGGTCTTGACTGGTAAGGTCAGAGATGCCGACAATCATAGCGTGCCTCTTGACAGTGTTCTACATCTTCGCCACTACGTCATCAGCAAAGAAGAACCTCATAGTTGATACAGACCTGTTCAGCGATTGCGAGTAAGTCTGTCATCCTTATGGCCAAACATTTGGACTTATTGAATTCTCTCTAACTACCTCAGTGACGCTGCGGCTCTCCTTCTCGCCGCCACGTCTCCAGAAGTCAATCTTCTGGGAGTCAACGTCAACTCCCAATCCTCATATTCAGTATTAGCAGCATCGGCCATCCTCAACCACTACGGCCACGCTCAAGTCCCCGTCGGTGCCCGACGCCCTCTAAATGATGTCCCGTTCTTCGACAAATGGGCCAGCCGGGCCGGCGAATTCGCGAGCAAGCTAGCAACGCACTGGTTCAAAGGCATCTCCGACGCCGAGGAAGCCTGGGAACCCGTCGACCTCTACCGCAAGCTCCTTTCCGAGGCAGAAGACGACTCCATCACCATAGCCTCCATCGGCTTCCTACACAATCTCTCTGGCCTCCTCAACTCCACCGCGGATGCCTGGTCCCCATTGCCTGGCACTGAGTTGGTGAAGACCAAGGTCAAAGAGCTCGTCGTCATGGGCGGGGACTACCCAAACGGATTCGAATTCAACTTTTGGGGCGACGATCCCTATGAGACGGCACACGCAATTCACAACTGGACAAGCCCAATTGTTTACGCCGGCTTCAAGCTTGGGGCCTCGGTTCGCTCAGGCGGCCCTCTCATGGCTGACGGACCCAAGACTGACCCTGTACGGGCGGCGTACATACTGTACACGTATTATCAGCCGCAGTGGTCTTACGATCCGATTGCAATGCTCTACGCTATAGGTGGTCTCGGAGATTTCTTCAATTTTGGCAACGAGTACGGATACAACACAATCACCTTGTACGGAGAAGATAAGTGCGATGGTTGCAATGTTTGGGTGTACGACAAGAACGTCACCAATCAGCACTGGCTTGATGTTACAGTCACTTATGAAAAGCTCAGGGAGGAGCTGGACAGACGGTACCTGCAAGGAGCATGGTCTTCCAAGAGAGCCTCAGATCACGTGGGGATATTACCCAAGCTTGGCGACTGCAGAGTCGAGCAAGCTTCGGGTCCACCACAGAGACTAGAGCTTTGACAGCTGGGGTCTCTGAAAGCAGTGAAAAAGACAGAGGCGGGAGAATAAGACCAAGGCTTGTAGTCTTGAAAAAGCAATAGAGTATCTGCTCTGAGTCATCAACATTTCAACATAAGGCTTTCAGTAATTTCCATTTTCGTTGCGAAATAGAGGGAGGCGCCCTCGTTTTACCTGTCTCAGGACTTGGGTCAGGGTTAGGAGAAACAAATGTGCGCCTGTCGTCTCCCTTCAAGATGGTCTCTGCCAAGTCAGTCACTTTGTTCGGCAGCATGCTGCTGGGCAACGTCATGGGCGCCGACAACTTGGGTCGGGCCGCCTTCCTCTGGTAAGTACCTCCCCTGCTGTATCTTGCAGGCTGCACCGGAAATCGGCAGCTAACAAGAAGACTATCAGGCCCCCAGACCGTGAGTGGTCTGCCGACGCCGACAACACGGCCCCGGTGTCCGCACCGAGTTCCCTCTCGGTAAGTTGAAACGTCCTCCGAGACTCGGGCTACTCTTCGGGTTGTTCTAACACCAAGCCAACATAGTAAACGGCAAGCTTGCCCTCGTCACCCAAGACGTCACCCGCTCCGTCCACCTGAGTGTCTCCTACGAGAACAGTACGTGCGAACATTCTCACACCACCCCTTCGCCTCCACAGGATCGCATACCTAACATCCACCAAACAGACCCCAAGTCCGTCTCCGACTTCGAGACCTTCCTCGGCCCCAGCGAGGTCGGCAGCCTCGACCTCGGCCACACCTGCGTGACGGTCCCCAGCGCGCCCGACGGCACCGCCGCCGGCGCCAACGCGACCTACCGCATGCTCTACGTCTCCAACTTTGAGTCGGACGAGTCTAAGCGCGAGACCTACTACGGCTGCGCCGACGTCACCTTCGTCGAGGTCTTCGCCGCCTCCATCCCCTGCTTCAATGCCACCGTCAGCGACCCCGACGTCGACGTCGACATCACCGTCAACGTCACCACCACCGACTCGGGCGGCAACACCCCGCACACCGCTGCCGACTTCACCGCTGCAGATTCCAAGAGCTCTAGACTCTCCAAGGGCGCTATCGCTGGTGCCGCTGTCGGCTCCATTGCTGGTCTGTCTCTGATTGCCCTTGCTGGATTCTTCTTCTGGCGCAAGAAGGCTGCCAAGAAGGAGGCTGTCACTGAGCCCATGCAGCAACGCTGGGATGCCGAGAAGGCTGTCAGTGACACGTCTTCCGTCAACAGCCGTCCCCAGAACTAAGCTTTTCCCGACCCGACTTCAACGCATGACGTTGCCTCTGGCAGTGTCAACCATGCGCTTAACATAATACTGGAACGAGAGATGATATGATTGACGTATATCATGAAGTAGCAAGAATAAAAGGAAGGATCCTACAATATCTTGCTCTTAAACATCATGTGTCCAAGTACTCGACGTTGATGATCTTGCTGAAGATGACAAAATGTGATGTCTTCCTGTTTTATTGATGTATGCTTTCGATGCAATTAAGCGGGTCCTCCGCAGGACCACCCCACATAACCGCCCGTTGTGCCGCTTTAGTGCATTGACGTCCAGGCAGCATCCCCAAGGCAACCGCTCCACCGTTGAACCTCAACGGCCTCAGGTAAGCCGCAATTGAAGGGTATAAGTCCTCAAGGCACTAAGCGCGACTGATCCGTTGCGATGCTCTTCCATTTACCACGACCGATCGCATTCAAATCCGCCCGGTAGCATCCAGACGTCGGACTCTACCTCCAAATCATCCCCCCAATACTCCGTCGCCAACGGCTCTCAATCCTCTCAGCAGTGAACGCCGTGAATTGCCCATTATGAGCCAACGCAAGCGGCAAAAGTCGCCCGACGCAATGGCGATTGACGAGGAGGAGAGGCAATATGCTATTGGAGGGACCACACTCGAAGAATTGAACGAAAAGTGAGCTCTCTTTCCCTTCCTTGGCCACGGAGCTCACACGCCCCTGCAGGTACCCAAATCGTCCACACAATCATTCAAAGACGATGTGCTTTTCAGAACTCTTCCAAAGTCTCTTCAATCCTTTGAACGAGAACAAGAAGCAGCCAGCCGGTCGCGGTCCACCTCGCACCAAGAAGGGCCCCCACGGACCGCACAAGCTGTCGCCGCAGGAACAGAGAAGGCACATCATTGAGCGTTTTATTTCGAGATGGCGAAACGATGTGGGGAACGACATCTACCCGGCTTTGCGACTCATTCTTCCCGACAAGGATCGGGATCGCGGCGTCTACGGCCTGAAGGAGAATGCTATCGGCAAACTCCTCGTCAAGCTCATGAAGATCGACAAGAACTCGGAAGACGGCCACAATCTACTTCACTGGAAGTTGCCAGGTCAGACCACCTTCTCCAGATTAGCGGGCGACTTCGCGGGGCGATGTTTCGAGGTCCTCTCCAAGCGACCGATGCGGACGGAAGTCGGCGACATGACGATTGCCGAGGTCAATGAGATGCTGGACAAGCTCGCCGCATCTGCGGGAGAGCTGGAGAACTTGGAGGTCTTTGAGGTTTTCTACGAGCGCATGAATGCGGAGGAACTTATGTGGTTGATCCGCATCGTGCTCAAGCAGATGAAGGTCGGCGCGACCGAGCGGACCTTTCTCGACCTGTGGCATCCAGACGGCGAGGCCCTATTCAGCGTGTCGTCAAGTCTCCGGCGCGTCTGCTGGGAGCTCCATGACCCCAGGATCCGCCTGGAGCAGGAGGATACCGGTGTTACTCTCATGGAATGTTTCCAGCCCCAGCTGGCACAGTTCCAGATGCCATCTTCTTTCCAGAAGATGGTCGACTACCTCCGGACTACAGAGGAGGACCCCGAGTTCTGGATCGAGGAAAAGTTGGACGGCGAGCGCATGCAAATGCACATGGCCGAAGAACCAAGCGTTCCGGGAGGTTTGCGTTTCTGCTTCTGGTCTCGCAAGGCGAAAGATTACACCTACCTATACGGTAGTGGATTGAAGGACGAGAAGGGAGCTCTGACTCGTCACCTGGCAGAGGCCTTCTCCGAGGGTGTTCGCAACGTCATCCTCGACGGGGAGATGATTACTTGGGGCCCGGAAGTCGACAAAATCATGCCGTTCGGCACTCTCAAAACAGCTGCTCTAGCAGAGCAGAACAATCCCTACAACAACACAGGGCCGCGACCTCTCTACCGCGTCTTCGACATCCTCCTGCTGAACGACCAGCCTTTGACCCAGTACACCCTACGGGATCGCCGCCGTGCCCTAGGGAAAGCTGTGAAAGGCGTCTACAGAAGGCTGGAGATCCACGAATACGAATCTGCAACATCGCCAGAGGCCATCGAGCCACTCCTCCGCAAAGTCGTCGCCGAGGCGTCGGAAGGTTTGGTCCTCAAGAACCCAAGATCGATGTACAGACTCAACAGCCGCAACGACGACTGGCTGAAAGTCAAGCCAGAGTACATGTCCGAGTTCGGAGAGTCTCTAGATTGTGTCGTTATTGGCGGCTACTACGGCTCTGGGCGGAGAGGTGGCGCCATCTCCAGCTTCTTGTGTGGCCTTCGCGTCAGTGAGAACCACATTCAAGCCGGCGCGAATCCCGAGAAATGCTTCAGCTTCTTCAAAGTCGGCGGCGGCTTTACGGCGGGAGACTATGCCGAGATCAGGCATCGAACGGATGGAAAATGGACTACATGGGACCCGAAGAGGCCTCCGGTGGAATACATCGAGCTCGCCGGCGGCGACCGGCAATTCGAGAAGCCCGATGTCTGGATCCGACCCAGCGAATCTGTCGTCGTGGAGGCCAAGGCCGCGAGCATCGGTAATTCGGACCAATTCTCACTCGGCTTCACCCTGCGATTCCCCCGTTTTCGCAAACTGAGAACCGACAAGAACTGGGATGAAGGCCTAAGCGTGCAAGAGTTCCTAGACCTCCGGAGACGAGTGGAGGCGGAAGCCAAAGAAAAGACCATGAGCGTCGAGAATCGCAAGCGCAAGTCGGTGAAGCGCGTCAAGCGCGAAGTCGTAATCGCCGGAACGGAAAACATGCCTGCGCAGTTCCAAGCAGACAAATCTAAGGTGTTTGAAGGCCTCGAGTTCTGCGTCCTGTCCGAGTCGCTCAAGCCGTTTAAGAAGACCAAGGCACAGCTCGAGACCCTTATCAAGGAGAACGGCGGCCAGGTTTCTCAGCGGGGTGTCCCGCAGTCCGGGATGATTCTCTTGGCGGACAAGAACGTCGTCAAGGTCGCGAGTTTGGTCAAGGAGGGGCAAAAGGGCAGCGGTGTTGACATAATCAGGCCAAAGTGGGTCCAAGACTGTCTCGAACAGGCTGACGATTCTCTGCTACTTCCCTATGAGGAGCGACACTTGTTACATGCGACGGAAGCTCTCAAGACGGTTGCTTTGCAGAACACGGATATGTACGGGGACAGCTACGCCCGCGATATCAGTCTCATCGAGCTGCGCGAAGTTCTCAATACGATGCCCAAGAAAGAGCCTGATACGGAGCCTTTTAACAAGACGCAATTTCTCAATCAGCTCGAGGAGCGTGGACGCGGGGTGGGTCCGATGAAGGGATCAATGTTCCATCGTTGCGCCGTCCATTTGGTCAACGTTCAAGAGGACGAGGATGAAGACGAGATCAAGATGTTGAAGCTTAGGCACTATCTGACCTTTGGCGGTGCACGCTTGATCAGTGATGCCGACGACACAGAGACTACGCACGTAGTCGTGGTCGGGGACAAGGACCGGCGGAAGGATGCGGCCGCTGCTTTGCGAGAGGAAGCCAGTCGTAGGCGTAAGATTCCACACATCGTGACCGCGGAATGGGTTGAAGATTGCTGGCGAGAGAAGACGCTGCTGGATGAGGAGACGTACACGCGAATGTGAAAGACGCAACGGCATTGGGTCCGGTGGTCCACGGGGGGGATGAATTGCTTATTATACCCAGGATAAATGAAACTTTAGTTTCGACTCCAGCATCCAAAAACCTTTCTATCAGTGCCATGCATGACCCGTCGTCTAGTATGAGGTGAATTTTCAATCCAAGGGCCAAAATAGCAAATCTCCAAACCCCGGGCCGCCCCGGGTATTAGTAGCAGCCTTTTTATTTTCCAATAGTGAGGAACAAACGATCACCGACATCACCAACACCAGGCTTCAACATGCCATTCGACGTTAACTCGGCGTCCACGCCGGCAATGTAGATATCCGTCGCGTCGGCCCACTCGCTTGCAGCGCGCTTGACGCCCTCGGCGGCGCCAATGACGGAGAGGACGACGATGCGTTTGGCGCCCCACTCGCGGAGGGTCTGGATGGCGGCGGCGCAGGTGCCGCCCGTGGCGATGACGGGGTCGAGGACGATGGCGAGCTCGGAGGCGCCCGAGTTGGAGCCGTCGGGGGAGACGTGGTTGGGGAGGTTGTTGTAGTATTCTACGGGCTCGAGGGTCGATGGTTCGCGGTAGAGGCCTAGGTGGTGGACTGCTGCGGGGGTGGGGAGGATTGTTTGGACGGCTGTGGTTTGGTTGTGTTAGTTGGGGGTTTAGGTCTGGGCAAGAAGGAGCATGGTGTTGGATTTGGTCGTTTACCTTCTACCATGCCGAGACCTGATCGCAGAATGGGGACGAGGCAGAGGCTGGAGGGAGAGATTGTGGTTGAGGTGAAGTCGAATCCTAGCGGGGTAGTGTCCTGGGCGACAGTGTCAGTCCAGTCACAGTGGTCGATGTAATCCAAACAGGTTTTGGGAAGAAGGGGAAGATACCTTTGATCCATCTGTCGCTTTCGTGGAGGCAGCGAGGGCCTCGTATGCCACCATCAACGCGATATCATTCACCAGCGTCTTGACCTCCCTCGCCGGCGTCGACTGGGACCGCAATTGGGACAGCTTCGCCCGGAGACAGGGGTGCTGGGAGATGTGCACGTTGGCAGGGAGCTCGGGTGTTGAGGAGGCCATGGTGTAAATACGGATTGATAGAAACGTGGGATGGAATTAAACACGAATACGCTGAAGCATTGAACGGTGACCAGATGAAAGAAAGTAAGGGAGGAATCGTGAGATTTAAAGAAAATGGGAATTGGGAGTTTACCGTCGATATCTACGAGAGGTTGGTGGGGAGGCCGGAGCAAGCCACTGAGACCAGCAGGCAGTACCTGCCTACCATAGGAGAGGAGGAGGAGGGGTCCTTCCATGTCCTCCTGATCAGCGCCGGTACCTTGAGTGGGTCCTGCATGCGGCGGGAAGCTCTGGATAAGATAAGCCCGCTGCTGCCCATGAGGTCCGACGCCCAACGCCCGCCTTTTTTTGGAACAATTGGGGACTGCCACCAGGTCAACTCCGGCGTCCGGCAAGGCATCGGAGGTCGCCGTCATGCATTTTAAGTTGGGGCCTGGATCTTATACAGATAGCTGATAATGCATGGGTGACGAGATATAGGGGAATCGAGAACTTATTAGTAACGTGTTCGTCTCGACTTGTTGCCATTGCCTGTCGTCCTGCCTGAAGCTGTTTAGCTCGGGATGTTGGGCCCCTCCATCCCTCGCACTGACTTACCTCATCGACGTGTGGAATGTCACCGCCTCGGTGTACTCCGCCTTTCCTCGGCGAGGGATACCCCACCATGGAGCTCGGGCCGTCGGTGAGCGGTGTGAGGTGAGCAAAACCGGGAGTACCGAGATATCCGCCTCTGCCGCCAAGACAAGGTTGTCCGGGAATGACGTTCCCGCTACAAGCAGTGGCAGCAGTTTAGTGACGCGACTACTGGTCAACCTTCTTTTTTATTGACGATATTGCCGATTACCCGGAATTCCCACGACCCCAGATCCATTTTGAGAGTCGAAAACTAGTGGGATATGAATACCGAACAAGACCACACGAGGTCCGGTCATGCATCGAAACGCGCCAACGACGAAATACAAGGACGGAAATCGTGATGCAAGGCGGAAACGAAATGGGTGACGCCAACAGCGCTACCGCGGGTCATAAAGATCTCGTACAGACGAGCGATACTAGCAGGCAGGCTCATGCAGAGAGCAAGAATACACATCACGGGCGATCGGTCGGGTACGATGCGCCTGAAGACTATGGCAACCTCGACGAGATGGTCGCAGACCCAATCTCGCATAGCGGGAGTAGGAGCCGTGATGGGAGGGGCGAGAGTCTGGAAGAGATGCGATCTGCCGGCTACAACGCTCCCAAAGAATACTCCAAGGACACGATCGCCAGCTCTGGTATACACAGTTCCAGCGAGAGTCGCACGAAAGAAGGCAAGGGTCTGGAGGAGGAGGGGCAGTCGTCCGAATATTATGCACCAGAAGACTACAGCAACCTCGACGAGATGATCGCGGACCCCGTCGCGCATAGTCCCAAACGGCATCGCCCGGGAAGGGGTGAAAGCCTGGAGGAGATGCGATCCCCTCGACGGCCCTCCGACCTCGAAATGCAAGACACAACAACGCCCGACGAGCAAGACGAGCCCGAGACGACAACCTCAAAGCCCACCGCGCGCGTCTCCAGGTTGGCGACGGAGGTGTATACGCTCTCATACCTCGTCTTCTTCGCCATCTTCGGCACGATTGCCCGTCTCGGACTACAGGCTCTAACGCTCTACCCCGGTGCCCCAATCTCCTTCAGTGTGTTGTGGGCCAACGTCGGCGGCAGCCTGGTCATGGGCTTCCTGATCGAAGACCGCAAGCTCTTCAAGCAGGAATGGGGTACGCCGAACTACCACAGAGAGATCACCAAAGCCCGGCGGCGCGGCGGTCAGACGGACGACGGGAGTGCCGCTACCGCCGACCTCGCGGCCGCGAAGAAGGCCCACCTCGCAACCAAGAAGACGATACCGCTCTACATTGGCCTCTCTACAGGCTTCTGCGGCTCCTTCACCTCCTTCTCCTCCTTTATTCGCGACATCTTCCTTGCCATGGTAAACGACCTCCCCCGCCCCGGCGGAGCGACCCCCGAACCGCGGACCGGAGGCCAGTCCTTCATGGCGATGATGGCTATCATCATCGCCACCGTCGCCCTAAGCCTCTCAGCCCTCATCTTCGGCGCCCATCTCGCCATCGCACTTGAAGGGATAACCCCATCGATCCCATACCTCCTCGGCCGGAAAGTAATGGACCGCTGCGCTGTTCTCTTCGGCTGGGGCGCCTGGCTCGGCGCAGTCCTCCTCGCCATCTGGCCGCCCCACGACGCCTGGCGAGGGCGCGTTATCTTCTCCATTGTCTTTGCGCCGCTCGGCTGCCTTGCACGCTTCTACGCCAGTCTGCTTCTCAACGCGCGGGTGCCGGCGTTTCCGATGGGTACCTTTGCGGTCAACATCGCCGGCGTCGCTGTGCTGGGTATGTGTTGGGACCTGGCGCATGCGGGACTGGGCGGCGTTGTCGGGTGTCAGGTGTTGCAGGGCGTCGAGGACGGGTTCTGCGGGTGCTTTACGACTGTTTCGACGTGGGTTGCTGAGTTGACGGCGCTGCGGCGGAGGCATGCATATGTGTATGGCCTGAGTAGTGTCGTGGTGGGGTTTGCGGTCATGGTTATCGTTATGGGTGCTCAGAAGTGGACAGACGGGTACGCGCCGTTGATGTGTACTCATTGAGTTGTCACGCTGAGCCCAGGCTGCTCATAAGCAATCGTTCCAATTATGGAATGTCACATATAGAGAAGAAGCACAATACATACCTCCAGTGTCTGGCAAAGCGTCGGATGCTATTGATCCCAGCCTTCCGTATCCGAATAGCGCAAGTTTTAAAGACGGTCAATCAGCTCGGAGTACACTTGTGACATTCGAATCACGTTCAACAGTCTTATGCCCAAATTTCTGGTCGCCAACTTGTTTACGTGGCATTCGCTGTCAACGATCCCAAGGCAAGGTCGGGTTGAGGTTTACGAAGATAAGCTCTCAGCAAGCAGCCTGGCTCGATGGAATACGCATGACCTCCACCGCCGGCTGCAAAGATCTATGAGACAGAGAAGTCGGAAGGAAGGTATGAGCAGCGTCTGAAGTATATATGACCTAGTGGTGGATGGTTTCACATAGTGGGTCCCGCAAGGGTAGCGAGTTCGAGTGCATTTGTGCTCACAAAAAATTGGTGGTCCTACATAATGTCACAGACAGCTCATCTTTTTTTGTTTTGAAATCCTGTCCTCAAACATTATGATGTTAAAACACTTTGAGAGGCTTGTTAGGGAAAATCTCTGTGGGATCGAGCTATTTACAATGCTCAGGAATCGCGATGGCGATGCTCCAAGGAGCAGGCTGCTCAGCAGATCTGAAGGTCAACCAACGTGATATCCACACGGCTCCAGAGCTTGATGAGGAAATATTTGCTGGAATCCTCCAGACTTTAGGAAACATATTTCTTTTCGATTGCTAAACAATCCGCTCGAGCCCTGCAACTGCGAGTACCTTACCGGAGGTTGAAGCTACGGATTCTACCGAATGGACCCATATGCGCCGCTCCGTCCGGTAGCTGTGGGGACCGGCGCACGCCGCAGGATTCCACACCCATGCTCGAGCTGCGACAACGCACTCCTCGATTCAATACTTGGAATGTGTACGCCAAAGTCAAACGAGCTCAATGCAGCCCTTAGACGAGTTTAGGTTCATCGAGTACATCCTCCGTTCAGACAACTTTTTCCAATGGATTGAGATAGATGACAAGGCAAAGAGGCAGCCGATATCTTGGCATCATGAAAGGTTCGACTGGCAACAAATTTTCAATGTTTCTTGGAAACCTGGAAACGGCTTCTTGAAGCAATCGATGGAAAAACACCAGGAAAGGCCATGTGTTTAAATGGTTGGCTCTCATCTTTCCACTTTGCCTGCGCCATTTTACCCTCCAGGCGCCAAGCCAAATGGAAAGCATAAGAAGGCGCAGTCTCGCCCTCGTCTGCCAAGAGCACAACCACTGCCAAGATGTGGGAGAGCAACAACCACAGCAGCAAGCGAGAAGACGGCAAAGTCGTTGACAGCTACACCATTTGGCTCGGGGGATCGTCAATCGGCCGCGTCGTTGCTTCCAGCACAGCCTCCCATCCAAGTTCTACGATGCTCTTTGCCGCGCCCAATCATCATGAGTTCTTTGCACGTCAAGACCCGGACTGGTTTTGAGCCTAAGCGATATCCATGACCGAATACCATGGACCATTCTGCGTTGAGAATGGCTTCGAATAAGCTATCGGAGCTTTACCTTGGCTTGGGCAGTAGATAATACTCGAGGAGCGAGGGGCATGGCAAGCCGCGTGGCGCTATGAAAGTCGCTTCTTCCATTATTTGACACCTTGAAGACGTCAGATGGCGTAGCGGAATATTCTGAAGATGATGCACATATGTATATGAGGCAAGGTCACATGAGGCCTTCAGATGCACTGAAACATTGGTCTGTTGTACTCCGATTTGCGATATAAGTCAACGCACCCACATTTGGCCCCCCCCTGCATTTGGCCACCCCAATCAACTTAGTCTCAAAACATCACCACCAACTACACTCAATTAATTAACTACCTTCTGCTGCCACTACAATACAGTCACCACTTTCACTAGGTGAGTTGACCCCTGATAGTCGACTGGGACTAACGAGACGGTCGCCAGAGTCCTCCTGAGCTCTCTGTATGTCGGCGATGGTCGCGAACCTGGTATTTGGATCTGTCTGTACAGTCTTCTTCCTCCTGGGTGCCATGCGGTCAATTCGGGCCTGGAGCAGGCGAACCTTGTGCTCAGAGAAAGCCAATTGGTAGGCCTGCTGACTGAAGCCCTTTTTAATCTTTCTGAACAGCAGTCGTCGAGTGTTGTGGTCTGGACTGAGCTCTGTGAATAGCTTCAAGTGGCCACAGAGCTGACCAGCTTTCGTAGGAGTCGACCACTCAACAACAGACGTCGCTGATGCCCAGTCAACGACTTGTCTGGCATTGATAGTCACTGCCCCAGCCTCTGCAGTCTTGTTTGGCGGTGTGGATGGGCTGGCGATTATCAGTGGGCTGGTGAGTGGCTTATCCATGTTGATAGGCCATAGTCCAGTTACCCTCCAGCCACTTCGTATATTATGTAACGTCAAACCAGCCAAACGAGCTTTCGCATAGCAGGCCAAGAAGTGCCGCTTTCCAACGATAGTAGAATTGTCTATTATATCGTGGTTTCCGAGCTCCTTTCTGTAGGCAGTCTTCACTGGTCCAAAGACTGCTAGATCCAGGGGCTGGAGGACATGGGATGTATGTGGTGGCAAGAAGAGCAAATAGACGTTATTTATAAAGCACTCCTACATAAATTCAGTCGTCGTATGACTCCCATGCCCATCCAGGACCAACAGTCGAGGCTCCTTTCGCTTGTCGAGTCCCCTAAGGGGGGGGGGGCTCAGTCTGGGGCAGGAAGACCTTTCTCAACCATCGAACAGCAGTGTCGTCTGTAGTCCAGCCATTATCTGTTGCTGTGAACTTCCAACCATCGAATGGGACAAGTTGAAGGGGGAACCACTGCTGCTGGACCGACTTTCCCTTGAATATCACCAGTGGTTTGATGGCTTTGCCCTCAGCTGAGATACACTCGATAATCGACACCCAGGCACGCGATCCAGGCTCTTTTTTCCGCACTGCTTTGGTCTCTGCCATGCCCAAGACCAGCCCATTAGATCCCTTGCCTTCCAGAATACCAGTCTCGTCCATATTATACCTATTGGCTTGTTTGATCTTCCTGATCTCTGGTATGTCGAGTAATCAGAACCAGGGCCTAATTACCTCAGTAGTTGCTCCATTAACACGTCTAGAGTCGATGGTTCGACTTCTCTGGACCTTAACTGAGGGGTTTTTTCTCAAGAGAACTTCGATCCATCTCTTGCCAATGGCATTATTATCAGCGCTGCCGCTAAAGCCAATCTATCAATCAAACTTCCAAACAAACCAAACAACTGAGGCTATTCCCAACTATCAATCAAACAACTTCTGACCACCGGGATTTGATATATTGGGTTGATTTGGCTTGGCATATTACATAAGCCTGCATATAGCCAATGGGATGCTATTATCGCGAATATTCACGCCCTAACGCGGTCAGCTTTCTTTTTCTGTATGCAGCACCATTAATCCTGACAGCTTTGCGACATTCTTTTCTGCCCTCCTGGCTGTATTTTCTCTTCAGACAATACTCCTGAGTGATCTATGATTCCCAGCGACGTTGGATATGGGTATAAAAACACTGGAACCGCTCTCTTACTACGTCTCTTCTTCTTCCTCATGCCTCACAAGCAGCCAACATCAGCAACATCGCCAACATCCTGGGCTTGCCTACCTTTGCCATGATGACTTCAACCGTACGTCAGCCACCCCCCCCCTCCTCTCTCCCTGGCCCTATATAAGGGCTTCCCCATCCATCCAGGAAGCTCTTCTTCCCCAGGCATGATGATGTCTTGGTTTCACAGCTAACGATGCTATTTACAGATGTTGTCCCCCACTCCTTTGCTTACCAACGTATTTCAACTGCTTCGATCCCCCTCCAGAATTGCAACTCAAGTGGCCAACAGTGTCTCTGTCGTTCCTCCCTCGAATCCATCCATCTTCGACCTCCCTACGATCATATGGCAGAACAAGAGATATGTGGTTGAGGAGCAGCTGGCCCGTAAAGGAGGCAGGGGGAGGAAGAGTTGGATTAAGGACCATGGGGTCTTCCTTGTTGAGCTTTGTGATGAGGGGCCAGCTGGTGCTTACTGGTGCTGTCAATAATGTGACAGTAAAGGAAAGCCAGAGTTCTTTGCTGCTACTGCTTCTAGCTCTGCTGCAGACCATCTTCGCAGGTACGTATATGTCCTTTGGTATGATTATTGTTAACTGATCTATATACAGATGCCATCAAGTCTCACAATGGGGTTCTGCTACCGATGAGACAAGCTCAGGAGAGACTCTCCACAGCTCAGAGCATGGTACTCGTTCATCGAAGAGGAGGAAGATCTCCTATATATCTAAGTCGAAAGTGGCTACTGTTATAGATCTCTGTCTCTCCACCATCATCACCAACGATCTACCATTCGACTACTTTCAAGATAGCTTCGTTCAACAAGTTCTAGGACTCCACAACTCCTCTCTGGCTGATCAGGTACCATGGGGTAGGACTTCAATGATGGACCATCTTCCCATTCTCTTTGCTAGGGGGCAATCCTACGTCAAGGATGAACTCCACAGTGCCCTCACTAAGATCCATATTGGGTTTGATCTGTGGACGTCACCCAATAACTACGCCTACCTTGCAGTCACTGCCCACTTCATCAATAGTATGGGCCAACACCAGTCTCGTCTCATCGCCTTCAACCACATGAGCGGCGATCACAGCGGTCCCAACATATCCAACAATATCTACGAGACTCTTCAGCAATGGGATATCACTGGCAAAGTGGGTGTGGTGGTCTGTGATAACGCCAGCAACAACGATACCTGCATCTCTGCCCTCTTCAGGAGACTCGACCCTATGATGGATCAGGGGGACTATCAGGCAAGGAGAATGCGATGATACGGCCATATACTTAACCTGGTGGGACGAGCCCTTCTTTTTGGTGCTGATCGTAAAGTCTTTGAGGCTGAGTCACTCTTCTACTTGTCTGTCTATTATGAGGAGGAAGATCTGAAACTCTGGAGGAAGACCGGGCCTGTTGGTAAGCTTCGTAACATCGTGAAGTTCATCAGGGCTTCTCCTTAGCGATCTGAGCGATTTAGGAAAGCAGCCCAAGAGGTTGATGCTGGGTCAGACTTTAAGCTATTCAGCCAGGGGTCTCAGGAGTCATATCTTCTTCTTAACAACGAGACGAGATGGAATTCCACCTACCTCATGATCCATCGAGCTCTTCAGAAGAGGGCAGAGATCGAGACCTACATCAACTGGGTCCAGGAGCAGGACAATGCCAGTAAAAGGATACCTGACGATGACCTCCTTTCTTTAGAAGATTGGAAAGTCTTGGTTGAAGTCAAGTCTATCCTTGAGCCTTTCTACCTGCAGACGAAGAGGACGGAGGGGTAGGGTAAGGGGGATGGGCATGGTCGTCTCTGGGAAGTCATGACTAGCATGGAGTACCTCCTTGAGCATCTAGAGGAGTGGAAGAGTCTATATAACTCCGTACTCCATCCCATTGATTCTCAACAGGAAGACGAGTCGTCTACGATCAATGTGACTGCTGATGAAGAGTCTCTACCATCACAGACTCGATCAGGGCGCCCCATTCGATCTTCAGTCAACAGCCAGACCCAGCCTCTTCAGGAATCCATACTTCCACAACATGTAAGAGAGGACTGGAGTCAACGTACTGCTCGATTTATGGGTTTCTCTTCCTCGTACCAGGAGCATCCTCGTACTTCTGTTGAGTTGGCCTGGAAGAAGCTCTCCTCATACTATACGAAGTTAGAGGAGTCTCCCTTGTTTGCTGCTTCTGTTATTCTCCACCCTTCACTTGGTATCTCATACCTTGAGGCAGTCTGGGATGAAGGGGTTCAGCTTGAGTGGGTTCGTGATGCAAAGAAGGGGCTCAGGGACTACTTTGATGTCGCAAAAACGACGCCGTTTATTACGGGCAGCAATTAACGCCATATATACCCTACGACATTTGACCATTGGTATAGGTCCGAGGAAGAGTCTGATGACTCTACAGCTGTTCTTGAGATCACACTTCCATCCCATGAAGACAGCCACTTCAGGCAATGGGTACAGACTAGACGTAGTCGTGAGCCTTCTCGACAGCAGGATGAGCTGGAGACGTACCTCAGGCAGCCTCCTAAATCTACGGAAGATCCTGTTAAGTGGTGGAGAGACCACCAGTCAACCTATCCTCTACTCAGTAGACTAGCTCTTGATGTGTTGGCAATACCAGCCATGGCTGCTGACTGTGAGAGGGCATTCAGTACTGCGAAGCTGACCCTGACGTCGCAAAGGCACTCGATGAAGCCTCAGACTATGGGTCAGCTGCAGTTGACGAAGAATTGGCTGAAAAGGAAAGCCATGCCCATGGGGGTTGAGATTGGCTCACATATTGCATCATGAATAGTTGTGAATAGCTTCACTTATTTCCTAATTGGGTAATTAGTATGGGCGTCGCCGGGTCACGTGTTCTATGGACTTGTTTGTTATATTGGCCAATAGGGCAAATTAACCAATCTTGGGGAAAAGGCAGTCAAATCAGTCAAATCTTGGCGTTGATTTGTTTGTTTGCTTTGGCGGCAGCGCTGATTATTATCCCACTTAGGCACGCAGAACTCGCTCAGCAAATTCCCTGACTTGTTCATGTGTTGGTGCGACACCCAGAGTGTGCTGAATGCGAACCCATTCAGCCAGCTTATCTTCCTACCAAGGAGGAAGCCTCTGAAGCTCAGCGAAAGCCGTTGCTCTGTTCTGGTGGCCATTCATACGATTACGAAGTGTTGATCTTGGTATTCCGAACTCAATCGAGGCCGTCTTGATAGAGAGACCGTTTCCGATAGCCTCAAGAGCCTGAGCAACTTCACTTTCGGTATACGCGACCATGACGTATCGATAAATAAGTGTGCAAAAAGGAATTGCATTTGGGCGATTTTTGCAATTGTTGTGGTGGTTTGTACATTGGGGTATGGATAATAATGCGGTGGCTGGGAGGGATTTTTGGGGTGGCCAAATGCAGGGGGGCCAAATGTGGGTGCGTTGACTTAAGGTGTTGACATTTGGAAAGAGCAACAATATCGACATATGGTCGGGCTAGCCGCGTAACCCTGAGGTCGAATTTGACACAAGGCATAAGAAAATGTGGATGGCGTTCTGCCGTGACCGTTACCCCATATCCTATCAGGTCTGGCCGCCAAGGTTTCTCCAATGGCACTCTCAAGTCTCCCTCTATGGATCGAAGAAACCTAGTCCTCAGCCCTTCCTAAGAAAAGCCGATCTCGAGGTCAATGGACAAGATTTACCACCCATGATGGACAACCTTGTGGGCAGCAAGGTTCAAGCAGGCCCACGTGGACGCTGTGTACGCTTGCTATTCGACATTTTCGTTCACCTGCGGAAGTGCTTTATCTCGTCGTATATCTTACATATAACAACCGGATGGACTATCTATCGAGGTGTCTGAAACAATCAAAATACGAATCACCGGGCTGTTATTTTATATCTGAGTAAGGTACTTTTGTTTCAACCCACGTCCTCCACCCCGCAGTCCACTGTCTGTTCTCAAACTGGTCTATTCACTTGTATCCCCCAGACCTCAAGAAGAGCATCTGAATTAAACCAAATCAAAGCGTCCACACGCCAGAAGCCCGCCATGGCCATCTTCACGGGCTTCGTCGAGCGGCTCAAGTCTTTCAGCCCGCAAGAAAGAAGGGCCATATTCTTCGACATTTGCGGCAACATGCTGTACAAATTCGGCCTCGAGGCGTTCAACGGATCCATCACAGCACTCGCTACTAACCGTTACGACTACGAAAGCGACACCAGAGGCACGCCATCTCGAACTTTTGAACGTCTCGGTCTTCTTAAAGGACTTATTGGAACAGCAAAGGCTGATAAGGAGTAATAGGCAGGTACCATGGGCTGGCTGGCACCTGCCCTGGGCGAAGTGGGACAACTGGCTTAGTCATCACGACCGGATAAAGGTGGGGCAACCACCCAGGCCGTCACTACCTACTTCGACCGACTCCTGCCTACAATGTAAGATAGAAAAACAAGAAGAACAAGCAATAGGATCACCAACAGACGAGTGATCATTGCTACCACTATTTGTCGTATACGACCCCGTGGACCAACAGGACTGAATCAAGCTACGTGTTGGTATCCCTATCACAGGGATGTTGGTTCGAACCGTAGGGTCCTTGGGGTGACGAAGTATCATTATCTCTGTATTGATTGATTCTGCGCAAGGAATAGAAGGGATATTCCAACCGGAGGTTGGGTGGGTAGTCGAGGTCTAAGTGTACCCCCTCGAGGTGGCCCATGCTCTGCCCCTACTCGCGGTCGAATTGGACTTCCAATCCGACACTACGCAGTGTGTCGGGTCTATCCTCATTGCACCCCTGATCAAACACTACCCAACGAAGAACGTACTTTCAGCAGCCATAATCGTATTGGCCTGATGACGGCGATCTTGCTCATACTTGATGCTGCGACAGGAGGCACTTTTGTTCCAGAGGCTTATCGCAAGAAGCATCCCAAAGACGAGTGGTCTTACTACGGAGACTACAACAATGACGCCATCATACCTATCTACACGGTCACCGGCATCGCGTACGGCATGGTCGAACTAATCCGCTGCGTCATCCCCCGAGACATCGTCGGAGGCAACGTTCAGAAACTTCGCCAGATGGACAGCTTGGTGCACATATTCTACGAAGTCGCCGGTACATCAGGCGCCTTCGTCACCGCGCTGGTCTTGATACCCAACTTGGGCAACAATCGCTCCTTCGTCATCACCCCGATCTGCTTCTCTCTTGCAGCTGTTCTATGGTTCTTCGTCGTCGACGAGAGCCATGACCGCAACGCCCTCGCGCGAGCTGAGGCCCGCAAGAGCAACTACTTTGTCAACATTGGCAAGGGGTTCCTCCTCTTCTTCGAGTCCATCTGGGTCGGCGCGAGGATTCTGTTCACGTCGACGAGATTCCTCTGGCTCGTCCCGGCATACGGCGTGGTCCTCTACGGCCACCGGTACCTCGAAAACGGCATCGCGTCCCAAGTCGCTCGACGGTAACCTGGGTAACTCGGCATGGTCGCAGATCATGGTCGGCGGCTCCAACTTTGGTGAGCTCCTGGGTGCCCTGTTCGTCTTCCTATTCACAAACGTGATCAAGACGCCTATCCCGTGGCTTCGCCTCGATGCCCTCATGCTGCTCATTGTTTGGTACATCCCCTACTGGTACCCGCCTTCGGGACAAGTTGGGCAGGCCTGGATCGTCGCCGCCACCTTCTTGCTGGTTTCCTTCGGGTGGGCTGCGGGAGATGTATCGCTGGCTGCCTTCATCCAGGCTTCCCTCGCCAGGCTCGAAGACAAGGAGAATAGGGTATCCCCTCTGGGTGCTGTAATGGCTTTCTTGTACTCCTACATTGTTACGTACGCGATTGCCGGTACTTTCCTCGGAAGGTACCTCGAAGGCCTTTACAACCGAACAGGATCAGTGCGAGAGGCGCTGGTGAACACTGCCGGAGTGCACTTCACCGTCATCATGGCCACGGTGTTTGCGTCGACGTTTATTCCGAAGGGTTCTCGGTGTTTCAATCCCGAGATGCTGGATGACACGAAGCTGGATGAGGATATTGAAGAGTGCCCGCCTTCGCCATCTGACAAGGATATCACGAGAGAGGTTGGGCTGAAAAAGGAGGCGCCCGAGATCGTCGTGTGAGAACTCGGAGAACATGGAATTATAGTTGTTCGGAGACTTGAAAATTTCCGCGGCTTTTTCATAATATGGTAGGGAGTTGTCACGTCACAGAGACCGAATTAGGTTTTACTTTGGATGGAATCCTAGAGTGCTACGTTCCCCAACTATTCAAATCACTCTAATTTCATCTGCCGTGACTGCATTGTGTTTGCAACCTGACCATCATTCAGGAGTTTGGATTGAGTTTAGGCAACCACTTATCCATGATTGCAGACCATAGCGGCAAGGGAAACTCTCATCTACACTGACCTTGATGTCTCAGTCTCGCCTTCTCTTCAGTGGTCGGGTAAGGCCAGTCGGGCGTTCTACTACCTTAACTACATGTTGCAGATCGCAATGCTATGGACTGCGGTAAACGTACCCGGCGCTTGGGGAGTCGTGTCAACCTCCTGAGTCTCCTGAGAAACGGAATGTGGCTCCACTTGATCTACATTTTGATCATTGCGTTTGTGTGCTTTTACAGCTCAGTTAGTTTTGCTTCAGATTGAGCAATTATGTTCCAAAGACAATTGCAATATCCCAAGTCTCCTCAATGATGGAGTTAAGTCGGCCACTCCGTCGTATTATTATCGTCCTGTATCATAGCGTCTCTCGGCTGGAGGCCTCTACGAAAAGAGAAGTTTTTGCGATGGACCGACAACTGACTGTGGTTCTCTCCTTGGCCAAGAATTTAAGCCAAGGCCAATCGCCTCCTCAGTCCCCATGAAGTCTTACGCAATCGGCAAACCACCGGCAAACCACAACGTGAAAGGTCAAAAGCGCATTAATATGGAGCCCCTTGAGCTTTTGATGGTTATCAGGAGCTCGGGTATTGCGACCGAATCCGGCGCAGGGTAAAGCTAAGACATAAGTTTACCTGCTTGCGAAGCTCGGGATTGAGCCTCGTGGTTGCGGCTGATTCGGTTCCGTGCCCGAACTGTGCGAGAGAGATGCAAGGGGTCTAATGATTTGGGGGGTAAGCTAAGCATACCGAAAAGGGAGAGAAACGCTTTGGGCACTGGCCTGACGTGCCTGTCAATAAGCCCACTTGAAGAACAATGTTTCGGTTCAGCTCTCGTGACTGGGTTCTTGCGAATAACGGGCAGGATATCACGAGAGGAAAAAGAAAAGATGGCACACGTCAAAGCGCGCGCAGGCACACAAAAGGGACGAATGTGGCTGTGTCTTCACCGCGTGTTTCGATTGTTTTTCCCGCGTTCGGATGAGAGGTGAGCAGGATGGAGCGGCAGCGGCAATGGCGATATTTCAAGAATTTGACTGGGGACCATACTGAATATCATTTGTTGACTGTTCCTCCGGGTCTGGTCCCATCCCGTGGGGTGCCTGAATGATCTGCGTTCATGGTCCCGTTTCGCAGGCATCTCCCTGCTTCAAATCTCAACCATCTCAACCCCATGTCAGCCCAGGCTCTTCGTCGTTACGCCTTTTCTGACAGATTGAACAAATAGTCACATAGTCATCCTGTTGTTGAGGCATGCTTGCTGGCCCGTCCGGGCCCTTCCGGGAAATTGCTTGATGCCGACTTCGACGGGGACTCTACCCACTCCAACTTGCCAACATGGAGTTAGCGTCTGCTGAAAACTTGAGAGTGACAAGCCTAGTGGAAGAGCTGGGGTTAAAGGCTACCATAGATCCTTGCCGGGCCATCATCTCTGGGTCTCACGGCCTGGCTAGCTCCCTAGCGGAGGATCATCTCGAATTTGGCCCACAAGCCTGAGCTCTGTAGCTTTGGCATATTGCCACAGACTTATCATATCTTCAGCACCCAACAACCCCCCAAGGAATAGCCCAAAGTGAGAAGTGATATCCCACCCTCATTCACTCGACGGTCTAGGCTGTAATGGAATCTGTAAGTTTCAGTGCTGATTGGAGAAGGCGGGAGATATCCTAGATGATCCCGAAGATCCGCCCTTCTTCGCAAGCTTTTCTCGAAGAGGGAATTGAAATCCGCATCTTGCGTGGCGTTCCGCGTCGCACCCCCGATCCCGATTCCGAGTTGTATCCGGGGCATGGACTGTCGTCAGTCGCCGGAAATCTCTGGGCACGGCCTTTCGATCCCGGGGGAACCGCACCAAGTCCCGTGGAATCCCACTTACCGCCAGTATGAGCATTCGAGAGATAGCTATGAGACCGCTTAGCTAGTTTAAAGATTGATAGCGCGCACAGATTCGAGACCGGCCGATACCAAGCAGTTATCTACCATTGAAATAACAAATCACAGGGGCGGAATTGGGCCCCTAGGGCAGCAAGACACCTCGGATCCGCCGGCCGAGCCACCCGTAGGAATGGCGATCCGTCAATCATCTAAACTTTCTTGACAGCCCCATCAGCAAGTCATATCAAGGGCCTGGCGGTAGTCGGCAGAACGGTGAAGCCAGAGAGGCAGCCTTTGGCGGGAAACAGCGGTTTTGAGCGGATTGAAAAAGCAAAGCTGAGTCCTGGCTTGCAGATGATCCCTTCACTAGTCCAAGGTGCTGAACCGAAAACTCGAACGATTCTGTAAGACAGAACACACTGTGACAGGTTTTTATCCTCTCACACTAAGCCCTAATATGAAACTGTGAGAGGAAATGCTTGCTACCCAAGGCTGTAGATCACTTCGGCTAGACTAGGGTTTGTGCAGTCCGTATTGGTCACGAGGACTGCAATCACTAGGAATCAAGGGCCAAGATCCTCGAAGCACATCCAGACTGCCCCCGCTTCCAGCTTGGGCCAAACTCTAATGGGTTTCTGTAGGGTACGCTGCTAATTACCCCATGCTTCCAGACATCCCCAGTCAACTTACGGATATCCCATGCAGCGACCCACGACGCCCATGCCTTATCAAACGGCACAGAAAACTGGTAATACTTTGTTTTCTATCCGTAATGGCGACATCTGAACGCCAGGGCAGGGGAAAGCTTCGTCGCCACTCGCAACAATGAAGCCCCCGCAGATGTCGGGCTGCATGCCACACCGTCATCGGAATGACGAGAACTGAAATGATCTCCAATGTTTTGCCTTGAGAAGCCCTGGATGCCCAGGGGGTTTCCGCCTGAGCTTGGACCATCTCTCAAGGATCCGACGACGATGCTACACTGCGGCAGGACTATTTCGGTCTAGACACAGAAAGGCATCCTGCAACCTGACCGAGGATTTTCCACCTACATAATGAAAGCTTCACGCTAAAAGTTGCGATGATGCCCCATTCTCTGATGTATGGCTGCCAATGGATACGATTCAGCTACTAGGCCGAATCTCCTTCAGACCGCTACCTACATTCTACTAGTACTTGTTATTTCTCTTTCACCGAGTCGTTTACAGACACACGCCCCCAACCCAAGCTAAAATTACGCACCTCTCTGCATCTCCAAATCGCAACTTCTTCAACAAACGACATACGCTTTGATTCCATTTCCATCATACCGGTGCGGTCTACCATAGTTCTCCAGATTATGGGATTCGCCAACACTTTGCGCTTGTAACATCCGCTTAGTTCGTTATTAGACGAAGCGTCGGAGCCGAAACTCGGAAACAATCATCTCAAGAAAATTGCCTCTCTCTATTTGACTGGATAATCAACCTCCGCCATCAACAACCTGGAGATATTGCCCGCGAAGAAAATGGAAATCACCGAACTTGTCAACAACAAGGAGCGCTACCGCCGCTTCTACTGCAGTTGGAAGACCTGCGAGAAGGTAATGTCTTATGCGCGGAAATATCTGGAGAATATCATGCTTACATACGTCTTCCTACAGGGATTCAACCGCAAGTCGGACCTCATCAGACACTTCCGAATTCATACCAATGAGCGGCCGTACCCATGCCCAGCACCGGGCTGCGAGAGGAGTTTCATCCAAAGAAGTGCGTTGACTGTGCACCTCCGTACGCATACTGGAGAGAAGCCATACGAGTGTCAGTATCCTGGATGCTACAAGCGATTCGCCGATGTGAGTAAACACTTGTTATAATTAATAACGAAACTCTGACCAGAACCTTCCCAAGTCTTCCAGTTTTTCGCGCCATCGACGGGTGCATTTGGGCAAACGTCCGTATACATGTGTCATTGAGACCTGTCGGAAAAGGTCAGTCACAAATTTCGACTTCCCTGGCGACTTGAGTCCGAGCTAATAGAAAATCAGTTTCTGTCGCAAGGTAGCTTTGATCCAACATCACAAGATCTACCATGACTCGACTTCTGGAGAGGAATCCGATACGTCTTCGAATTCGGAGGAACTTACGAACACTTCGAAACACGAAAGCCCCATGATGAGTCCGATTTCGATGCCGGAGCATATTCACAGTAATACGACGAGCCCCACGCAAACGATTGAGAAGCGTCGATCCCCAATTGAATCCATGCATCACACGACGCAACAGTTCAACAGATCGGAAGGGCTGTTTTACGAAAGCCAAGCGAGTGAGCAACTGGCAATCCCGGCCATTCATGCAGAATACGAGTACGAAGAGCCACAGGGCTTCTATCAGGACCCTCTCTACTCAAACTGCAATGAGGATGTCGTATATCACCGGCCGAGTCCTTCTTGGCACTTCTACCCGTCTCCCCAGTACTCAGCTTGCGGGTGCAACTCACATCCAGCAAATGTACCTTGGAGTTCAGCGGGTATGGTTGGCAATGCAGAGGTCGGCAACGGGACTGGATACCTGCTTGCGCAAGATCACGCGCCCTCCATGGTTGGATTCCCTCCAACTACTGTACCACGCCATGCCCAGAATATTCAGGAGGCGGAGTGGCCGAGAAGTCAGATGTGGTACAATGATGGGATGCAAATGTCTCCCGATTTTGGTCCGGCCAGAATGGCAGACTCTTACAGATTCGATTGAAACATACGCATAATAAGCCGCGAGTCGGTCACGACTGATTTCAGTCAGTTGTAATAGCATTGGTTGTGCTGTTTTTCACGCATTTGATTTTACGAGCGACCGAATCCCACCTTAAAATACAAATCTAAGAACATAATCTCCAAAAGAATAGCATAAGAAAATAAAGAATACAATGAGCGATCCGATCTATATCTTCGGGCCTCTGCGTGATACAACCCACTCCGATTAAACTCGACTGATCTTGAAGCCACCTGGAACTCTGTGTTGAAAGAAGCTGTCATGGTTATACTTCTCCGCAATTCTTCGGATATTACGGCAGACTGCAAGAGGCACTCCGCCAAAACACTTTTTCTTAGTAGACTTATAGTAGCCGTACAATTAAGTACGCTAAAGTGCTATACGTGCCCTATATATAAATGAATATAATTACTAATCCCGTATAATATAGTAAGTAATTACTTGCGGCCGGAGGCGCCGTAGATTACGTAAGGGTAGTTGATTAAGCGGTAAAGGTGGGGCTATAGGGGTCTATACCTTCTTACTAATTTCTATTGCCGATTAATTTCCTCTTTTTCCCACCTAACTGTTACGGCCAGCTAGTCGTAGTGAGGTATGTTTGCAGAAGTTGAGGCTGCGGAACTGGTAACAGTAATCGTAGTCGTGGATAGCTTCAGGGAAGCTATGTCTGTAAGTCGTAAGGTAAGGGAAGGCTGCGGTGATCAATCGTAGTCTTATCAAAGAGGTTCTCAGGAAAGATAGCTGAAAGCGATCATAAGATCTGATACGAAGTTAATTGCTGAAGAGCTATGGAAAGTCTGTCCTAGAGTCCGGCTCGAGTTCTTCCGTTCCGTGAGAGGGTGCCTAGTGTCCCTTGTCTCCTGCATATGTGGTGTGTTGTAACCGCCGCGAGCCTGCGGGGCAGGCCCTGTTCTTGGTCATGCATGTTGGGTCGTAACACTAACCTAATTGTTACGGCCTAAATAGTTGGTCCTGTTATGGCGTAGCTATACAATGTAGAATAAGAGAAAATGATACGGAGTCATTATTATCGAAGCTTTTACTTTATGCTATAGTTAACTAGTTGCCTTGACCTACTCGTAATACTAATATTCCTTAAGAGAGGTAAGTAACCCGCCTACGCCCCTCTATTTACTTATATACGATTATATTTCGTTATACTAACGTACTTAATAAGCGAGCTGCCCACCTAACCATAATCACATTACAAATCTAACTAAGGAGCAACATGTTACGCCCGCCGCAACTTGTCACTGTGGGCGCGTAGCTATATATGCAGAACAAGGGACAATGATGACCGGAGTCATCATTATCGAAGCTTTTGCTTTGTGCCACAGTTGGTTGCCTTATCCAGCTCGTAACACAACACTAAAAACATAAAATCAATTGAAGCTACTCTGAATCCTATTCCTCAGATATTTCTTTATTAAACTAATATATTTAGGCATCCGGAGCTATAGTTATCGTTTAATAAAGTTTAAAACCCAGCGCTTCCTAACTAGGGGCTGTTACGACCCAACATGCATGACCAAGAACAAGGCCTGCCCCGCAGGCTCGCGGCGACTACAGCGCACCATGTATGCAGAGGACAAGGAACACTAGGCACCCTCTCACGGAACGGAAGAACTATGGACAAGTCACGTGATGACAAGAGATAAGAGATAAGGATAAGGATATGTTGGATATGAGTTATCCAAGCGATCCTTGGATAACTAGGATAAGAGCTATCCAACATATCTAAACAAGGACACTGTCTAGCATAAAGGACATGTTTAGAATCAGGACTTGTATATAGGATGGACTTGAGCCGGACTCTAGGACAGACTTCCCATAGCTTCTTCAGCAATTAACTTCGTATCAGGATTAACATCCGCTTTCAGCTACTACCTTGACAAGACTACGACTGATCACCGAAGCCTTACCCACCCTTACGATTGACAGACATAGTTTCCTTGAAACTATTCCACGACTACGATTACTGTTACCAGTTCCGCAGCCTCAACTTCTGCAAACTACCCCTACGACTAGCTGGCCGTAACAGGGGCACGTTGCGGTTAGTAAGTAATTAATTAGCCATTTCTTCTATACCACTAATCCGGGGAGGAAACGATCGGGAATCTAGGTCGAGGATATACTTAACTAGCTTCTCCTCTTTAAGCTTTATTAATTTATATAAGTTAGGTAACGTGGTTCATCAGTTAGCCGGCCGGACTAGTCAGCCGGACGTTTTTTCCCACGTCCACAATAACATCTAGTATTTCTCAACCACAACGCATTAAATTAATTATTGGTTGTCGCTATCAGAATCTCCTAATGATTCGATATCTTTAGAACAGGTTCGTGCATTATGCCTAGTCTTACTATACGCACCATAGCGTCTCCGAGTCGGCTGGGCTCTCTTTGATAGACCCCCCTCCTCATCCTCTCGAGGTACTGGACGTTTACCTTTTTGTTTCTCTTCTAGCAAACCCTAAGATTCCTCTATACTAAGTGCCCCTCCAAGCTGCATACGCGACCTTTTAGCCCTCCGACGCTTAGCAAGTACTATATTCGCATCCTCAAGGGTACGAAGCCGATCAGTTAAAATAGTAATTAAGTGCGCCATTACCTAGGTTATGCACCTTTTAACAATTACTCAACTATAGTAATAATTGGTGTCAGTGAGCTTTCTTTATGAACAGAGATCCGGCTTTTAATAAAATTAGACTACGAGACGGCTTATTATGGGTTAGAGGGCGTTTGCGACTGCTAAGGTAGTGGTGTTGAAGGGTTGGCCATAGGAGGTATAGGCGTCCGTAAATACACATCAAGCTTTTTAATGATATAGTCTAGGTCCCATAGTGAAATTCCAGCGCCTTAGAAAGCAGACCTGATGTTTTCCTCATTAAAACCTTATTATGGGCCTGGTGGAAGGCAATAAAGAACTTAGACTTGGTAATGTGAATTATGGAGGCTCTGATAAATAGGTTGATTTCATTACCGTATACGCATTTCAAAGGCGAATAAAGCGCAATATCCAATAGCTGTAATAGATGCGACGAATATATAGGCATATTGACCGTTATAATATTGTTCTGCTTGTAGTAATCGTCGAATTCGGCCGATAAATGGCTCTTATGGCCGTCGATAATGAGTATCCGGTAGACGCCCTTAGTTCGGTTCTTAGTATGTTTGTCGAAGTGTTTAATCCAGTCAAGACCCGTCTGATTACCCGTCCATCCATTAGCAGTGGGCTTGATGACCCAGTTGCCCAGAAAACCTGATTCCGTGGTCCAACTGGCAAGGTGATATACGCCCTTGACGATCACGAACGGAGGGATATACCACCCGCCCGAATTAATATATTTAATGATTATAGCCCATTCACGGTTACCCGGCTGGATAGACTTTGCTTTATTACGTCGATCGGTGCGTATTATTATTATTAACGCGGTGATTATACCTATCATGAAGCTAGCCTTATCGAAATTGTATAGGTCCTCCTCTTGGATTCTATACTTGGTTATTATGTTGCGTAATAACATAGATGTTACGACCCAACATGCATGACCAAGAACAGGGCCTGCCCCGCAGGCTCGCGGCGGTTACAACACACCACATATGCAGGAGACAAGGGACACTAGGCACCCTCTCACGGAACGGAAGAACTCGAGCCGGACTCTAGGACAGACTTTCCATAGCTCTTCAGCAATTAACTTCGTATCAGATCTTATGATCACTTTCAGCTATCTTTCCTGAGAACCTCTTTGATAAGACTACGATTGATCACCGAAGCCTTACCTACCCTTACGATTGACAGACATAGCTTCCCTGAAGCTATCCCCGACTACGATTACTGTTACCAGTTCCGCAGCCTCAACTTCTGCAAACATACCTCACTACGACTAGCTGGCCGTAACAATAGACCATTTTGAAATAACCTCTGGGTCTTCTTGAAGAGCCCTTTGATAATCGTCCATACGATTAAACTTTGTTTTTAGAGCAGGCTGTGAGTCTATAAACCGCCTGGCCTATCGCTTGTTAATAAGCTCGGTATTATGCGCTCGTAGTAGGAGATTGGCTATATCTTCCATACCGCCAAGGCGTAAAGGAAATCCTCTGGAATCCTGTTTAATAACGTATTGGAGAAGTGTTTTCTCTTCGATCGGATCGAGTTTATTTCGTTAGGGTTGAGTTTGTTTGCGTCGCGGTCGGTTGTTCATTCTATCGGCTAAGGTACTCTTCGGAATACCGTAGGTCTTTGCGGTATATAAAATACTTAAGTTACTACCTGTAGCGCGTGTCTATCGGATCTCTTTAATCGTAAGAATGACTTTGTCTTCTTGGGTATAGATTGGCATTATGGTTATTGAGATTTTACGCGTTAAAGGTTTAAGTGGTTTGGACATAAGTGTGTTTAGAAAAAAACGTCCGGCTGACTGGTCCGGCCGGCTGACTGATGAACCACGTTATAGTATCTTATTATATAAATATACTTTTTAATCGGTTACCTAGGGTTCTAAGGGGGATTAAATAGATTCTTACTACAGTTCGAATGCTAAGTTTAGGGGTTTTTCTAAATAGCCTCGACTACTAAGTTTAATTAGGCCTCTTTACTTTGTGACGACATGATTATTTGTGGCGTGATACGCATTAGAAGTGAGGAGGAAGGATGAACGCGGTTAGGTGGGCAGCTCGCTTGTCTGGGCAGTGTTACGAGCTGGACAAGGCAACCAACTGTGGCACAAAGCAAAAGCTTCGATAATGATGACTCCGGCATCATTGTCCCTTGTTCTGCATTATATAGCTACGCGCCCACAATGACAAGTTGCGGCGGGCGTAACAGGCAGCTCGCTTATCAAGTACGTTATACAAACCTATCAAGTAGTTTAGAATAGTAATGAGGAAGAGGTTAATATATTGTTTTAATTGATTTTGTACGTTATGGCTAAATTAAGTTATATAAAAGGTGGAAAGGTCTAAGAGAGTGCGTTATTTGCTATAATGCGTCGCTCACTATACAAGTACGTTAATTTTAAGGGAATTGATAGAGCGGCGTCCGCGTTCACGATTTTAATTGGTTGAAAATTTTATTGTTAGTGCATGCAGATTCTGCCACTTTTCTTTAAAATACTCATCACTTTTCATAGTTTCTTCAACGCGAATCTGCCTTAAAAGAGCTTTATCTTTAAGGCATAATAGACGCGTATAATGTCTTCTACACCTAAGTCCAGACGTAATCCATGTCGCCGAGCTCAAGATAACAGCTCTAATAATCAAATCCGTCCTATAAAACGCCGACGCTCCGACAATAACAAAATACCATTATCTCCTACTTTAGATAGTAGCTATCCTAGTATTAGCTAGTTCTATAGAGTTAACGATTCTTATACTTAAAGCCACTTCATTAGCGAGCTTCTAGTTAGGGTAATATAAGAAACACGGCCTTTTTATACTATTAGCCATATTACCTAGGGATCGAGCCTAGACTCTACCTTAAACGGAATTTTCTTAATAGAACGCGTTCTTTTTAACTTATTACTCTCCCCCGACTCTCGCTAGTACGCAGCCCCTCCCTTTCTAAAAAAGAGTCTCGACGGCCTATACTCTACCTTACGTACCGTTTTCTAAAAGGGATATAGACTACCTAGTGTACTACCCTCCCCCGAATGTCGCTAGAGCCAAGTCCCTCTCCTTCTTACGATAAATCTTAATAACCTACCTAACTTACTATAGAACAGTTTAATAATGTTCTTAAGCTTGTTGTATAAGTAGTTAGGACTAACTAAAGGTTAATAACTACCTTTATCTAATAATACGAGCAAAGCCGTCTATAGCAAGAAACGTGGGGTTCTTAGATAAACCTACTACCCTATTCACCTCTATGACAAAACCCCCCTTTAAGTCCATCATCTTTCTAGATTATAGCTTCCTATCGTACCTAGAGCGACAAATCTTCCTCTCCTCCTTTAAACAAAACTCCAAACCCACCGATTCCTAGCGACCTAGAGCCAATAGCGAATACTCTCTTTAATCGAGTTAATACTTTTGCTAAAGCTAATGGATTTAGGATTGTGAGACGTAACAAATATATATCTTGAGGAGGTCGGCTTATAAGGTATTCCTTCTAATGCGATCGGTTTGGGAGCCCCGGACCTCCTAAGGGTGCAGGCATTTGTCAACGTAAGTCTCGAAAGTGTGGCTATAAATGGCAGGTTATTGTAGAGGCCTAAGAGGAGGGCAAGTGGCTATTGTGTTATTATTCAGACCCTGAGCATAGTCTACATAACCATAGCCCCAGCCTCGGAGCATCTATATACCCTTCTCATCGCAGGCTTACCTAGCTAGTTAAGGATATTATTAAAATTATAAACCGACGGGTTATGATTCGGGCACGTAACGTACGTATTATCGTCTAAGAGCAGTTTCCAGAGTCCTTATTTACTTAACGAGATATTTATAACGCTAGAGCCAGAATAAACCGAAAGAAACTAGATAGATATTCACTAACTGCGGCATTAATTAAGCTATTTAATAAACGAGAGATCCTGTAACTTACCTTTTCTACTTGTTAATAAAAACTGCTAATATTGGATCTCTAAGTAGTCGGTAGAAAAGATAGATCTAGAAGGCAGTTAGGTACTTACAAACGGCCCTTTCACTTACATACCACTTCTAGGAGATTGTGGGCTCCTTCCACCTCCATACGCAGCAATAATAGACCATTATTGACACTTCGTTCCAACCGTACGGTTGCCCTGCTGACGTGTATACCAACACCTTCCAATGCCAGTGGAATGCCACAATGACGCTGGTGAGATTCGTCCTCGCGTCTGGCCCAGTTGATTCAGCATCTCTCGCAAGAGAGAGCATTGAGAATTCTGTTGTGGTGCTTGAAGACTTTGCTAAGGGCATGGTGGTGGCGGTGAAGGCCTTGGACGTTGTGCGAAAAGTCACGATTAAGTTGGACGATGTCTTGCAAGCGAAGGGGATGAACAGCAGTTTAACGGAGAACGAAATCGGACGTAGCCTGGAGGCTTTAGCTGAACTTGATTCACTGAGATCCGCGGTACATGTCGATTTCACGCCGTTAAGCATGGAAAATGGGGTGGATTTGGCAGACCCTGCTGATCTGTCTGTCCAAGATATCCTCAGCATGGCTTCGAATGTCGACCAGTATGCTGAGCCACACATGATTTGGCCTGATATATACATGTAGGGATCATGTAAGTCAGTGTACTGCTTGGAGGTACCTCCATGAGAGTTGAGGCATGGTGTAAATCTTGCATCACCACATTGGGGCATATTTGCACCCGCTATCGTCAACATCAAGGCCAACACAATTGTAATTACCAAGTTATCAAGCAAATGGTTCTTCAACGCCTCAATCTTCCCTACGCTTCTCAAAAGCGTCCCCGATCCTCATAATCTTAAGCCTCTCCCAATCCAGAAACTGCGCACTGTCCTTCCGCAACCTCTCCTCGACCTCCCCAGAGTTCGTCACATCAAAGAACGCCTGCGCCACCTCCTCGTCCTTGAACTCAATCTCCACCACAGCGTCGGGCTCTTCCCCGGTTCTTTTCCCGATGAGGACGGTCGGTTCATCGTTTGGCGATCGCTCAATATACCGCCTCGAGTGCAAGGAGGGGAAGCGGGAGCCGGTGAGCTCTCGCGTGAGGGGTATGTGTATGTATTCGTAGTGGTCTCTGAATTCGGCGTGTGTGATGTCCTTTTTGCGGTAGAGGAAGAGAACTAAGCGATAGTCCATGTTTGGTTGGTGGATGAAGGACAGTCGGGCCAGGTGGGACTTTTTTAGGGTGTATTTTGGATCATAACGTATGCGACGTTGAGCTCTAAGGAAGACTTTGTCGATTTCTGTCAAACACTAAGTAGGCGGGGTGAGAGTTGTCTTTAGGGCAGCGTTGAAAGTTTAAAACAACGTCGATGTCACACAGTACACTCGAGAGTCCAGCGTGTTCTCGGTCCGAACACTGTCAGGTCCGAGAACCCACCACAAGTTGTCGATACGCAGCTAGAGAGAATTTTCGGGAACCAGAACCACAACGCTCTAAATAATTACTTAGACTCCCATTACTGAGATTTGCCTTCAACAAGTTCCTCTTGCTTGACGCCTCCTCAAGTTGGAAGACACATGCACGGTGGTCACTGCTCTCCCACGAGTCGCTCCAGCAATAAGCTTTCCAGACATTCCGTCATCCATGATCCGAGTCAGTGGTTGATGCAGATCCTCGGCATATGATCTCGCCATCAAACATCTTTGCACTTCTTCATAATGGCATGCTGTAAATACGGTTGTAATCGAATTATTATGATATGTGAGGCCGTCAACTAAATGTGACGACATTCGGTTTGTACAATCGGCCACTTGGGGGGACCTGTTCCCAAAACTCCGGATCTGGTAATGTACAACACCCATAGTAACCCCTCGATCCCGATCTATACCAACGCCATTACTTAAAGGATATGCCACAAACATTTAGGTGCGGTTGTTAACAGGGGGAACTTCAACAGAAGCGGGCTCGCCCTTCTGGAGATCCTCGGCAACCTTATTAGCAGCACCCTTGTTGCCGACGCTGTTGAGCCACTTGTCGAGCTTGTACTGGTCAACGGCGCGGAAGCCGTTCACAGCAGGGGGCAGGACCTTGGTGCACTCGGTGAGCTGGTTGATGTTGTTGACGCCCAGGAGGGAGAGGCGGATGTATTCACGAGCGTAGTCCTGTTGAGCAACACATCTTAGGACCATGGTCTCAGCGCGCGACTCATCGGGCGAAGTAGCTTACCTCGTTCCAGTGGTTCTGTCCGCCAGGGCCAGCAAACTCCTTGAACTCCTTGGCCGTCTCGGGGTGCTGGGAGATGGCAATGTCACTGGGGAACTTGAAGACGCGAGGCGGCGAGTTGGAGCTGAGCGTCTCCTTGTAGTAGAGCACGTCCCAGACGCCCGGCGTGCTGTCCTGGGGGTCGCCGGCGCGGGTGGTGTTGACAAAGTTCTGCTGGCTGGTGGTGTGCGCGCCAAGCAGGGCGACGAGGCCGTGCGGGCCGATGGTCTTGTCGCGGAAGAGCTGGATGAGCTGGTCGGCCGGCTGGAAGGGGCTTGGGAGTAGACCGCCGGGGGAGCCGTTGGCGCTGTCCTTGCGGCCGACATAGGATTTAATGCGCGGGCCGAGGGGGCAGACTACTGTTGCGACATTGGCGCCCATCTATTGGTGTAAGCGGTCAGCAAAGGTCGAAAGTGAATATGGTTTTGATCAGGATAGTGAAACGTACCTGGATGAAGTCACCCATGCCAATGTCCCAGCCCATAGACTTGTACTTGCCATACAACTCCTGGAACTTGACAGCAATCTCCTGCAGACCGCGGTTCTCGAAACGGTCAATCTCGCCGGGGGCAAGCAGAATGCTGCCGTCGGCACCGCCGCCCTGGGACGCCGTAGCCTTGGACCACGTCCCGGCGTCGTGGAATCCAAGACGGACAGCGGCGCGGGCCAGACCCGTGCAGCGACCCGACTTACCGGCCATGAACTGGTACATATCGTCGGCGACGTAGCGCCAGACGCAGCAGGTATCCTTTTTGCACTTGTCCGAGGTGAGATCGGGGACCTTGCTGTAGCGGTCGTTGGATTCCGGGTCGCCTTTGCCCTGGAGCATCTTCTTGATGTCCTTGCCGACGGGGGTGAGGTCCTTGTCCTTGAGGGTGACGAGGTCGCCGAGGAGCTCGGTGGAGTCGCCGGCGTCAGTTTTGCGGGACATGATTTCGGCCATTTGCTCGCCCATGCCTGGGTAGCCCATTGTTCCTGGGAGGGAGACTAGGGCCAGGGAGGTGGCGAGGACGGATGTGATGTGCATGATGATAGTTGTATATCGACGAAAGCGAATGTGGTGAATTAGAAGATGGTAATGTCGAAATAGCGAATGGCAATGACACTGATGGTCGTTGGAAAGAAGGGAAAGGGAGAGAGAGAGGAAATGACCCGATGAGGAGGAGATGATACTGGAGGAGGAAGTCGAACATCATGACCTTATATCATCTTAGTTTTCTTGGCAAAGAACCATCCATCACGACATGGTCTCTCAGAACCAGGCTGGTCCAGCTTTCTTCCACGAGGCTCTCGGACGTTTACTCTCTCCAAAAGAGGCTCGCCTTCTTAGCGTGCATGGCTCCTTCGGGACAAGCCTTCTGGTGCCTGAGTCTAACAGACACCGACAACTCTAGTCAGATCTCACGACACGAGTAGCTCGATTCCTCGGATCTCGGGTATTCTCAACTCTCAAGAAAGCCTGCCGTGCCCGCTTGGCTCCGCGGCTTGTAGAACTCAGCCCTTTGGAAGGAGGATCGAGGGAACAGAAAGCATGCCACCCCGGACTTGGAGACGGCCACAACGAAGGAACAAGAAACACGATGCCTATCCTTTGTTAGGCTAGCCTTGGGCCCCGGCGGCCCATCAGTGATCACCCACCGCACCGTCCGCCCCGGCATCAGCAGATATTCCTCAATGATCATTCGCCGAAGAGGGCGGGTCGGTCTGACGGTCAGGGGAGGGAACCAGAGGTCTGGATAAGGGCACCCATGCGCCGGAGCTGTACATGCACGCTAAGCCGGCTCTAACAATAGACTCGCATACATGTGGCATACAGATGCGCCCCACCCCGACGTGTGAAGTCCGTGATCCCCGCTTCCACCGGCCGTGTCACGGTGCGCAGACTCGCCGGTGACAGGGGTCGAACCCTCGTATCGTATAACCACTAGGCAGAATGGGAAACGCCATGCCAAGAACGACGGCGTGGGATTGGATGGTGAGCGTTTAAGCTTCTTGGGTTGGTATGCGGCGCCAAAACAGAGAGACAGAGCTAGATCGCCAGGGCAAAAGGGGCCCCTCCATGTACTCTGGAAGAGCTACCTAGATGGAAACAAGAGGCTTGAGGAGAAAGAAGATTGTTTGTGAAGCCGTCAGACTAAACAGTAATAAGCTAGGCACGACAGTTGGACAGACCCGAGAGGCCGTTGCCTAGGCTGCGATGGGCGGTGCGTCGCGACTCACGTGGCGCCGTCCGCTGGGCCAAGATCAACAGCTTGTTGGACCTTGTTTCCCAAAGGCCGCTCGGTGTTGTCGTCTCGCTCACCCATTCCTTCTCTTGCCATCCCGCCTGACGCTATTGAGCGCCGCAAATGCGCTGGCACGGCTGGTAGGTCGGTCTGCAGTCGTCCATTCTTACCTTTACCTTTCTCCTGATTGGGACGAGGGCCCTGAAGAAAGATGCGGTATCCGATGTTGATCGGTGGGCCCGCTCGGATGAAAATGTCAGTTCCGCACATATACGAGCATCTGCACGTCGCCCATCGTTATATGCTCAATTCCCCTCACCCTAACTGGCTGGTTGAGAGAGATTAAGCACTGAGCAGAAGAGGGCACCGGAGAGTCTGTGTTTCTTCCTCTCTCAAAACGCAGTAGCGATGAAATTCGACATTCATGCGAACCCACGGGATTCTGGGTTGTTCGGATGGATGAGATCTGGATCAGGTTCATCAGAAGAGTAATCATGGGAGAGGGGAAAAGTAAGAATTGCTCCGCAGCGTTTGGTCAGCTTGAAAGGAGACAGACCCAACCCTGCGGAAACATGTGTCCCAATCGGGCTTGACCTATTTTCAGCTGTGGCGCACGGCAATCCAGCCGCACCGTTTGCTGCCGACTTTTGCTTCATCTTATTACCTAAGGCAAGGTCACTCACTCATCTTGAGTCGCAGCCCTTTCTTGAACTCATTCGCTCACGTCTTCCCTTTGGTCGTCAGCTACTTGAGTGAGATAAGCTTACTTTTTGACTCCCAAGAAAGAAGCCTGCAGAGTGCTGCATATGCTGAGATGCCCTGTTGAACCTGGCTATTGGGATGCATTGGCTTGGCTGCAGGACTTCAACTGCAGCTCAAGATGCTGTGTCGCCGGACCATGAAGACCAACTAACCCCCCCTTTTCTCACTGCCAAGCCCGCTACTATTGATCTTTCTAACTCGTTTCAGAGAATGAGTTCAGCTGTCTAGAAGTCTCTTGACAGACAGTTGACACTTGTGACTTAGGGACCGAAGGCATAATCGTTTACGAATGGTGACTGGGAAGTTTCGGGTCACATTAGACTTCTAGACTTGGAGACCTTCTTTTGGGTTGCACTCATCGGCATTTGGGGAATGAAGCAGAAACACTCTCAACCCCGGCGTCGATCATGGGCAATCGCATGCCTCCTTCACCCAACCCATGAAGCTAGGCTGGAATTGGCGATGCCGAAGTAGGTGAGTTACAGGTGACGGTCAGCACCGGTGCCAGGAACCTAGCAGGCTGGGCCGTACATGCAATATTGGGTTGGCACCTTTCAGGTCAGGTCAGGTCAGGTCAGGTCAGGAAATACTCGTATTATCCCATTCGTACTGTTATTGACACATAGAAAAAAAAGAGCTGCTCGGTCTAGCCCAAGTACAAACAAGGGGAGGTCGATGAGTTGGACCCCCCATGCAAAGATTTTTTCATTACCACCCAAAACTTTTCCTTTTTTTGATTCGACGATTCCCGAAAATCTTGCTTACTCCTCATCGTCCTCCTCAGCAGCAGCGCCCTTCCTGGCCTTCGCCGCAGCAACCCACTCCTGAGCCTTGGCCATCACCTTATCCCGGCCCTTGGGGCTGATCTTCTCCTCCCAATCGGCCCACCTCTTGAACCACTTCATCGCCTTCTTGGGCTTCAGGCCCTTGGCCTTGGTACCCCT